ATTTCTTAGTAGAAGTCTTCTGCTGTGGATGTTTTATGGTTTCTGGACACTAAACAATGCACCAACCGGTGGAGGTGCAAAGTCGTCGACATGTGCGAGTACAAGACGAAGACAATGGCGCGAGGCTGGGGAATCCTCACCGCAGCGGCTGCGTAAAACATCAAATTGCACAACCAAACGATAAACGACCCCCCTCACCGCCAGAACACCCCCGCAAATACATGTGCTGCCCATTGTGCGCCAATTGCAATAATAGCTTTCACACTACAAGATTAATGCCAATAAAGCGCGTCGATTCTTTGAGATTTCGTAAACGCGCGAATTTGCATTAATTGTTTGTCATTTCGTCTGATTAGCGGCAAACAATAAGAGCTGCCAGCTACAGTTTTTTTCCATCTTAAGAGGCCCCAACTTAAGAGGACTTTTGCGTCAATTTGGCCGATTTTGTCACCCTGAAAAATTCCAACTTAAGAGGACTTTCTCGATAATTTTTATTAATTTTTAGAAAATTTTTCTGCTAACAGTGAATCAATTGAAATTTTTTTTAGCAGTAAAAAAGCTAGAAATCTTTGACTGCTTTTCTGGCCATTTTGAAGTCGATGGCTTTGCAATGTCAGCTTCATCTGAAACTTGAATTTGCGGTTCTTCCTCAATATCTATCGGGGTTGCAGCTTGTGTTTCATCGATTTGAAGCGCCAGGAAATGCTCGATCAATTCTTCTTCATCTTGTTTCTCCAAGATACTTTCCAAAACGTCCAAGCCCTCGACTTCTTCAACAGTATCCTTGTATTCTTCTTCTTTGATCAATCCCGTATTGATCCAACTTCGCTTGAAGATTCCAGGGTTCATGTTCATGAAGATTTCGTTGGCTTTTTTCACGAGCTCTTCCTCCTTGATATTCAGATGATCGTGATCGACAATAAAATCATCGAGGAAGCAGCGGATTTTCTTCTTAAAATTACAAAAAACAAGATTATCGCAGGGTTGGTATACACCTTCTTTTGTTTGAAAATAAATTTTATATTTTTCGCGCAAAGATAAAAATAACACTGATCAAACTTTTCCTGTAGTCCCTGGTCGAAAAAAACACAAGTCCAGATTTTTGAACTTTGGAAGAAGCTTGTGAGCAGGGCAGTTATCGATATACATCAAATAACGCTGCGATGGATTTTTTTCTTTCAAAAAAGTCGAAAGACGAGTCAGCTCCAGAATAAATATCGGTCTTGTACACCAGGCGGAGGGATTCCAGTAAAGTCGAAAATCTCAAAATAAATAAGCTTGGTTTTTTTTCAATTTTTACCTTTAAAATCTCTGAATTCTACTTCATGATATTGGAGATTTTTAGGGGAAGAGGGCTTGGTTTCGTCATAGTTCGGGTTGGCCACTCGTTCGATCTGTTTTCTTGGGGCACTTTGCCACTTACTTCCTTGATTTCGTGTAATTATTGCAGGGCGGTAATCTTTTAGCGGCCCAAACACATTTATAGTCGGAATAAATGTTAACCGCTCTTTTGATGAGCGATTTTTGACAGTTGATCATCAGATCCAAGCAAGATACGATTACGCGTGTCGATCTCTCGGTTGACGCCCGTTTCGTCACAGTTTAAAATAGCACTTTAATATAATAATTGCAAAAATAAATGATAATTTCTCACCTCAATGGATATTTAGAACGACAGGCTCGTAAACGCTGAATTTCAAAATTTTTCTCATCTTCAGTGAGATATACAACATCAGTGTTTTTCGAGGTTTTTCGTCCATAATCACGAATAATTCGTGTGACAAAGCGTGAAGAAATACACAGATTTTGTATCTCTTTGTCTTCGGGAAAGTTTTCATCAATCATTTTTCGCAACCATCTTGCAGCTCCACGAAGTTTCATTTTATGTTGGCGTTGAGGGTAAAGTTCCTTGATTTATTCTTCTAGCTTCTGCATTGATGAAGATTTCTTCTGTGTTAGTTGAAATTTATGCTTCGATTTCGATGACAGGATCGTAAACCTTTTGTTATAAAGGTTTGTAAATGTACACTTCGGGATATCGTGTCCATGTTGCTTTCGGTACAGATCATTTACAGCCTTTTTAGCATTCCTCCTGTTCGCACCATTCACCAAAATCTCTGCATACTTCTTTTTCTCTGCCATCGTCATGTGAATTCTCTTTTCGGACATGTTTCCAGCAAAATATGTTTCGAGGAATGAATTAGTAAAAATTAAAAACATGGGCGCGTGCCTTGTTCTGGAAATAATCATAGCCTTGTTAATATTCGATCTTTCAGTGGAAAAACCAAATTTTAACTTCTCTGTTGTTGTGTGGCTTTAATATTAGTGAGAAGAGAATTTTAAGATATGTATACCTGGCTCGACTCAAAAATTTCCAACTTAAGAGGACTTTTTCTTGGCCCTTGTAATCTCAAAAGGCCTCTAAAGATGGAAAAAAACTGTAATTGGCTTCTGATAGGAAAACGCTGCCGTTTCTAAAATCTTTTCGGAAGACTCTGGAAAATCAGTCGATTGATTGTGGATGTATTTTGAGCGACAACTGAGCTCAAATCCGCCGTTTTTGTCTCAATAAACATTTTCCTGGCAAATTTGACCTGCGAACTGTATCTATTCTAAAGATATTTTCAACCAAAACCTAAAAGATAATCCCTTTTTTCAAAGCCCAAGTGGGTCTTCGCGCGAATGCACCAAGCAGATCTTCTCAGACCAAGGCTTATTTTTAGCACAAGAACATATCTAAAAGCTTCGCTTTCTCTTCTAAGTCAATTAAAAATTATGAGTCGGATACTGGCAAGATACTACTTTGTAACTTAAAAATTTTAGTCACTGAAAAGTCAATTTATTATAAAAAGCGTTTGTTGATTGTGGCTGGCAATTAGCCGTAAATGGGATTAATTAGCCTCCGAGTCCAAATTCGAAGAGCGCTTAGAACGTAGAAAGTAATTTATTTTCGCCTTCGCTTTTCACAAATCCGTTTCCGCTTCCTGTGTTTGCTTATCCCTTTCTGGCCCATAATATTGCGTTATTACCCTGCCAGCTCTTCCATAAATATGGGTAAATATAGGGATTAGCGCCATATTAGGCCACTATTTGTTGCCACTTCCGGCGGTATTCTAGTGATTTATCCACTCCCCAAAACATTCCACACAGCAACAAAATCCGTCACTTCCAAACCAAGGTCACTTCCGCCGCCCTCCTCAAAAGACACAACTAAACAAAAAAACCTTCCTCAAATCGACACTTTGGCCGACTGTTGACCTCTAATAGCGAACCCGCTTTGTTTTCAACTCACAAAAGTGAAACTGACTATCTTATTCGTACTACATACATAGTTATATTTGTCATCAGTAATGTTCTTGATGTGTCTTTTTTACTATTTTTCTGTCAATTAAAACATGTCTCTTTTTTTTTCGTAAAGTTCAAAACTAGGAAGTCTTTAGAAGGAATAGACTGGAGTTATCAGATTTGGACAGAGTTTTTAGCTAAAATGTATTTCCATTTCGGGCGGACTTTCGGAGATATTGCAGCTGAAGTAGAATAAACATCGATACCTGCCGTTCGATAAAGATGTCTTTTACTAATAAACTTCCCTTCAGCTGCTTTCCACAAAAAAGGCGAAAGCAAAATCAAAAAGAAACTTCTGCTGGATGCGAAGCATAGAAGTTAGTAAAGATAAAACAACTGCTTTCCGCACTGTTTCCTCATTATCTTCTGACTGAAGGAGACGGTATTTGACGCTTCAATTCAAGGAGGGAAAATGAATTATTTTAATGGTAAAAAAATTAATTAAAATAAGAAGAAGATTTAATCATTTTTTCAAGATGAATGTATACATTCTTGAACGGGCGAAGCTCTTCCCTTTGATTTAAGTAGGATTCCTATTCCCGATTGGCAATAATCAGCTTTGATCAGCTGGCTCTAGAACGAAGTGTGCTGCGTCAGAAAAAAAGTTGTTACGCGCCTCGCGCTTTTATCTGTCTCCGTCTTATCAAAATAAATAGCGACAGCAGTAATCCTACACTAATTCGAGTACCCGTCGAATTTCATTTTTTGATTTTGCGCCCCTGCGCCAAAACCACCAAAAGTGTCTCTTGAATCTACTTTCCAAAGTTTGGAGCAATGTAAACCGAGCACTCCAAAGTTTCGCAGGAAAACCAAATTGAAGTTGGCCTTTTCGCCCACTGCACAATACAAATATACGCCTCGAGTACTCCAGTTTCGTAAGCTCAAACGTATAACGCAAACTGTCCGCTAAGTGGTTGTTAAAGCCTGTGAAAAAAAAATTGCATGTGGACTTTGGATTTTTCACGCTGGTACGAGCTTATCGTTCGGGGTGATTTGATTATTTTAATTGGAACGGCGCGCGGAGCAGACGTTTCCGACAGAGTTGATATTGGATTATCCGCACCAGACGTAAATCTTTCCGAAAGAAAAGCTTACCTAAAACTTCCGAGAGCTGCTCTGCGAACAAACTAAAAGAATCTCACGCCCCTCTGTGTCGAATTAATGTCATCACGGGATCACCTTATTTATTATTCCAAAGGTACACGCTTTCCCCTTCTACACCCATAAGTTCAATTCCGGAGCAAGAGGCAAGCTCCAACTTCCCACTAAAAAGCAGCGAAACCGACCCGTTTTACGAAAAATTCGAGAACAAATGGGCAAAAATATGGGCCTAAGTGGCCGGAAAATGGAATCAGATTGTTCCGATTGCCGCTGGAATTTTGAGACAACGACGTAGAATACCAAATTGAAAGCGACAGACTACACGGCGGTCAGATAGAAAGCCACTCTTAGTAAAACATTCCCTATAAAAATATTTCATCCTCCATTTTTTGGAAATTGGAAATATCATAAAAAAGAACGAAATTTTCGAATGAAGTAGTATTCTTCGTTGATTTCAATTCAAAGTTACGATTGATTTAAAATCATTTCCATTTATTAAAACAAAAAATTCTTTTCCAGTCAAGGGCAGTTGAGCTGAAGCTAAAAATATTCGTTCATCGCTCTTCTCCGTTTTCTGGACTCATCTCTCGTAATATTGCTAAAGCTTCGCGATGCTCGTCAAGGCTTATTCTGGCTTCAAGAAAAATTCATTTAAATTTTGAGTTTTCTTTCTCTGATACCGATCCTTTCTTCGATCTCTCGCCACATTTCCTCGAACTCTTCTTCAGAATCTTCTTCTTCTTCGTCGTCGTCTTCTGCTTCTTCGTCTTCTCCATTTTCGTCTTCTTCTCCAGAATCCATTTCTTCCTCTTCATTATCGAAGAGGTCTTCCATCCAAGGGGCGCCTGGGAGAATCAGTGGCGCTCCCTCCAAAGCCTCGTTTAGTATTCCCTGTAGAAATTCCGGCAAAAAAAATTCGTTTCTTCGACGTTGACCAGCCAAAGGATGCCACTCCTCGGGATCGTCCGAATAATCCGCGAGATCGGATGAACCCTCATCGTTTGGAATTAATGGCGGCATTTTTGAGGGCCCGATTTCGCCCTTTTTTCTGGAAAATGAGAAGTTTTAATTGTTATTTTTCAATTTAATAAATGATTATGTTATGCATAAATTTGAGGAATAAATGATGGAAAGATGGTCTGGATTTAACATTTTGTAGAAAAATTTTACAAAAATCTGCTTCTCTGTCGATTTCGCTCAAAAGCCTTCAATTCGCTCCCATTGGATGAGTCACAAGTTCAAATTAGGCGGGCTAATCTAATAAAGGGTTTTGAACACGTTTGGAGTAAGGATCAAGTTTCACCACGTTTATTCTGATTTGACAAGATGAGTTGCAATAATACTGGAAGCAGCATAGTTTGCTGTCAAAGAGGAGAATAAATCAAATTCACTTTTAATATCCAGATTCTTCTCCTTTGTAAGCCCATTCGCTTCGGTCGGCAGGGTACCACCAGCTTGGTTCTTTTGTGCAGTTGTCAGAAGCACAGCACTGTCGGCAAACGGATTCGCCGTAGTAGTTCTCTGGGCGGCATTGGGTGTAAGCGGGATTTTGGTTCTAAATTTATTGTGAGCTCTTGGAAGCTGAGAGCTCTTCTCACCTGGAAGTTCTGGTTCTGCATGTTATCGCAGGCGTCCTTGCTCTTGCAGCCCATGCAAATCTGCATGAATGGGCCAGCGTGGCCGTTCTGTCGTCGTTCTCTGATTTCCAAAAAACAAGATCCTTCGTTGGGGTGACAAGTCTTCTCCATTCCCTTGGCTTCGCATTCTTCGAAGCTCATGGCGTCGCAATGCCAGCATTTGAGAGGAGAAGTTGGGTAAGCCGGGGCAGAATAACCAGTTTGAGTCGGGTAGTTACTGGCTGGGTAGTTGTTTCCTGCTGGATAGTTGTTGGCTGGGTAGTTATTCGCCGCTAAAATCCAAGTTACAACCTTTTTGTTTATGACTTCATACCTGGGTAAGTAGCTGCTGGTGCAGGGTCGTAAGAGCCAGAAGCTGGGGCGTAGTTGTTCTTGTTCGCCTTGTTTCCCTTGACTGAAAGTAACATTAGCCTCCGAACAATGTTCTCTTAGTTTTTCTCTTACGTTTACGCTCGCCATAATCGTCATATTCGGCAGTCTCGTTTGCGACGGCGTCATCAGCTTGTCGAGCAACTCGTTTGGCGCTGGCAGCAGCGATAACAAAAACGGCGAGTTTCATCTTGGACGAAAAGTAAATTATAAAAAGGATGGATTATCAGTATCTTTATCAGACGACTGACTTTGACATTGCGAGCAGTGAGTCCAGCAATATATAGCCAGCACATTCGCCTCGAGACAAAGTGGATTAAGCCGCAGCAAAAGGTCCGTCTTCTGAAAAATTCCGCGCAACCTTTAGCGGCGATTAATTCTCAAGAAATGGAGCTACTTTTCAGAGAAAACTGACAATTTGCAATTTATGCACTCATTTCTAGTCTTTGTGAAATCGTGGAGATTTAAAAAACTGCTCACAAACTACTGTGCTCAGAGGAGTTCGAAATTTGGAACCACTCTACTTTGCTCAAAAATGCCGTTGAGAAGATGGCGACGACAGATAACCGTGGACTCGATCAATGGTCAAATCTGCCGGCCCTGCTCTTTTTTAGCTCGAGCTCTCGGAGTACGGAGTCACAAATTGTGGATGGACGCTCAAAACAGAAGTCACTGAATTGGATGATGATCCCGGCAAGTTCTTCTTCAAAATATCAATTTCTACCATTGGTATGTCAGAGCAAATACATGATTATACAATTTTTATAAGAACAACCTTACTACTCCGGACTCGATTTCGAAACAACAGTCGTTGACATTGAAGACGATGATTTCCTTCATTCTCGCATTCACGCCAAATTCATCAAGACGAGCACTGGTCAATGGAAGTCAGAGTACCGCGAGTTATCTCCTCCTAAAGAAGAGGTTTCCTATATTTTGATCAATCTAGTTAGATGCACTGGCTGCGATCGTTATTCTTATCCTGTTAGCACTTAATCTGAATTTTATTAACAATAAATACCATAGGCAGTGAAAATGTTTACAAAAGAATCGTTTAAATGACAAGTTTCTCAACATTGTGACTGAGGAAAACGTCGTCGCCAGACGCATGCTCGAGAATATTTGGCGACTCGTTGCATTCATCCAAATTGTTCGCCGAGTTGTTGAGATGACTTCGGTATGAATTCAAAGACGAGACCGATCTCATTGAGGTAGTCCTCATCAATCCTTCGTACATTGAAAAGCACGTTTGGCTTCTATAAAGAGTTATATTTAATTTGATCGTTGCAGTTTGAAATTTCTTACCGAGGAAAGCCCATTTTAGTTGGAGAAATGTGTGTCAGTGAATCGGACAGTTTGAAGGTTGAAGTCCATGGTTTGTAAGCGTGTGGACGAATGAGATCGTACTTATTATAATTTTGAACAAATACAGACAATTTTTGTCTACCTTTGGAAGTGTCAACTCTCCAGACGATCCCTCCCGCTTTTTCGATCTTCGCATATGATCGCTTCTTCTGCCGATGAAAGGAGACACTCTCATGTCCCATTTGTTCACCTAGAGATAGTCGAAGGTTAAGGTATTTTATAAACAAGAGCCAACCGTTTCAACGTATTGAATTTGAACTCTCGATTGCAGAAGAGCGAGTTCAGGGGCGATATTGGCTCTGCCACCTGACGTTCGGAAGAAAGGCACTATCCGCTTAGTTCCTCGAAGCCCCATCTCGATCTTTGAAAACTCGACGATCCCGTCCACTTCTTTTAATCTCTTCTCCACGACGTCGAAGAATCCTATACTTTGGTCACGCTCTCTCACTATCAATTCAAAAACCTTTAACGAAATCGTCGAAGGATTTGTATTCTGATGAGCTTTGGTATTCCAGAAGAAGCCTTCGTCCTCCTCCTTCGCAAACAACCGCAAAATGGGGCGAAGCTTTCACGTCCTAAATTCCTGTCAGTAGAAATTTCTTTAAAAACGGTACCTGGATAATCTTTGTTATGTGATAGTAAGGAATCAGCTCGCAAAATTTCCAACTTCTTCCTGATCTCTTTCTTTGTAACGTTCGATAATGTTTCGAACGTTCTTTCTTGCAAATCTAAAGCAGTAATCAGTGCCAGTGGGACTTGATATGAACTTACAATCATGAACTCATCGTAAAATGCCAGGCGAAGTTTGTCAGTTGTATTATAAAGTTCTTCGTGTGACAAATGGCCCATGACATCTTCTTCGATCGGAGTAGAAGTCGGCTCGGAGGGATAAAGAATCTCCGTCTCCACTTTTTCCAGGGGCAGGGCACGTGCTTCGAAAATAAAACCAACTCCAGCACGATGAGCTTCCAGCGGAGGAAAGTCTTGAACGGTTGCGTAAAACTCAAAATGTCGGTATTGTTGTTGCTTTTCTTTGAGTTTATTTTCAATCGCTTTGACCTTGAAATTGAGTTTATTTGTTGATGAAATCAACGAGGAGACTTACCTGCACATTTATAAAACGCATCGCACGAGTGAATTTTCCACTGTCGTACTTCTCATACGTTGAGTAGAGCCGCTTCAAGCAGTATTAAAGTGTATCCTGTTTCCAAAAGTTACCTCGCACACGTTCTTCATTTGGATGAATTTTTGATTTCTTTCCGCAAAAAGATCAGCAAACGTTTGGCGCTCTAAGAAGTACTCCGCATTTTCTTTTCCGTATTCAAAGATATCAGTCCAGAATCGATACTTCGGACAGTTCATGTCCTTGCTGAGTCGTTCTTTGTCTTGAAAAAAATATCAATACTTTTAAAGAACGTAAAATTACCTAGTAGCTTCGCGTGCTCACGAATCTCATATCCGGAATCTGCATATTTCGAAGAGACGTCAACAAAATGGTCCGAAAAGAAGTCTTCTTGGATACGAAAGAATTCTTCAACGTTACTGGGGAATGGAAGGTTTATGATGCCGCAGACTTTCATGCTGTTTTCAGAGTATGCCTGGATGAAGTAGTCTGTGTATTTGAAGATACACTGGGCGATATGCGGCTGAATGTAGCACGAGGTTTTGTATCGCTGATTCTCTATCATTATGTACTTTTAAGAGTTTATTAAAGCTATGTGATCCCGCATCAGTGATGCGTCCTACAATCCAATAAAACTCGATGCCTTCAGAAACTTCTGGTGTCCAATAAATTTATTGACTAAGTCGAGGTGTTCGGCAATGACGTGTGAGCACATACTCGCACTATCTGCAGTGTTCGCGCGCATCGGCTTCACTCTTGGCAATGAGCGATAACTAGCCCAGCTAATTTCTCCCCCAGTGGAGTGAAACCTCTCGACGATGTCGCGAATACAGCGAATGTCGTTTTCATTCGAGTCGCCAGAAACGGGAACCATGTAGCTTGCGACGCCATCGACGGAGTTCTTCTTTTGCGGAGATAAAGAACCCGTTGCGATCTCATTCGCATTTGAGTCGGTCTTGTGCAAGACAATTTTGCATTGCTTTTTAGGCTGATAAAACAACACTTACTGTACGGTCTTAGTAAAAAGAAAAATATACCTAGGGGTAGTTGTTTACGTAGCCGGGCCTTTTGAACGGGGCTAGGCTGATCGGGTGTGTTGAGAGTACTGAACTTACTCGTGCTACTGCGCGGTCGATCGACGGTAATTTCTACAGAGTTTAGCTATCTTACATTTATAAATATAACTAACCGGACATCATCTCTCTGAACCGATTCTGCCATGCACTCCTCTCTTCAGAGGTGAACTCTCCCTACGATTAAGAGTAAGGCAAGGCCTGCCGTATTAAAATATTGAGGCTTGCCTGAAATTCCAAAGAAACGGGCGACATTGTTTTTAAATCTCTTAGTGAGCGAGACCATTTAAGCATAATTTGTGGGCGATGTTTTTTACGAAATATTTTTAAATTTCCAAATATGGCTTTTGCTGTTCTTTCGCTCATAAGCACCTGCGCGAAACCTGCTTTTAACTTTTCTGCTAAATTTGTGTCGACTACTAGACAGCTTCATAATTCAGCTTTGACCAAGATAGGTATCAATTGGTCAGAGCGTTAGGATTGAACGATAAATGAATATTTATTCAGGAACTCGTCTTAGCAGCTACCGTGGTGACGATAACTCAAACTAAGAGCTAACAAAAAGACTTGTTTGAGGCAGGAAATAACTCAGTTAGCTTGTGCCACGCTGTTATCGTTTTCATTAAAAGTGGGTTTCGGTTCTTCAATTTTCAGCGACGATTTTTTCTGGACAAAGTCGATTCCAAGCACTTTGTGCAGTTGCTAAAAATATTTAATCAAAGATGCTAATAATTTTAACTCTAAATTTTAGAGTCTAAAATATACTGCGTGTTTTATTTTTCTTTACCTTGAATGTTTGGAGACGAAGATAGGTATGGGCCTTGGCAGTGATTTTGTTTCGTTGAATAACGGTAAGTTGGTCTAAGAGGTCGTCAGTTCCGTTCAAATCGATGAGAGAGCTGACGTTGGGCAGTAGAATTCCTCCTGATAAGATGGAAAAAACACGTCGGAGCGCATCTCCGGCTGGTTCAGAACTATGGGCAGTTTCTAAAGCTCTGATGACGAACAGTTCCATTAACCAGCCAGAAAATCCATCCATCTCGGCATCTCGCGCCAGAAATTTCAAAACACGCAATACGGCAAGTGAGTTGAAAAGCTTGTGGCATCGATCCATCAAAAACAGACAACGCTGAAGTCGAATCCAGACATTAACGCATCCGTCACGAAGAATCATGCCTTCTGGATCTGCGCATTCTTCTAAAAACAATGTTTTTCTCTTGCGGGAATGACCTGTTTTACCTTTACCATCGGGTGGATAAAATGCTGCTGAGGTAAATGTGACGTAGATAGATACTTCCGGCTTCTCTTTAGTCGTAAGATAAAGGAAGTCCTCGTATCTATCTGCCGTAAATCCTTCCAAAGAAGCAAGTACGGAAAGAACTTCATTTACAAAAGAATTCGTGGGTTTTTCTTTGGAGACGACAACGAGCTCCAAGTCCTCGGTTTCGTCTTAAAAAAAAAGATAAGTTTCAGAATTAATTAAGCGATAGTTACCTGCAAGTTCAAGTCCCTTGAAAAACTCGCCAACTCTGTGCAAGTTTTCAATTTGTGGATAACTTTCCGACTCCTTCAGACACTTAGTGATTTTGTTCATTGTGTTGACACGGAGTCGCTTGTAAGTTTCCTTTTGCTCGAGGTCGAGCAGTTTCTTTTTTAGTTGGCGGTCGTCACCTGGGGTATTTCTGCCAGTGTTATTGAAACGGGGGACCATTACGATGTTGGTCTGTCGGATATTAGCAAGATATTCTTCTTTTGATTTCTACAAAATAAATTATGTGGCATCCAACTATTGTTCAGATGATAACCTTGCTTTTAGCTACCGGCAAGTTAGCTTCGATCAATCCTGCAACGCACAGCTTATTAGCAAGCATAACTGCAACCGATATCTTTGCTTCTTCTTCGGATGGTTCGGAAGCTTGTGCTTCAATTTTGATCCCCTTGCAATTGATGACCGTAGAGATTGTGAATTGACCGTTTTGAAAGGCAGATGATTCGCTTATTCCAAACGAGCTGTCACCAGAATTTTCTTCCTTGAATTTTTTCAACCGACTAGGGGCCGTCGTCCTTGTCCAGGTGATTTCATTCTTTCTATGAAAAGCGTTTTTTTTCTGTGCGTCACAGTTGACATTACCTTTTACGCAAGAGCTTCATCTCTGGTTCACCTTTTTTCTCAATAAGATTGAGAGCAAAAAGCTGTTTTAGCATCTCCATGGAGCATTTTGCATTTGCTGACTTCTTGTTTGGAGCATCAACTTGGACTTGAAGAACTTTTTTGTTGAGCCGCTCGATTATCAACGACAGGGATGCAGAGGTGACTCTAGCGTGTGGAGGTCCAGTGACATGGTTAATGATGTTGCAACTAATCCCCAATTGCATGCAGAATCTGTTCAGACGTTGTCTTGCAGTTTCCGTTGTCCAACCGCCATATTCTTCACCGTATTCAACATAAACATTTTCATTGTTTCCTTCAACCCGATTCGCAGTCTTGGTAGCATGAGCACCGAGTAGATTTTCGGGGATAGGTGGAACTTCCGAAAGGTTAAGGACTCCTTTTGCTGCAAGCTTTTCTGACATATCCCAGGCTGCAATCGTTTGCGCTTGTTTCTTGCTTTTTGCAGCCCCTTCGCCTTGGCAGTCGTATTGACCGATGGAGAGCGTACATTTATAAAGCACAAATGGAGTTTGCCCTTCTTGTTTATAAGAGTACTCTGGCTGAAGCATCACAAGTCATATAAGTATTTTTAACAAGGCGCACCTTTAGCTTCTGTTTTGTTGCCCATGCATTTATATATGATTTGACCTCTGTAGCGTTGATTGGCTTATGTGGGTCTTTTTGACGTTGAGTTTGTCGGTTGTTCTGGCTCATTGGACGTTGACCACGATGTGGCATCAAGTTATGCTGATTTTGATTGCCTCCTGACCATTGTACCTTTGCTCCCCGTATCCGTAATTTGGATTCTTTGAAAAGATATTTGTTATTGCGGAAAATTAGAGTGAATCTTACTCGGTGTGAGTTCCCGAAATGACCAGGTCCCTTGTTCATATTGGACGGACCCGCACTCCAGTTATTTCCTTGGTTGTATCCTTGTGACTGCCCTCCGTAAAGCACTTGCGCCGCATATTGCTGATGCTGATTAAACTGCTGTTGCTGTCCATACTGATTGCTTTGGCCGTAGCCTTGACCGCCTCCGTGATTTTGATTGTAGCCTTGCTGCTGCCACGCCATTTCTAACTAGTCGCTTTTTAAGATGAAGTTGGAAGCGAAACGAATCCTGCACTTAGTTCTTAATAACACTTCTTAGTACCAAGGTTGAAAGAAGAGGCGAAAACTCGTGTTACACTAACAATGACTACGCCTGCTATTTGTCATCTCTAGGAAAGAAAGAACACATAAGAACCTCATGAGGCTCATGAACATGAGGACATTATTTGACTAGTATATTGCACGCTGGCTTCGGAAGCCTACATTGAAGGTTTATTGTTAGTTTTGGAATATTCACGGCGCTTCAACTTTGAAAATTGAAAATATAGCAAAAATAATCATGAAGATAGGATTTTAACGGTTTAATGAACCGAGGCCAGAAAATTGTAGAAAAAAGGGTGAATCTGGTGACTTGAACGAGTTTCTCCAGACGGCACTCTCCTACTCATCCAAACATTGCACGTTTCGTTGAATTTGAAAGTGTCTTTTGAAGTAAGACGATGATTTAAAGCTACGGAGTTGGAATTCGAAATTCCAAATATGAAGAGGGTTTTGTTTGATCAAAGGTTAAAATTTATCATATGCGTTATCGATGTTTCACGTGACAGAATCGCTTTATCGGCTGCGGGAACGGCTTCGCGATCGTGACCTCGAACGGGCACCATTGCGGGATCGTGAGCGCGATCGACTACGAGAGCGAGAGTAGGATCTATTAGATAAAAACGGTTCACCGCAAGTCACCACAAACACCGACTTACCTCGATCGACGGACATCTCGATCGCCGTCTTCTTTGACGCGCAGTCTCACAGCACGATCGTAGATTTTCATACCCTGTAAGTCCTCGAGAGCGCGATACAACTCCTCCCGGGTAGCAAAGCAAGCTTCTCCCCGACCTATGCGATTTTAAGTACGGAGGCGTTTCAAAGTCAATCAATTACCTCGACCTGAGCGGGTGTGAGCGTCAACGTATGTAACTTCTCCAGCTTTTCGCATGAGATCCTTTAGTTCCGCCCAACTAAGAACACAAATTATTGCCGATAGAAATAAGAGGACATACTCGCAGCGGGAAGAGAGGTTATCGACGCCGAGAGTAAACTCTGTTCGATGGGGGCGAGATCTGTCTCCTCGACCTCCGCCTCGACCACCTCGGCCACGGGATCTGCTTCGAGATCGACTTCGAGAGTATCTTCCGCGTGATCGCTCTCGTTGATCAGCACCTTCTCCAGGCGAAACTTTGATGCCTTATCGAGAACGTTAAAAGACTTGAGCGTTTCGAAGGGACTTACTTCTTCCGTTGATATCCATGCCATCGGCTTCGTCCAGACAACGATCTTGCTCTTCTCGGGAAGAAAAACAGACTTCGCCTCTCCCATCACCAGATCTGTAGTGAGCATCTGTATATGTCACTTCACCAAATTTGCGGAAAATGTCCTTCAACTCGGCCCACCTAAAGAACAAATAACTCAGAGATCAGAGTATATTTCAGCTCCATAAGCGTAAACTGGACTTGCGATAATTGGAAGTTAGAGTTAATAGAAATGGGTCAAGAAAAGTGACAATACCGGGTAAGAAAAGAGTAGTTGGCCATGATGTGAATCAGTTCTACAATTATGCCACCAAGGCGTCCAACTTGGTTATCGAACAGCCACGCCAAAACAGAGTTCAGCTGTAGACACCAGAGATCATTCAGTACAAAAGATTTCAGATCAATGGTCTCATGAAAGACACATGAATAGTAGCAAGAGATAGAGAGAATATGCCAGTATCAATCACGGACGGCACCACAGGTCACTATCCAACTAGCTTTTTCGACAACCCAACAATTTTTGACCAGGATTTGGAGCACAGAGAGAAACGAGACAAAACCAAGTGAGTGGCACCAAATCTTGTCTCGCCCATTTTTTGATTCTCGCCATCAAAGAAATCGAATCGACTTACGTGCATCTGCTACTCAAATTGTCGACCATAACCGCGTAAGGAGTTCGATGCGGTCGTTCTCTACCAGATCTTCGGGAGTCCCAATACGAGCTGCGTCCGTCTCGACCTCTTGACCGTGAACGCGAGCGATATCTTCCACCGCCGCCGCCTTTCAAAACTTATAAGAAACGAGTGGATAAAATATGTTTACCTTTCGCCAGCTCGACAGTAATTCTATCGCCGCAAAGTCGCTCCCCATTCATTTCATGAATTGCGTCTTCAGCATCGCGGACATCTTCAAACTCGACAAAGCCTAATAATTTCCTGAAAATAATTGTACATTCACTCTTATTTACCGAAGCCATTTTTAAGAGAAATCTCTTTGATTCTTCCAAATTTTCTGAAGGCGTCTTCAACATCGCGACCTTCGGCCCTGTCGGTCAAATTGCCGATGAATATTTTCCCCATTCTAATTTAGATCTGAAAGAATCACTCAATTAAACTGACTTCTTTCTACTATAAAATCAAATAGACGACTACTAAATTTTTGGATAGTAGGTGACAGTGCAGAGCATTTAAAATTTTACTAAAATTGTGTCTCGGTCCATTGAGTCGAGCTTAGAATGGAAACAATGATGAATCTTAGTAGTTGAGCGACCAATCCAAGTCAGGTTGATGGCGTCTTCCTCGGCCACCTCGGCCACCGCGGTCGCGATCTCGTCTTCGACCAGGAGATCTTTTATTGTCAGTGTTACCTCGTTATCTTTAACTTTCAGATTACCTAGATCTGGAACGACCTCCTCGCCGTCTATCGGGGTTGTATCCTCTGTGTCTATCTTTCTTTGCATAGAGTTTCTTTCGTAGATCTTTCGAGATCGGTTTAAGGTGCATGAAGTTGCAAAAGCCACCACGAGTGCACTCTCCCATCTCGTAGTCTCTACAGCAGGCCTAGATAAGATAATGGTACTTAGCAAAGAATAACAACAGTCGGAATATTATATAATTTTATTACCTCTCTAAAGTTTGTGACGGGAGAGAGCTCGGCCACAATGGGCTGACATCCAAACCAGCGATCATTCACTCCTTCAGCTGCCTTTTCGCAATCTTCCTCCCTAGGCAAAAGCTCAGGCGAAGAAGAAAACAATCGACAGACCTGTAGAACTTGATGTAAACATTGCCAACGAGATGATCACCGAGATTCTCACAAACATTCATCTCTTCGATTTCGCCGTATTTGTCTTCGATCTCAAAGAATACCTCTTCGTAGAACTCATCGTAATGCTTTTGAAGCATGGTTTCGGTGATCTGCTGGCCTGAAAAGAGCATTGATTTTGATCGTTTAAATAGAGCATACCGCTGTCATCGTCCAAGATCGGCGAACGGTACAAGTTTTGCAACAACATCGTTTGCGAGAAGGTTGGTTTGTTGTGCAAACGCGAGCATCGATCTCCGTAATGACAGGCGCCGATTTTGAAGTAAAAGGAGCAGTTGACCCTAAGCAACAATCTCAACAAGGCTGCTCTAGTTGACTGCGATACTCACTTATCCTTTTCCGTTCCGAAAATGGAAGCCAAGTATTCGGCTCCTGCGTCTGCGTCCATTTTCCTCTAAATCATTTTTCCGTCAAAAATGCCCCAGTATTTTCAGAACAAATAATTGAGTTCTCGTAACCGAAATGAAACTGTTAGGATCAAGAAAGCGAGGTGTATTTGAAGTTTGTCTCCAATGTTTTTATTCCAGGGAACAGTTGAATTGGAATCAATAAATAAGATTTCTTTTCTCGGACTTGACAGAACTTTACATTTACATACGTAAATGAATAATTTAACTAGAGTAGAATGGTCGGAGCGTTGAGCTTCTCATGTTGGTGTTGTTGTGGGAAGGAATCATTGTTAATGATTACGAGAGTGATGTTAAATATAAGGATCGTTTACAAGTTGGCGACAAGGTCAGAGAGAACAGCGGCTTCGATCTCGCCTTCGGGAGTGGAGGTGTTCACGGCGTTCAAGGCCTGCTGGGCAGCCTAAAATTTAGACATTAGAATTATCCTGCTAGCGGACTGAGATTCTCACCTCCTTGTCGAAGTCGGAGAGAGCGGCACCTTCCTCAGCAATGACGGAGACAGAGGAGTCAGGGTTGACGGTGTAGGAGCCAGAGCTAACCAATCGGTCTTTGCTTTTCTTTGGAAAAAGAGAGACTCACCTGATGAAGAACTTGGAGGTGCTGGCCTCAGAGATGACGGTCATGACACCGGGAGCGAGGGTGCCGAAGGTGGGGACGTGGGAAGGGAGGACACCGATCATGCCAGTGGTGGTGGGAATGTCGACCTGCTTGATGGTGATGTCGGCGGTGTAGAACTCCTTGAATCTCACATGAACAGAGAACGACAAAGTTTGAAGGCTTACCTCGTGGGGAGAAGCGAATGAGAAGGCCATGGCTCCCTCAGGAATCTCCGCGGCGCTTCGAAGAGCAACTTTGCTGACTCGAGTGGCGGCCTTCAACATTCTCGACCTCTACAAGAAAAATGCGGTCAGATAAGCTCTTCATCCAAAAATATTAAAAGGAAGCAAAGCCAGTAGTTAATGAAACCTTTCAGAAGAAGAACAGTTTATCTAAGATGATTCTCATCCACCTAAAATTTTAGTGAACGACATTCATATCGAGAAATATTTATCGATTATACTAAAAACTCCATACTAATCAATTTGAATAAAAATTCGCCCAATAATTTGAATTTCAAAGCAAAGTTTAAAACTACCAAAGACCAAAAATAACAACAATTTTATACGAAACTGGAGCCAAATTGAAAGATGATGGGCTTCGTGTTTTTCTGAGAGAAAAGGTCTCTGGCTTAGGGAATGTTTTTTCGTCTCGGGCTTTTTTGAATTGGGCAGCGCGTATTCCGCCCACGCTCCTTTGCCGCGGCGACGCGCTAAAACCAAAAATGAAATTCGAAAAAAAAAATAAAATTTAATCCTAGTTCTAGAAACTAAAACCGTTGTAAAGAGACGTGATAAAAAATGAGAAATGGAGTTTTGAAGTAGAGAGATTGCGGCTGGCGAAAATTGTGAAGGGAATAGCTATTATTTTATTATGAAAATAGATATTAAAGTAAAGTAGGAAAAATATTGGTTGGTTGAAAAACTAGAATCCTCCAAGGGCGGACTGGAAGAGCGACGTTACTGATCGTGACATGGCGCCTTTGGTGTTCTTTTTCGAGTTTACTACGGTCAATTCTAATTTTGAAAAGAAAGAGAGGAAATGAAAACCCTTTCCTGCAGCGCTTCGGCAAGTTTGAGAGGCGAGTTTCCGTTCTCATTGAGGATCGTTGGGTCGGCGCCATTATCGAGCAGGACTTTGCAGGCGTCGTAGTTGCTCTGAATGACAGCTAGACAGAGAGGAGTGTTCATATTTGCATCCTTGGCGTTAACATCGGCCCCGGCCCGGATGAGCAGGTTCGTGCAGCTCGTCGCCGACTCGGTCAAGTTAACAGAAGCGACTTTGTGCAACGGCGTCCAACCCGAGCTGTTCCGTTCGTTAACGTCGATCACTTTCTCTCTCAAAATGATTCGCAGGACACCCGCATGATCCGTCGCACTGAAGAGCAAGTTGGAGTCGCTGCGATCACGACAAGCCAAATTGGCGCCGTTCTCGAGCAAGAGGTTGACCATTTGCGTGTGGCCGTGTTGCGCCGCGATCGTCAGTGCGCATTTGCCGTCGTAGTTCTGAATGTTGACGTCGCAGTTGTGCTCGATCAGCATCGCCGCCCCGTCAGCGAAATCGTCGATCGAACATTCCATCAAAGCAGTGTGTCCCTTCGCGTCCATTGAGTTTAGGATTTGAAGCTTCTTATTTGATCCTTTTTCTCCGAGTTCTTTTAGTAACACGCTCAGGCGATAGGTGTCTGAAGCACGACAGGCGCGAATTAGATGATCCACGCCGACCGGCTCTTTTGTCGTGAAAGCATTCATCCATCCACTCGTCAGTGTCCCTTGCTCCGTCTGGATTTTAAGTCTAGATGTTTATGATCAAATATGGAAATGAGTAACTCGAGAATACCTGTATTCGTGTTGGGAGAGCGGCTCTAATCCCCTGAGCGTACATTCTGTCGAGTGGCCAACGAAAACGCGTCCGATGCCGTATGAATCCCTCTCTTCAATAACGTAAGTATTCTGGCCAGGAAGCGACTGCCAGCGAAGACTAACAGCGTCGTGTGTGCCTGTATTAATTCTAGGTAAATGAATAATAGAATGGACAGGCCATCTTACAATTCGTTACTTTTATGTCATCCAGCACAGGGGAAGAAGCTGAATCGTCATCCACCGCCTCGATCGAAGGCAAAGAAGCGAACTTTTTCAAGTCCATTTCTAAGGTAAATTAGAACAGACTTCGTCAGAATCAATTTTGTCTTGAAGGGAATAGAATGGTTGAGTTCTAAGCTACGTAGTTAGCTTGAAGGTAGACAGAGCGATAGGTAGAACAGCAGGAAGAAATTTTTATCTGTGGCGGGAAAAGGGGGCATAATTATGCCTTTAGCATAATAACTAGAGCGCAAATCATTTAATCGTAATTAATGATTTGGAAATTGTTTTGTTGGCATTTCGGGTAATTAATGTAAAGCGACTTTATAGCTAAGCTAAATTACAGAACCTACTAAATTATCAAGTAAATCATGGCTTTGCATTAAGTTAAAAAATAAGAAAAGGGCGAATCAAGAAACAGGCGAGTCGGAACATTCCGACCAAGAATCAGTGTCTTGTCGGAAGCTCTTTCGCTCCGATAAGAGAGAGTCAGGAACAGTTGAGATGTTTTCTACGTTCGAGTTTGGATCTTTAGTAGAGCTTGTTCTTTTTGTCGGTTTTTCGGAGGACTTCGACGAAAGATGGACGTAGACCAACCCAGAGGCAGAAATAGCTATTAACACTTACAGAGGCAGATTATTCAAGTGATGCAAAATTGGCTTACCGAGGCCGTTAAAAACTGAAGCTGTGAAGAAAAGAGAGAGAAGTGGAAAGCGACCCAGAGCAGACTGAAACCAGGAGATGGTCGGAGTTACCAACAATGTCGCATCGAGAATTTGTAAATCACAGGACTCGACAATCAGTTCGATTGATTGCTCGGTAACTGAGCTTTTGAAAGGCTTGTTTGCGCCTCCGTAAAGCGAAATTTCGATGTCGTTCGTTTCCGGCATTAGCCCGAGAATCAAATACGGAGAATAGAAGATCGTTCGGAAGGTTGAGAGAAGATATGAACGGGAAGGCGTTGGAATCGGCTTGATAATTGTTTGATCTCCTGATGAAAAAGGATTGTTAGATTTTTACTGTCTAGCGCTAGACTCTAGCGTCATTTTGTCTTACCTATTACAACTTGCAGAGGCGTGTTCGCTTCGAGCCTCTGATAATGCGATTCTGGTGTTACGAAAGAAATGCTCATGGAAAACTCGACTCCTTGACTCAAAGCAGAGGGAATTGACGCTTTCTGAACACATCGCATCGAATCTGCAGCCTGCGATTTGAGCTTGTTCTTCAGTTTGTAAATCTCCCTCTTCGATCTCTACGAAAAACTTTTCGAAAATGATCTAGTGGCGAACGAAAACCTTGATAGTGTCAATAAATTCGCTGTAAGAGTCGTCATCTTCGTAGTGATGATAGCGCGAGGAGTCCCTATCGCGTACGAACGAGCTTGCACTTTCCTTCGAAAGAATGAACTCATTCAGATACTCCTCGAATTGAGAGTCCTCCATTGTTGGCGCTCTGAATCGAATTTTAACAGCAGGCAAGGTAAAGTAAATACTTACTCGTATCCCCACTTGAGCCCGTTTTCGCGAGCCATGTCAAAGTCAACGTCAATTCGCTGGATTTGCATCCCGAAAGAGAGCCACGAGTTGAAGAAGTAGGCGAGTAGCAAGCAAAAGAGGAACAATCCTCCCAGAAGTGAGGCCGTCAGAAAGGCGTATAAAGCGAAAGTGGCATATCTTTTCCAGTTTTCTTGAAAATGCTTGTGAACCTCGCTTAGCTGTGGGAAAAAGAGCTGAATAATGCCTGTAGCGACGGATTGAAACAGCGAGAAGATCAGTCCGATGATGCCTTCGATGAAGCCCGAGAGCATGCTAGGAAATAAAGAAAATCGTTAACTAACAGGATTGATCAGTAAATTGTTCAAATATCAGCGAGAGAAGCAGCGTAGAGCTCAATGTTTGGCAGGGAGGGTTCTTTAGCGAGCGTTTCTTCAATTCCGTTCGCGAGTATTCGCTGAATATAAATTTGCAGCGCCGAGTCGATCAAATTAAAGGCCTCTTCGTTTACTCCTTCGAGTCCTTCAGCGAAAGTGCCCACTAGAATCGTCTGTGCCAGCGTGTTCCCAGCTGGCGGCTGCCATGCTTTTGAAACTTCCACTTCTTTCGCTAGTCTTGCTCTTTTGCAGCCGCGAATTCGCGCAATATCTAAAACGCACAGTAAATAGCCATAATTCTAGAGAATGAATCTACCTCTAGAAGTTGTGACAATATCCTTGCTATCTTTAATTGTTGCTTTATCTCCGACCAGAAGAGACATGAGAATGTTGTGTTGAGGGGTGCTTCGTTCGTCTAAAATGCTCGCAAGTTCGTTGTTTAGCTTGTTCAGGTCAAATCTGCCCACGAAGTACATCCTAAGCGCTATCCGTCAATTGACTACCAGCTGCTAAGAAATTCTTACTCCTGAAGTATTTCTGAGAGTCGTTTTGGAGCACTCGGACCAGGTCGCCTCGCACTTTCTTGATTTTCTTCATCGTAGTTTCTTCCTCTTCTTTCTTTTAACCTGGATGAGAATAAGTGATCACTGTACTCTGGTAGTGAGCAATAGGTGACCGCTAGAATAGGGGTAGAAAATTTAAGATTTGCACCCATTTCCTCGTCATTAATTTTTGGTTGTTGACTGTTGCTCTCAACTGGTGGTTCAGTCTTGATTCTGTCTTCAGGAAAACTACCAGTAATGCCCAGGGATGATTGCATTATTGTGCTGATAGAATGTTCTTCTCATTGAGATCGACTTGATTTTTGGCTAGAAGAGCGCTCATTGGCCCTTTGCGTAGGCGGCGAGAAAATCGAGACAGAAAGCGCCGTTTCGGAATGAGCCATCCAAGCCCTTTCGGGTAGAGATCACTTGCAAGAAGAATCTACTGTACTCGTCTTTCTCAGGCTCCGAAAAATTGTCATCTCTAGTTTTGTTAAAAAATATATTTTATCATTCAATTGCTTTATCATAAACTTCTCGCGTCTCGAAATCCTCCTTCCTTTTAAATTTAAAGTTTGCGTAAAAATTTGAGTAATATTCCGCAATTAGTATTTTCCCTTTTTCACTTCCTTCTTGAAATTCCAGGGCGATTTTCTTTTGAGGAAATATCTTTGTGCTCGATAATAAACGTTAAATTAATTCAATTACAGTCAATTATAGAAGCTAACAAAAAATGATTAAAGCTATAAGATGATATAAAGCTACTAGTTAATATTCCTATTCTTCACAGAGATTATATTTCAGCCGATTTAGCAATTTTCTAGAGCTTGGCTGAGTATTGTTTGTTGAAATTCCTGTCTGATTCAAAAAGAGTTTTCTCGACTTAAACGTTTTCTTTCTTAGAATGCTGGCTCGAAGGGTTCTTTCCGTTCCTGTGCGATTTGCCGCCACCCCGGCCGGTGTTCCACCATCTCTCGTCGGTGACAAGTACGAAGAGACCTACGGCTTCGGTTTCAACCAGGACATTCCTGCTGACACCCCTGCCTTCGCCGAGATGGTTGCCAAGCGAAACGAAGCCGCCCACATCGCTCAGCTCAAGGGTAATTCATCAGTAGTAGAATCGACCTTTAACACCGATAATTAAGACATCGATGGCTGGGAGCAGCACGTCCTCAAGACCGCTCTTTCGCGAGCTGACGAGTACGAAGCCCGACGAAAGAAGGGTAACAATCAGGGAAATCCGAGTTGGCGTTTACTCTAACCAATTTAGCTACCGTCTACCACCCCTTCCAGAAGCAGAGCTCCTGGTTCACCGAAGACGTCTACGAAGCCGCCTACTTTTACCCTCGACTCTTCAAGGCCAACGTCGAGCGATACCGGTAAATAAGCACTCCAAATATATGCTTTAAAACGAGCGAATTAAGACGACACAACGTCTGGGGCCTCGAAGAAGAACTCCAGTCTACATGGGCTAAGCCATACGCTGCTTTCTGCCTCCTCTGTCTTTTGATCGCCAACTCTGGCTCGCAAGACTCGCTCGAGGGCCCTGGTATCTTCTCCGTCTTCGGCGAAGTCATGGACGGCCACTGCCAGTAATTCTGGAGCCAGATCTGTTCTGTCCAAAAATCTGTTCACCTCCTAAAACAACATCAAAAGCTCCCCCCTACTGGTTTAAAACAGTTGGCGATGGAATTCCCCATTCCAGCTAGATCTATTTATTCCGACTTTATGTCGAGTTCAACAATATTCACTCCTTTGTGACAAAAACTGTTCCAATAAACGTTAAAATTTGAAATAGGACTTTGCTAAACCATTAATCTTCTCGTTAATATTATTGGTTTACTTCGACTGAGTTGCCTTTTTATAGAGTTTTATTCGGGGAAGATGGGGGGCAATCGGAAAACCTCCTCTACGAAGGGCGGAAAGTACATGAACCCCACTGACCAGGCGCGGAAAGAGGAGCGAAAGAAGCAACTCAAAAAGCACAAAAAACAGCGAGAAGCAGTGCGCGAGGCAGTCATCAAAAGCAAGAATCCAAACTCAGTCCTCGATGAGCTATCCAAACTTGACGATCTCGAATTCGACGCTGAAAATGAATGTCCTTACGCCGACAGAGTCATGCAAGAAAAACGGCAACGAATGAAAGCTACTTATTTCAAGGTTCTAAACTGAAGATGACTCGGTAGATGATCTTTCGTTTCAGATTCTAGAGTACTACAAAACTGCCGGAAAAATGGACACTTGGAAAGAGTACCAAGATGACTACAATCAATATGAGCGAGAAAGAGAAAGAAAACAAAGCTTGTACCAAGCTGTATTGAAAGCAAAGAACTGGTCCGTTGACCAAATTCCACTTCCAGATGCCCCTCTTCCGGACTCGGGCATCGCTGGGATCCCCTTGCCAATGGGTCTTCCCCCACGAATGGGAGCATCATCATCCTCTCGCGCGTCCTCTGGGCCACCTGGCCCTCCTCCCGGGCCTCCACCAGGTATAAACTAACCAATTTACTCTTTGTAACAATTTTTAGAAAAGAAGAGATATAAACGGCCATCGCAGAAAGACAGCACGATTCAAAACACTCTTCTGGCTCTGGCCGGACAAGAAGCTCGAGAGCGCGAAGAAGAAAATCCTCCTCCTCCACCTCCTGGAATTCCTCCGCTCGATAATCGAACGAGGAATCCTTATGCTGTTCAATTCCACCCTCGGCCTGTTGATCCTGCCGCGGCTATGCAAGCGCATGCTATGGTAAGAACTACCGAATAGAATAGTTCGTTTACTGATCCATAGCCAATATCTGCTGGAATTCCTCAATTTGCAGCACAAGCAGCGTTCATGCGTCCAGCTGTTCCCGCAACGGGCTTAATGGCACCAGACATTTCATCTGCTCCAACGTCCTACAACGCACCAAAAGGAGCCACAGAGAGCGCTCAAAAGTTGTCAGCCACCCATCAAAAAACGCTCTCGGCCGCACCAGTTATTAACCGTCCAAAAAGTGATTCTATTTTGTAATTTATTTCCTTACAAAGTTTAGCTCAAAATACCATGTTCATGCCGAGCTCATTGAGGGGAAACAAAAGAAGCAATGCTGCACTTACGCCGAGGGCTCTGTCGACGCGTCCTGCTCCACCCGTCGCTAAGCCAGCTCCGCCAAAGAATCAAGATAAAGCATATGAAAATTTTATGGCAGAAATGGCTGGTCTCTTGTAACTGCTATTATGTCCTTTTTTCTCCTTTCCTGCCCTGCTTATATGTGAAATAAAGTATTTCCGTCTTCATGAACAAAGACATTAAGACAATTTTTACTTGTCTTAATACTAACGCAAGAAATTCTGTCTTTCTATGAGTTTTATTTCGAGTAACAGTAATACATACTGAGATGTTAAAAGGTTGAACATAACATTATTGAAAGCAGAGGAACATAAATTATTGATAAAATTGGCGGACGATGTGATGAATGTTGGCCACTGTCGGGGATGTGAATCAATTGTTCAACTATTTCTACGATGCAATTTGGAAAATAAATTACATCCCTGATAACCTTAACTTGTTTCATTCCCCATAAGTAGAAGAAGATCGTTGCATGCTCTCGTGTTTCTATTTGCTTCGTCCATGCACTCAGCTCTTTTCTGCCAGTGTTGGGGAACGCTGAACCCTTTTCGTAACTTCAGGTTGTTCATCTTTTTCATGGATTTTATGGCCCAGTCAGCTGCATATGAAGTTCTGGCGTAGACTCCAGGATGTCCTTGTTTGGCACAACCGATTCCAAAGCTTACAACGCCAAGACTCAAAGGCACGCCGTCGATTTCACATGACAGTGAGCCCCCAGAATCGCCTAGACACGCATCAGTTCCTCCAGCGAGTACGCCAAAACACAGCTGGAAATCTTGGATTCTGACTCTCGTATTCAAGTTTCGCATTTGATTGAACAATCTCTGGCATTGACCGGACTCAATCCATGGCAAATCCGCTACTTTGAGGCTTGAAAATGGTCAAGAACACGAATAGAAAAAATATGCGATTTTTGATAACTTGAACCAGTCCTTTCACTTGCAGTTTGTCCATCGGCTACGGTAACGCCCCAGCCAGCAATCTTGCATGTCATGGAATGTGTCTTGAGAAAGCGCAGAATCTCTAAATCATGATTTTCTTTTCAGGCTATTCAGTCTATAGTCTCAGGACACATTTTAAAATGAGATATGAAAGCCCATCCTTGTTCGTTTAACTTCGGCATGCAAATCGGTCGAACTGCGTGTGCTCCATAGCGATAGACAAGTTTCTCGTCGAGCATAAGAAGTGCGAAATCATAGTAAAAGGTTTTGCTGTCCCATCTCGGATGAATCTCCACCGCATTTATCTTCCGTGTCTGAACGCCGATCAAGTCTGCGAGTTGGCTCAATCCTATGTTCGTTTTAGTACTTCCAGCAAGAATTGAAAGCTTCGGCCAAATTTTCCAACTTTTCAAATCGCCTTCAAAGCAGTGAGCAGCGGATAGGACAAAACTTTCGACTGGATGAAAAACAAGAGATTTAAAAAATTGTTCAAAAAGTTATCAAATGATAAAAAATGATTAAAAATTTTTAATCCTCGCTTGGAGCAATGACTGCTCCACCACAAAAATGTTGGAATGGAAACTCTCCTGGGCCATCTTGACGGAACTGAATCGATACTTGCCAGGGATGGTCTTTGATATCGCCGTCGCTGCCACCAATGACTCTACCTTCTAGCGCCCAGTCGGCATTTGAGTGGTTCAAACAGATGTCTTCATGAAACCATTCCAACGGCAGATTCTCATGGCTGAGTCTATATCTGTCTACAAACGGAACAGTTCGTCCACTAGCAAAAAGAAGCGACGTATCTTTCTGAATCAGGGGTCCATAAAATCCGAGAACAGCACTTTGTGGGTTTTGTTTTTATCATTTAAACATCTTAACTTTTGCTCTAATAAATCCCAACACCGAACGAGAAGAAAACAACAACAAGAACAACAATGCGGGTGATCGAAGCACACTTAGCAGTCGACCTCCTTCTTGCATCTTTCTCATTCTCTTTTTTAGCCATCTCTTCTTGAATCATTCTTTTGTCGTCTGACATAATTAATCAATTATAACTCAAGAAAAATTAATAAACGTAAAAAACTTAAAAAAGAAACTTAAGAATAACGAAATGAAGAAGACTACGTTCCCATTTTAGCAACAACGAGATTAAAATCTACCGGAAATTTGGTGGCTACTCGAGAACTGAAAATCAGATTTTGAATTGATTCTTTGAATCGAATTTGAGTTCAATAGGTTCAAACGTTCCTGTTATAAAATATGATAGCTGCTCACTATTTTTATAAAATCTAACCAGGCAGTAAAAGTATCAATTGTAATTACATTTGTAAATCAGGTCATCTTCCACGAGTCGATCTCACAGTGGGAATCGGTTGAGTGAATGGCTTCGCTTCGGTCCAAGGGGCTTCTGAAAAATCGGTTCATCGCTCTGCTGATCAATTTCTAGGGTAGACACCGGTTGTTTGCTTCATGCATCAAAAACTTTTGATTTCAGATTTGATTAAATGATTTACGGTTTACAAGTAAGTAAGTATTCTCGGATGGTGGCACGAAAATAACTGCCATAATATCTTCTATTGCCATATCTACAAATATAAAAGACAATTTCAAATTGTCAATTCTCCTTTTTACATGCAATAGATTCATACATAAATCGTTTAATTCGACAGATATCAATGCTTTTTACAAGAAAGAAATTGGTATCCATTTTTTATTAGAAACTTTATACTGCATACTTTACTGGCAGTAGGCTACTAGCCGTGAAATGATTACAATTGTCTGAAGAAGACCTAAATAACATTCAGATTGTAGGCCATCAGAATAATCCTAGTAGAATGTGTGAGGCGTAAAATTGATAAGGCAGGTGATGGAGTCGATAACTGTGCCAAGTGTGACGCTTGATAGCATCGGTCGACCTGAATTTGCGTCCACATTTGGCGCCATCTTCTGCCGCTGCGACGGTTAAAGCCGCCCCGCTGTTCTCTCAGACAATACACTTTCAAACCGAAAAATCAAAAACAAAATCAAGAGACACATCAACTTTCAGCTTAATTCTTTTTCAAAAAGTAGAACACTTATTCTGGGTTATTGCTTTTGAAAAGAGAATCAATCACGGTAGGAATTACGCTATTCTAGCTTTTGCTTATGTGAAGCTTAGACCCCGAACAAACGAGACTAACAACAAGACAGGAAAGTAAAGAAACATGGCGTCCAGTTTTGTGCAACTCTTCGGCTACATGATCAGCATGATAGGTCTACTTTTGACCATCATTATCTGTGCCAGACCTAACTGGAGGGTCAATGATCTCGACGGAGAAGTCATCGAGTCTATTAGACGTTCCTCTGGCCTCTGGTCTCGTGTAAGTACAAAACAGCCATTTTCCTTCAACTATTGATTTTTCTCCTATATTTCTAACACTCTATTCAGTGCACATACTATAATACTGGCAACTGGCAATGCGATCAGTACGATACCTTCTTCCTTGGATTGCCCGCTCCTCTTCAAGTTGCCCGTGCTTGCGTCTGCATTGCTTTGGCTTTCCAAGGAATTGCTAGTTTGGCTGCTTTTGCTGGGATGGAATGCACAAATCTCATTCCTTCTTACGAGTCAGCTGATCCAGGTTAGAAATTAATTTTATTATATTTTCTAATAATGGTTCCAAGAGGGTGACAATGCTGCTATCAAAAGAAAGATCATGCTGGGTGTCGGCGGCTCCGTCGTCTTCGCCGGTATCTCGCTGTGCGTGGGAGTCAGCTACTACGCCGCGACCGTGCTCCAAGAGTACAATGGAACAAACATGATTCGAATGAGTGGAATGAATGGCGGTATGCGCGGGCCCAACACTCAGCTCCAAGTCGGCGAAAGGTAAACCTTGATTTTCAATTCAAGCGCCAATGGAATTTCATTAGGTACATTTACGGTTACTGTACTTATCTCGGCTGGATCGCCATGATCATCAACTGGATTGGTGGTGGCATCATCATCTGCGCGAGCTGTTCTTCTAGCTCGGTTGGTGATGGGTCCATGTACGGCACCCAGCGCGGACTTATCACTCCAAATTACGCCCAGCCCAACCAGTTCAACGGCGGCCAGCGCAAAACCAACTACGACTCCAACGAGTACCTCTAAGTTTATCGATTTCCCCCAAGGTAGTTTGAAATAATCGAGCCTCTTTTAACCGAACTTTAAGATTGCGAACCCACTAATCGCCTTATCATCTTCCCCCGCGAACATCCCCATCTCCCTGAAATTGTTACTGCCCAAACCTTATCTTGACAAATAAGTCGCTTGAAAAGGCAAAAATAAAAACTGAATTCATTCCAATATCTTTGTTTCTTTTCATAAATATTGTTCAAAATGATATGCTTTGGCGATCCGGCCCTCAGCGCTAAAATGTCGCTGATTTATATCGCAAAAATATAGAAAAAATGCAAGTTGCAGGAGTTAAGAGAATTGTTTTTTTAACTTTTCTTGTTGGACTTGGCTTTTTAGTAAGTCTCGCATGTCTTCCTCCTATCAAAATTTCATTTTTACATTATAACTTATAATTTATAAGATAATTAAAGCAACAAAAAACAACGAAGACTTTTTGGAGACAAATCTCGATGAAAACTCAAAGCAGAGAAGATTACCTCAAGCAATTTGCATCGGAGCGAAGAAATGCGGAACTGGGGCTTTAAAAGATTTTCTCTCACACCATCCGCTAATCGCTACTCCAGCAGCCTACGAGATGCACTTTTTCGACAACATAGAAGAGTACTCGAAGGGGATCGAATTCTATAGATCCATGATGCCCAGAACACAGCCCTCGCAAATAACTTTTGAAAAGACTCCGAAATATATGGTGATGCCGGAAGTACCCCAGCGCGTTTTTGACATGGACCCGAATATCAAGTCATGGTTTTTGCGTGGAATTTGTTACCCGCTCTTTCGGATTTATCAAACCATTTAAAGATCATCATTGTTGTCTGCGAGCCGAAGAGACGAGCGTATTCAGAGTTTATCAAAAGACTGTTATCAAAGTACACTTCAAAGGTTACTAGAATTTGCTCTTGGAATAATGCGTTCAATTATTTATTGTACACAATAATTAATACGTAGATTAGCGAATTACGAAATACATTAATTCAACAGAGAGCGAGATGGAAGAAGCAAAACTACGTGCATTTGAGCAATTTTCAATTGATTTCATACGTAGATTTGAGCAACGAAGGAGGAACAAGGGCGAAGACGATTTTCGAGAGCTGGTGAAACAGATTCATAGTACGCAGGTTGAAGCGACTGTACTAACCAATGGACTTTATTCAATTCATTTGGACAATTGGCTAAGAGCTGGGCAAGCCGGGTTCAAATAACCTTTATACTTGATCAGTATAAAATTACTAGATCCCTTCATAGCTTCCAAAAGCCTCAAATTTTAATCATCAATGGCGAAGAACTAATAAAAAATCCATCAAAGGAAAGGTCAATTAATATCTGTCTATAAAAGCTTGCTTCTTTAGGCGGTAATAGAAGCACAAGAGTTCCTCAATATTCCAGTGATTCTGACGTCAAAAAACTTTGTGCTCGACGAAGAAAAGCAATTTTTCTGTTATCGCGCTAGAGAAAATGAAAAGCCGTCATGTTTAAGCGATCATAAAGGCAAGACAAGATCAAATGGTGGTCCGAATTTCAGCGAAGAATTCATCCAAAGAGCTGATGCTTTTTTCAGTTATTACAATAAAGAATTGTTTTCATTCCTTGGAGTCGAAACGCTCCAAGGGTGGTAGCTCGAAAAAAAAATCAGTTTATCTTGAAATCTTGTAGCCCGCAGGAGTGATTGGTTTTTGGCCTGACTTTTTCGGTTTTGTTGTCCAGATCGAAATGTATCTCGTTCCGTATTTATTTCAGTTTTTTATACGCGGGTTCACTGAATTTACCAAGCGGGCAGAGAGGCAAAATGAGAGAGAATGCGAGACACAGGAAAAGTAGTCCAGCTGCACATAACTGTTAAATTAGCTTGTCTTTAACTCGTTTGAATCAAACACTTTTGAATACTTGTAAGGATGAGTTTTCTACAGCCGTAGAGCTTCTCACTGAGGACGAGGTTGAAATGGAGAGACAGCGGCTAATAAACGAGTACAACTCCAAGATGGCGGAAATTAATGAAGACCAGGCGGCTTATAAGGGAAGTTAGACAAGATAAATGCCTTTCTTATCTTTGTAGTCTTTTGATTATGCTTAGTTTTATTGAGCAAGCTTCGTTGTTTATCTTTATAAGAAAACTCAAAAGAGACTTGAAGAGCTTCTTAAACTGAGAGAGGAGAAGATTCAACGAGCGGATACTCTTCATTTTGAGGGATCACGGATGCTCGAGGAAGCAGATGATCTAGCGGTAGAAGTAGAGGAAGGATCGGATTTTCATTCTTGTCTATTACAGTCTACAAGGCATTTTAATAACAAGTTTGAATCCAAATTAAAGTTGTTGACTACGAAATCGCCAAGTTGAAAGACGAGCTGCAAACCACGATCGACAAAATGAAGAGAACCGGCTTCAAAACTTCCGCGAAGAAGCATGTTGTCATTTCGTGCCCAGTTTGCCTCGACGAGTACACTGATGAGAGATTTCGAGTTGCCCTTATTCTGTGTGGCCACGAGTTCTGTGATTCCTGCGTCAAGAAGCTTCCTAAAACAGCTCGAACGCGTTCCAGTGGAGTGGAAGCTACGTATCAAGAGTGTCCGATGTGCTCACGCAAATTCTACCAGGAGCATGTTCTCAAACTGTACCAACACTCGGCTTGAATTCTTTCTAAGAGTATCTCGCTCATTAACATTTCATTGTCTTTATAAAGAGCACGTCTGCCCTTTCAATAAATGTTTAGCATATTCCCAATATACTTGAATATGAATGTCCATCTGTGTTTATAGGAGCAGTGTCTATTCAGCACCGAAATGATACTCGCATTTTATATTACAGAAGAATTTGCCATAGTTTGTGTGCACGAGGCCTATTCTCATTACGCAAGATTTCACAAGAACTAAAATGTGAAAATTATATGGTACAATATAATTTAGATAATATAAGCAAATGTTTATTGTTCGAAGCTGTTATTCTAATCTAAATCTGTTCCAGCACAATCGTGGTCTTCTTCAAATCGCGTTCAGTCTCATCTCCTTTCACCAGATAAACACACAACACTAAACACCGAGTTAACTTGATTGAGTTGAAATCGAAATAGTCATTTAGGCGAAAAAAGGGAATATGATTATTTATGTCTGACTCTAGTAAAAAGGGAATTTATGTGTGACTCACGTAAAAGGGGAAAGGCAATGTACATGACAGTTATACCGATGATAAATGCGTATAACTTTTTGAGGTTGACACTAATTTCAATAAAAATCCAACTTGAAAGAGCGAATTAATCAAAATTTGGGAGCTTAGTCCTCCTTGATTCCTGTTCATCATTCATAATCTGTCAGGCGCGCGCTGCAGCTCTTCTTGTGGATCGGTGTCTCTAGTAGATACTCTCTACTGTTAGCAAATCTAAGCAATGAGAACTTCAAACCAATATTCCGAAGAATATTTGGATCAGACAAAGCAACAACAATTTGCATTCGGCGCTTTGTGACTCCAGCGCGACTTGCAGTGGCCAGATTGATGACGACGTTTATTCGGATAAAACAAATTACTTACTTTATAAGATTATCGCATAGCCTGACGGGTACCGTAACTACTTGCACTTAAGCTAGTTCTTACATATATTCAAAAGTGAATTTATGAAATAGAAGAATCGAAACGCAGAACACCTCTAAAAACTCGTCGTTTTTGTGTTGTGAAATTTAGTAATTTAAAACGAGCATGAAAAAACCATCTGACGATAATTGGCCACTTCATTTCAATAGAATTTCTATTGAAAAAAGTATGCTGACTTGAGCAATCAACTTTGAGAAAGCGCCCCAAAAATTTTATTCAACTCTTGTGCGAATCGGTGATTTATTGGCGCGTGCCCAGATGGCTTTCGGATATTGGAGTCGCTTGCCTCCGTCTGTTCAAAACACTAAAAGAGAAACAAGCTAGATAAGAAAAATTATATTTTTTTCTTCTTATTCTCCTCGGCCAGAGGAAGCTTATCAGAAAACTGTTTTTGTGTCAATCAGCGATCAACTGAAGGAAAATAGATTTTTGTACTTCTTTTAAATCGAGGAATGTGACACAAGAATCTCAGTGGGAGCAGTTAAAAGTCGAAGATGGCTCTTTAAAAGTATGTATTTACAAGTATCTTTTTAAAGAGATATAAAATCCCGAAGTGGGAATTTTTCATGGGCCCTAGCCACGATACCCCTCTATTGATAGGATTTTCTTCGCTTTTACGATTTTATGCGTTCAGATTTTACGAGCGCTTGGCGATGATGATAAAGACTAGATGCCCGCGCTATTTTTCATGTCCCGAATTGTAATTCCGATCGGCTCAAGCCAAAACAAGAGAATCACTCCTCACGCGTTTCAAAATGAGCACAACCCCCTGCCTCGTCGAAATTAACATTTGAAGAAGCCAAAAAGAGAGCTAAGATCAGACTGAACCCATTCGAAAGTTTTTTGAGCGAAGATTTTGAATTGAAATAGTCGATTTTTCAAGGAAAGAAGCGATATTTGCGGAGGTACACACGATGGTAAACTGTGCAAGTGCTCTTAGGTGGGAACTCGCTTAGGGGCATGTCATGTGACCTTATTTTGTGACGGGTGTTTGTCACCCGTCTAAAATACATCATAATCGGTAGCTGGCAGATCTTACAAAGGGCGCGCTTTTACAGTAGCCATCGTCTTTTACCTTTTTTTCGGGAGTATTAGAGATGATACAGTAATGAGAACTAGAAGCACAGTCGCCTTGCGGGAAATAACAAAACAATCCTTGATAAACAGAACTATTTGCTGGACAATTTACGCGCTGCAGGAATCCGCCAGATTCATGGCCAAGCAAATACAGTCGCATTACACATTACATGCACCAATGTTCGCAGTACAGTATTTCAAATTCCCAAGCCAAAATTTCTGATTTTCAAATCACTAAATACCGATAAGCTGGGCTCGACAACCTTTGTAGGAAACCTGAGGCAGGTTCTGAAGAGCCTAAATCAAAAATGTTAACAAGGGAGAGAATAAAATAATTATCGAAATCGATTATCAGCGAAAAATCTTGAGCCTCTGCGCTCGCTATTCGCTTCAAACTTCAACAAAAAAAGGGAAACGCGGAGAAGCCCGAAAGGTTAAAATCACTGGCTGAAGCGATCGGGATTTCCGAAAGTTATTATGATATTTTTTTATAAAAAAGTATTTCCCCCTGCGGCGAAATTTTGGTTCGATCGTGGTTTCAGGCGTCAGCACCGCCGAGAATTTTCACCTTTGGAAAAAAATTAATTTCTTTTTGCGGAATTTTTTATTGTACTCTTTTTGACTTGAAAATCCATGAATAAGTGTCGCTTTATTATCGTTGATCATCAAAATTTGGCAATGTGCGTTTTTTAATTACTAAACTAGCGAAATATTTGCACTTGAATTTGACGCGGCGGCCAATTGAACCACGAAGAACTGAGCTCAATGAGCTCCTTTTCCAGAAAGAAAAAAAGAGAAATTTCTCGGTCTCCAAGAATACCAAAATTTTATTCCCTCCAAAAGCACCCTTTTTTATCAAAAGTCGCTAAAGTGAAAATTACGATGTGGTACTTTTGCTTTAATATTTTTTTATGTGAATCTTGAAAAAATTGATGCTTGAAAGGAATTTTAAAACTAGCGAAAACAAAGAGAAACTTTTTAAAATTATTTTAATTTTAATCATTCACGACTTGATTAAGAATTCTCCAAGTTTCTTAAAAAAGAGGATAATGAGCGTGAGCTTCCGGCATTTTCTTAGGCGTACTTGTCTGGCTTTGTCGAACTCGCGAAATAAACTTTTCATGAGCCACGCGCCTGGCTCTTTGTATTCAAGTAAAAAGAAACTTTTCTTCGAAAACTAGAAAATAGAGAAAATAGAGTAGGAATGGTTAATCGGCTCCTCGAGAGTTGTGTTTTACAAAAGTCCAGAAAAGTTCTATAGCTGGATTAATCAATAGACCAGGCTGGTGGCCAGGAGCCAAATTTCTCATCCAATTGACTCTAATCCGGTGTGCAGGGCTTTTTTTGTTTTCTCGAGAATCTCCGCTTTCGACGGTTTTTATTAAATATTTTCTGACCTTTTACAGTGCTGCTTACTGTAATCTAAACATAAAGAATTTGCGCTTTAGTTAGTGGAAACTTGATTTTCGCTTCCTTTTTTTCTTTCAAAAATATATTTGACTTGTCTATCCAGAATTGGCTTTTTTATTTCCTTTTCAATCGGCTTCGTTTTCTTTTTTTATGACAAGAACGAAATCTTTTTAATGATTTTACAGCTCGTTGGAATGGCAAACGCCAGAAATTCGTTTTCGATCGTTTGATTGCTGCTCGGCCTCAGGTTTAACGATGTCGAGGATTTTTTTTTGCATCCTGGCGGGGTGATTCATCAACATTAAACCAATGCCACTTTGGAAAAGGCGGCGCTAATTTCCTGTTCATTCTTGCTTTTGTCAAGTTGTTGTTTCGCTAACTGGGTGTTTTTGAGAAGGCGAAATCGGAAGTCGGGTGTACACTGCGATCACCTAAAATGGGATGCCGGAGACAGAAACTAACCTGATCGGAAGAACAGAAGAAGAAAGAAATAATGTTCAAAAACGAAAAGGGAAAGCGCACCTCCTCCAGGTAAGCGATTTCGATCAAGAGCGCTTTATCTCAGCTGGCTTGTATTCAGTTACAAAGTCTCCGTAATCGGATGTTCTGGTCCAGTCGCTTCCAACTCCAATCAACTGGGTGGCGACAGCGATCTCGTAGGAATAGGCAAGTCCTCCTTTTGCGCGCGCTTCATGTACCCAGACCAGGATGAGTACTCGCAAATGGACAAGCGCTCGATCATCTCCAGCGTCGATTTCGCATCCGGCCTGATCAACTACCATCACACGCTCTGGTGGGGCACCACAACAGTGGAACCCGACGAAAAGACAGAACTCAGCTTTTCGCTCCTCGAGCAGACCGTTTTCGTCGACGATTCCAGCCTCAAAGTGTTCGACGCCGACAAGCTCAAGAAGGAGCCGTACGAGAAGCGTTGCGCTATCGAGGTTTTCAAGAACTGGCGCCAAAAGAAGTTCAAAGGCTTTGCGAATTTTCACGACACACCGGAGCACGAGAACGACAAGATGCCAGACAAATTCAAGATCGACGCCTTTCTGCTTCTGATCGACGTCAGCAAGGAGCGGCACGACAAGCAGCCGATCGAGAATCAGCTGGTCATTGTCGAGAAAATTCTTAAGAACATGAAGGATATCAAGAAGACGCCCGTGGTTGTTGCGTTGACCAAATATGACAAAGTAGCGGAGAGCCCCAGACTGGAAGACGACATCAGCGGCAAAGTCAAGAACTTTTTCAAGCGGCCCGAAATCGAAAAGAAACTCCTAAAGCAGCGAGAAGTGCCGATTATTGAGACCTCGGCGGACGAGAACGTGAACATTTCGGAGACGTTTCAAGTGATTGCCTCCCTTGTTGACAAGCGGCGCAACAATAAAGAGAGCAGAAAGTCCGTCGAAGTGAAGCCCTTTCGACAGGCGCGCGAGGAAGTGCTAAAAAACGAGGCGCGAATCAATGAAGATTTCAAGGAGTTCCTCAAGGAGAATCTGGTCCAGTACGAAACGACGTACAAGGAACTCGAGAAAAAGTTTCACCCCGACTCGAGCGCCTTCAAAACATTCGTTAGGCTATTCGGAACTAGCATGGCGCGCAAGGTGTTGCGTGAGCGAGTTAAGGACCTGAAGAATCTTTACCACGACACGATCATCCGCGGATACAAGCACTATGTCGACATGGCTTTAGGAGAACTGATTGCGGACTCATTCCAGAACGCAACGCCCACGTGGGACGAATTGATAGAGGAGGTCAAGACGAAAAACAACTTTAACAAGTGGTTCATCACGCTTCCCAACTACGACGCTGTGAATGGACACAACGGCAAAAGCGGCAACGATGGAAAGTATTGGTACGAAGACGAACACGTGAATCAAACGAGCGATATTCGAATTCCCATCCATGTACTGACGGACGAATACGCCGGCGAGCTCTTCAAAAAAGACACACTTGGGAAGATCGAACGACTCAAATTAGCAAATCATGCATTGCGATCAGCTTCCTCTCTCCAACTCACGGAGCAGTCTAAGTCCACAAATTCGATCCCAAATCGTTTGGGAAAATGCTCTTCCCCCTCGATCCACTCATCGTCGACGAACGAACAAATGTCCGAAAACGACCTCTCTTCCATCGGGAAGCCGGACCACACTGCTTTCAGACTTAACCCAAACAGGTAAATTCAACAAAGTGAGAGCTCAATTGACGGTTTTATAAGATGGTGCTGGAACGGCGATAGAAACAACACCATTAAAATTCTGTTTCTCTCCCAAAGCCCCATTCCGCTTCAAAAATTCTCAGGTAAGCAGCAATATCAAAATGCATCAAAGCATATTTTATCATTCGCAGAAAGTCTTGGCACTGGCGTCGAGATATTTCAATTCAACGAATCATTTTCCAAAATGGACCTCAACCAACTTTACCCTCCGCATTCGCCGAACGGAATAATGGCAGTGTACTCTGACGGCGAAAATCTTCAATTTTGCAAAAATTGGCTCACTTCCGCGACGCTGGAAGATGATGCACCTCTCAAGGCGATACCGGTATCTTTAGTGATGAATCCCGACCATGACATGGATCCTTACAAACGACAGCGGCACGCAATTGACGGTAGCGAGTTCTTCAACGAGATCAACGGTTCCTTATCGGCGGGCTTCTTCTTCTCTCCTCCTTCAAATCAGCAACTTCATCTCCCCCAGAAAATGAAAGAGTTCGTTCACGAATTGGCCAACCTACCCTCAATCCGGAGCTCTGTGATGAATGCGTCCACAAATCAAAAGCTTCAAGAAGTATCTGGCGGTCCGTTGATAGACGAGTCATCGATTGTTCTTGGGGTCTGCGCGCCTGCACTGGATAAGGAACCGAGTGAGATCTTTCAGAAGTATCTGAGTAATCAAGCGCAGCAGCTCAACTATGGCGTTGGAAAATATGGACCTAATTGGCTTCAGGTATTCTTCTTTGCGCAGTAGCATTCTAACATTCTTAAACAGATCGATGACATAATCTTCGAATTCTTCGAATTTGGAAGCGGCTCCTCCCTCGAGCAGCCCGATGTCAGTCACGTTGATGGTTTAATTTTCTGCTTTTCAAAGCTCAACGGCCTCCAATCGTGTGCCGAATTTTTCTCAAGGTCTCCTGCGTCCAAAAAGCCCTTTCAACTCTTTCAGGTATTCTTTATATAACTTTTCTCGCCGACCTTATTGAAACATTGAAGAGTACATCAAGTCACTCGACCGAAGACAGTTTCCAGCGACTGGCGAGCGAAAAGTTTGGCGAAGTCAAGTACGAAATCATACGAAGCAGTCAACTCTTGTCGCCTCTTTTGACTAAAGAGCAGCAAAATGAAGCGCGCCTTGACCGGAAATTTGAAGAGATCATCAACGCAGCCAAGGCGAGCAAAAGCATAGGACGGATGTTCAGCGATGGCACAGTTGAGACACTTGCCACTCCCGACAGCACATTCAGCACGCTCGACAAAAATTCAAACTTTGGTACACATAAAAGGTTTTTCTTTGAATGATATCCTTTTTAGGGTCGTCTTCCATCTCTGTGGAGTCATCGGACGCGGCGGAAAATGTTCGCGATAGAGCTATGAGGTTCAACCAGGCGCATTTTCCAGCGACAAGGAGCAAAGGTACCCATCACTTAATCAAAATTAATGTTCTGTTCCATCGTTTGATCATAATAACAGCTAGCATGTTCTAAATCACGTGTGAAACAAGCGTTACAGTTGCATGGTAACGGATGCCTGATAATATTTAGTAAAACTTAATTTCATAAATCTCATCATCGACAGCTCACTGAGAATAATTGCCATCATTTGATGATTAAAATATTCAATCTGTAGAGAAGCAACTTATTTCAATTTTTTTCGCGTAGTTACAGTTAACCACCATGTCGGGAGGCTCGACCGATCGAAATTGGAGGGACTGGATGCGAAACTCGCCGATGTTTATTCCGAAAAGCGGCGAGTGTCGATGCCGACTTCGATGATCGGCGACTTTCTTTCCCCGTCCATTGCATCTTCCTTATCATCATCCGTCACCAGAGTTTCTGGTTTAGTTACTGGGTGTTTAGTTTGTAGCTTTCTATTTTTTATCAGTTGTTTAAATGTTTCTCTTTCCGATCAAAAAATTTGAATGTACAAATGATTGTTTGTAAAATATGTTTTTGATACAATCGTTCACTTTCTTTGCTTGGAAAATAGAGAGTATATTCGGTGAATCGGTGTTATTCAATAGTACACCCTAATGATTAGATTCATCTCCGAGTTCCTCCAGCCGCCTGGGCATGTTCCGTCGCAAAACAACTCAATCTTCAGATCAAGGGCTAGAGAACGGAAAAACCACTGGCAAGAAAGTCAAGAAGCGCCGTTCAAAGGCAAACGATTTAAATACGGTAAGTTATAATTCTTATGTTTTCAATTTTTTACTGTAATAATCTAAGTTAATTGTCAAACCACTGTTCTCTTAAAATGAATGGCGAAAGAAATCACAGCTCTCTGAATAAAAATATAATTATTTTATGATGGGATAAAGCGAAAGCTCGCGCAGGCAATAAGGAAAGAAGATCGATACTGTATTCTTAGCGAGCTTCGTAGCCAACTGCGACCGACCCAGTGCCCCTTATTCGATTTTCGTCAAATGCTTCCTCTCTTCGTTTTTATGAAAAAATTGCGAGAGAAAGCGTAAAGAATATTTACTCGAATGCCTGCCTCCCAAAAAAACTATGGCAATTTTAAAGAGTTTGAGAGTGTTGATATTGGAGAAAAAATAGTCGACCTCGAAAAAGAGTTGGTTTTCTTGTGAATACTATAAACAGCTGTATCGCCTTTGTTTAGAATTTACTTATGCAAGGTTTTTCCTTTGTCCAACTCTGAGAAATAGAGAGCCAACGGCGATCATCCGATAATGACATTCTCAAGGACTGTACGAATGATCGCCCTCAGCGCAAGAGTTGAAATGAGTTTCGAAAGTTCATCTTCTTTATTAGTTTAGCAGGCTACTTACCAAAAGTTTTTTTTTGTAATTTTAACAAACGATATAGTTAATTTTTTTTTTTGAAACTCTATCGGTTGGGTGACATTCATGATGCACAAAATGATTCGGTCGTTGAGTACAACTTCGCTCCAGAGCACATCCAAATTGAAAAAGCCATTTTTATTTTCGAGCTCTCTGCGCGCTCTCAAAGTAAATTAATGACAAGTTAATATCATTTCCAGCATATTAAGAAATAGGTTTGCACTTTGCACCGCTTGTCTGGTAATCAGACTGATGAACTGTTTTATACGACAGCTCCTCACCAATCAGTAATATTTTGATTAACCTGCTAGTCTATTTCTTTTAAAAACCATGCGAGGATGCAAAGTGTAAACCTTTTCTGACTTCTCAGTCCACGCGTTCTCTTTGCTCTCATCTAACACCGAACAGCAAGCGAAAATCTGCCGCCCAAATTGTCGGCCATGTTTGCTCAACGCTCGCTAATTTGCTTTTAGTCTTTGAAAGACTCAGATACTGAATCTCTTCACGATATGTCAACCAGTGTAGCTGCTATTTCAAACAAGCAAGAAAATTCTTCAATTTTATGTAAGTCACCCAAATCGAGGCACCCCGTGAGGCTAATTTTCAGCCCAACTCGACACTCACCATTCCAAAAATTCAAAATCCCGACCTCGATTCACCACGCCGAAACCGATCCGAGAATTTCTCGGGATGGAGAAATCCCAGAGTAACAGCTCGACAGCAAAAGGAGTTTCTCCATTTACGCCGAACCCGCTGCATCACGGTGGATACAGCGATCGCTTCTTTCGTAGAGAACTTGGGGATGAAGGCACATTCGAGAATCTCGAGGGACCGGATGCTCTTGTGCCTGTCTTCCTTAAGGTCATCGTAACTGCCATTGAAAGCTCTTGTAAGTTTTCCGCGACGGAATTGATCAAAGAAATTCACCTATTTTAGCACTCGACTACGAAGGACTGTATCGGGTTCCAGCTGACAGCAAAAAACGCTCTCTTCTGCTCAAGCATTTCGATGAGACGTTCAAAAATTCTTCAGATTTCGACTTCGGTGATCTTTCTCTGGCGCCAAATACACTAGCTGGTTGCGTTTCGTGGTTCCTAAGTCCGAAAAATCTACCTTCGCCCATAATTCCAGAGAGTCTACAGGAGGACTTGGTGAAAGCAATAGGTGAGCTCCAAAAATGAAAAATACGGACTACTCATCGTTGATTTCAGCCCCAACCAGTGAATCAGCGCCGCCTCCCTGGGAAAGAATACGCAACGTCCTGCTAGAATTACCCGTGCGTGAAAAGGGCCTTGCTAATTGGCATACGCTTCGTTTTATTTGCAGGCACCTGTACTGTGTCTCCGAGAAATCGGAGATCAACAAGATGAGTTGTCGTAATCTCGCAACCTGCTTATGTCCAACCTTTTTCCCTCTGAAAGATCCGAGTAAGTTTTTTGCTTGATTCAGGAGACAGAATCTGTCTGACAGATAAATAAACTCACTTTTTAGGCCAATATCAGTCCGAGTCATTCTCTGGTGATCTGATTGAAATTCTGATATGTCTGATAGAGCACCACGATTCCATTTTCCGCGACGATCCAAAACGCATAAAACTGATGAAGCAAGAATATTTGCGCAAAAAGTGAACATTTATTAACACCGTGTTAATTTCTAATTCTTTATTCTATTTATTATTTCCTAAATAGACACATTCTACTTCGACTTCTGAAAATATTTAAAAGAAATCTTTTTTTGGCTTAAATACCTCATTCACTACTATTTTGCCGATGACTTCTGTACTTGAGAGTTCAAAAATAAAGACGCATTTTAATCCTTACGAAGATCATTCTCAAGTTATCAAAAGATGAATCGAGAGGAATACCGCATTCAATCAAGTATAGTCTATGTAGCAAGCAATATCTAGAATCTTTGGCATGAGTCGCCATCTGCTCGGCGGAATCTTAAGGGCTCTGACGAAGTACTCCAGCAACCAACTGAAGTTTGCCTGGCCTGCCGTTAGTCGAAGAAAGGGTTCATTTTAATTGTACGTTGATAATCTATGGTCCTGCTCAAGTTGATACTGCATTAATAACAAGGACAAATAAGAGTTCGAGGCCCACTAGGATAGGACAGAAACTCTTGCTCAGGATGATTTGGTTATTATGACGATATATTCGAGGGAAACAGAAGTTGATTAGTAAATAAGGCAATCCTTAAATTCAGAATCACGATTTCTTCTGTTTCTGTTTCTTCATCAGTTTCCGGTAGCCACAAGGAACGATCGTATTCTGGAATGAGCTCCGAATGTCTTCCCTTCCTTTTATTTCCACTTCTTGCGAGTTGTTTGCAAATTCTGCAACATATCGATAATTGATCATCGGATGAATACTTTCTTCGGACATTCGTCACATAATCTCGCCAAGCTCGTTCCGAAACTCGGAAAGCGCTGATCGATACGGGTGATCATCTCCGTCGTCCAACGGAGACCCCGTATCCTCACAATTTCTCGCATTTTTACGAACAAAACTCTAAATGAAAGTCATAAGCTGAGGTACTATACATTGTGACACGTATTCAGGTTTTTAATGGAAAAACACGCGATAGTATGGCATCACATAGCACAGCAGGAGCGAAGATAATTTAAGACTAGTTAGGATGAACTTGAAAATATTGCACTCACTGTCAGAGAGAAAGAACTTGTAACTGTACTAAGGGACGAAAACGTGGTCACAAGGCGGTTGTCGATTTCGAGCAGAGTCAAGAGAATGGACAGGATTATCTTCGTTGAATGTTCAAAGTTGAGCCGATTAACGCGAAACGCTGTTTAGATTTTGTTAAAGGCAACGATGTCCATCGACTGAACGAAGTCCTCGAAGGCGACGATTTGCTCCTCGAGGTCGTCCATTGAAACTTTGTCGTCCTCGATGACGCAAGTGATCTGCAACTTTTTGATTCCGTAACTGAAGGAAATAGTTACAAAGGGATGAAAATGAGAAGTTATTTACCCGACGGCGATGAGTTTAGCGGTACCCCAGAGAAGACCGTCCATTTCGATCGATCGGACGCATTCCTCCATCTTGTCTAGTGGGGTCTCGTCATCCCAAGGCTTAATGTCGAGGATGATGTTCGATTTGGCAATGACTTTTCCTTTCTTCTCTTCTTTGGCGGCTTTTCTTGCATTGTATGCGGCGACTCGCTCGGCCTGATATTTATTTAATTATAACTTGGGTTTACGCTAATATTGATTACCTTGACACGCTCGGCTTCTTCGTCATCTTCATCATCGTCACCGAAGAGATCAACGTCATCATCGTCTTCTTCTTCGGCTGGGGCAGCGGATGCGGAACCAGCTGGGAGAGAGGTGAATTCGGAGCTGTAAGAGTTGAGATTATTCCACCATCTCAAGACGTTCTCGAATTTGGCTGCCTAAACGTGTAAAAAAGTAAATTCGTTAAATGGAAAAGAGAGCTAGTCGAAATTATAAAATGTAGAAAATCTTTACCGTCAGGAGCGGCGGCGAGAGCCTTGAAAAGGGCAACATCAGCTTGGGAAGGAACCCATCCGGCAGCGTAGGAGTTATCCAAAAGGAACTTGTTGAAAGATTCGAGACCGGAAGCTGAGGACAAATCGAACGACATTCTGACTATCGCGAGAAATTATTACCGTCGTTTTCCATCTTTAGAGCGTTTTTCAGATGACAAGGGTAGACCAAAACGCTCTTAAGTTGGAAAATTTACGATCAAACTAGGATGACAGTGGGAAAAAAATGATGAATGAAAATGCATAAAATGAACTTTTTCCAAAACTCTAAAAATGCATCTGAGGTCATTTTTACCTATTTATGATAAAAAAATTACGATCTTTGAATCAGAGGCTATGATTTCACCTGCAAAAAAGCGTAGAAAACAATTTTTTTCAATGATTTTTCAGGTTGAAATAAACGTTATTCTAATTATTAATTAAAAATTCCTAAAAACGCTCTAAAGTTGGGATTTTTTCAGATGACAAAATATGGAAAATATTGGCAAAAACGCTCTTAAAATGGGCGCTCTTAAGATGGAAAACCACGGTATACAAAAATTGTGAATTTCAGAAGTAAAATTATATCAGTCGAATGAACGATAAATATAAAAAGACAGGATTTCTGTGATGTGCAAGTTTTTTTCCCACGAATCGAAATTCGATTCGAAAGGATAGAAGCAGACTCCCGGCAGGGAAAGCGCTGATCGATACGGGTGATCATCTCCGTCGTCCAACGGAGACCCCGCATCCTAATAATTTCTCGCGATTATGCGAAAGCATCATTACTCTAAACAGACATGATTAGATGTGAAAAGAAAGTGAGCTACTAGTTTAGAGAGGAGTGAAAGAATAATTGACACAGACAGTGATGTTGGATAGTGAACATGTCACAAATAGGGACATCGACTTCGGTCTTCTTTTTTTCGACGTCGACGTAAGCGACTCATAAAACCTTCCGCTTCTTTCAAGACGGTCAGCATTGTCCTCCTTTCTTCAGGTCTATGGGAAGGTTCCACCTCGGTTGATGGTTAAGACTCGCCTGATGAGGACCCTCATCAGGATCTTCGTTCCCGATCATCATCCTTGTCTCGCTGCGGATGATGATCGTTCGCACCCCAGTTAGGGCCGACTAATTTTCTCAAATAACTCCCGAAGAGGAGATTTCGATCATCACTAAAAAAAACGGGGGTTAGAGAAGCTGAAAACGGTTAGAAGTCGCAAGAGTAACGTGATGTGATAGATAAGGTGATGTGCTAGAAGCTGAGATTGTGATTACAGTGTTTACAAAAATAAGAAGTGAGGTTGTGAGAGATTCTCATAAATCTGGTGATAAGTCGGGTTTTACGATTACTGATGGTCGTGGATGTGAGCATGCGGGTTCACATACCAAGACCATCATTGTCGCCAGTAGTTGGCGAAGGATTTTCATCCACTCTTGGATCGTTTTCGTCGGCTCATCCGAGTCACATTCGAATTCGCATTGACGCAGCCTGGGCAAAAGCCCGCCTTCGATTGCAAAAATCGCAGAAAAACATCGTATTCGACATTTAACTGCGGTTCCTGTCGCGTTGATACATTCTGAAATTTTTTCATGTAAGATAGGTCGGAAATAAAATAATTAAATGTTGACACGTAAGGCAGTTTCTCTTGAAATCCATCTTTCGAGCGGCCTCCAACGAAGAAAATAGACAGAAAATGAGGTTTCTCTTTGTTTAGGGACAGATTCTCCGTGGGTCAATGTCAAAAGGTGCGAAAAGGGAAATTCGTGTCGAGGAATTTGCAACTAATGAGTCAAGTGCAAATGAAAGGAGTAGCGTGACGTGTAGATGTGGGCGTGGGGCAGCCAATCAGCGAGCGCGGACGGTGCGCAATCAGATGAGCAGCTCAGAAGGGCGCGAAATTTGAAATCTGAGAAAGTCAGAATTTTGCTGGCATGGGCGAGATTATCCGATGCTTCGAGGAAACGGGAAATAAGAACTCTAACAAAACGGAATTTATTCATCATTCTTAAAATTAGCTAAGTTTCTCTCTCGAGTATAATCTGCGTTATTACGAGCAATTTTGTAAAAACTATCCCAATAAAAGGAAGGCTGGCCCGTGACACGTCTTTCCTCGATTCTAGAGAGCCCTAAGATCGAAGATTTTTTGGAGGACAGTCGAAACCAAGAAAAACTGTTAGAAAAGTACTTCCTGGAGGATCTAACTTTGGACATTCACGGGACCACGCGCTTGCTAAAGAAGCTGATAACATGGATGGAAGAAAAGGGCGTGGAAGTCTCTTCAGTTCTCTACGACGCGTTCAACGAGTCAAGGCTGCCGGCCGAAAGCCAGTTCGGCTGTCGCTATTACCATCTTCCCGAAGGAAAAGTGCTTCCTTTCTTTAGTTCGCGAAGCTTGCTTCTCCAATCTGGCACAACGGGTCTTTGCTCGTGGCCCGCCGCCTGGTGCCTCGCCGAGTTCGCGAATTCGGAGTCAGGGAGAGCAATCTTTGGTGAACGCAATTTTCTTGAGCTTGGCTGTGGAACAGGAGTAGGAGGAATATTTACAGCCGCGCTTCTACGACTCGGAGAAAGTTCTCAAAAGACTGTTTTCTTAACGGATGTTCACAGTGAAGTGCTCTCGGTTGCGGAGATGAATGCAAAGGCGGCGATGCGTTTTCTGCCTGGATTGACGCTAGGGACTGATTCAAAAGATTTCTCATAGTGACCAAGGTCGAATCTCATTTTGGAATCAAGGAAAGCCGTCAAGGAGCTCGACTGGTGTTCTTACGATCAGAAAGAGTTGAAGGCAATGCTGGACGAGACCGATGTCGTTTGCGGTGCAGATATATTCTTTTTGCCAGCGTTGTTTGCTGACCTCACAACATTACTTCGCCTATGCGTAGATTACAAGCCCGAAATAAAAATTATTCTAGCAGGTAGCCACTCGAGGATAGCCTTGTTTATGAACAATAAAATCCTAAGCAACGATGCGAAATGAAGACACCTGGAATCAATTTTTAGACGAATGCAAAAACAAGAAATTAAAAGTCGTCACTCTTTCAAACTGTCTCGATCTTGATGAGTACTTTGTTTATGAAAGATCTTCAATTTTAATAGTATCAGTATCAGCTGAAAGTTCATAATGCCTGAATCGCCTTCTAGCTGAATAAAGTGGAATACGAAAAAATAATGTTTCTGTTGTTTATTGATGTTTGCTGTCTTGTTGAAGTTTCACTTGAAGAAGTTTCAATTGGGTGAACAAAATATTAACAGAAAGATGCGTCGAGTTTTCCTGGAGGGTCGAAGAACTCGACTGGAATCAGAATTTTTCATACATGCAGTAGTAACGAACTTTTTGGCAATATTTGGTAGAAGTATTTGTTTTGAAGGAACAGTATTCGGAGCGAATCAAAAAGTAATCAGAAGGCAACTGTATATTACATTATTTAAACTTGAAATGTTAGAATTAAAAAGACAAAGTGCTGGAAAGAGAAAGAAAGAACTTTTTAAATGTACACAAAGAATGGCGAGATAAAACAGAAAGGAAAGTTATTGAATTTGAAAAAGTAGTAACAATATAAAAAATAACAATACAGATATTTATAAATTTCGAAGGACGGTTCTAGTGCTAACGTTATGCATAGACCACTTGCGTATTTTCGTGGACGGCTGCTTCGGTAGAGATGTCAGTGACTTGATGGAAGTTAGGTCTATCGTCGTAGTCTCGCCCGTAGTTGTTGACTGTTTGCACATTTCCGCTAAATTAGTGTTAATGAAAACAACAATGACTAAAATAGTCAATCGTGAATTTCAGAGCGCCAATAGGCAATATAAGCGTTCAAGTAAATATTTGAATAGCTTCAAACAGAGTCCTTTCGCTCTTAGTCAGAAAAAAAAATCGTAATGCCGCTTCGTTGGACGGAAAACGGTGCCGTCATCGGCCGAGAAAACAAAGAAACTTGTGTAGAAGAGTACTTGGGAATTCCCTTCGCTCGGATAAAGCGATTCCACCGGCCAGAAGCATACGATGAATGGGAAGAACCGTTGGTTTGTTACTATGCTAGCTACAGTTATCCCCAAGGATTGTTTTTGACAGACATGCGTTTGCTTGAAGAAATCATACAGTTGTGTGAGAACTTTCCGCACCCCTAAAGAGCGGGTAAAAGATGCGGAAACTCCTCACACCACTGTAGCTTAAAAACTAAAAAAGATACAACGTTTGTGACTTTTGATTTGATTCCGAAGATTCAGAACTTTGAAGATCTCAAGTTTTCCGATGAAAACAAGCTGTTGCTCGATATTTACGTTCCTCCAGTCAAGACAGAAGATGAACAGCTCCCTGTTATGGTTTATATCCATGGGGGATCGCTACTTAATGGAGGCCCAGCTGAGTATCCAGGAAATACAAATCTGCCTAAAATGGGAAACGTGGTTTTGGTTGTCATTCAGTACCGTTTAGGAAACGATTTCAGCCGTTTTCAATTATTCAAAAAATTTTAGGTGTGATGGGCTTCTTCAGCTTCAAAGATGGCGAAAAAATCATGGGCAATTTTGGATTATACGATCAGGTCTTTGCGCTTGAATGGGTCCAAAGGAACATTCACAATTTTAATGGCGATCCGAATAGAGTCACGATTTTCGGAGAGTCCGCGGGGGCTTTTTCCTGTGATGCTTTGATTCGATCACCTTTTCAGGTGAAATAAATGTGTCTTGATAACAACTTCTGAGAGATTCTGAGAGATTGACTTGTGAGAGATTCTCATAAATCTGGTGATAAGTCGGGTTTTACGATTACTGATGGTCGTGGATGTGAGCATGCGGGTTCACATACCAAGACCATCATTGTCGCCAGTAGTTGGCGAAGGATTTTCATCCACTCTTGGATCGTTTTCGTCGGCTCATCCGAGTCACATTCGAATTCGCATTGACGCAGCCTGGGCAAAAGCCCGCCTTCGATTGCAAAAATCGCAGAAAAACATCGTATTCGACATTTAACTGCGGTTCCTGTCGCGTTGATACATTCTGAAATTTTTTTCATGTAAGATAGGTCGGAAATAAAATAATTAAATGTTGACACGTAAGGCAGTTTCTCTTGAAATCCATCTTTCGAGCGGCCTCCAACGAAGAAAATAGACAGAAAATGAGGTTTCTCTTTGTTTAGGGACAGATTCTCCGTGGGTCAATGTCAAAAGGTGCGAAAAGGGAAATTCGTGTCGAGGAATTTGCAACTAATGAGTCAAGTGCAAATGAAAGGAGTAGCGTGACGTGTAGATGTGGGCGTGGGGCAGCCAATCAGCGAGCGCGGACGGTGCGCAATCAGATGAGCAGCTCAGAAGGGCGCGAAATTTGAAATCTGAGAAAGTCAGAATTTTGCTGGCATGGGCGAGATTATCCGATGCTTCGAGGAAACGGGAAATAAGAACTCTAACAAAACGGAATTTATTCATCATTCTTAAAATTAGCTAAGTTTCTCTCTCGAGTATAATCTGCGTTATTACGAGCAATTTTGTAAAAACTATCCCAATAAAAGGAAGGCTGGCCCGTGACACGTCTTTCCTCGATTCTAGAGAGCCCTAAGATCGAAGATTTTTTGGAGGACAGTCGAAACCAAGAAAAACTGTTAGAAAAGTACTTCCTGGAGGATCTAACTTTGGACATTCACGGGACCACGCGCTTGCTAAAGAAGCTGATAACATGGATGGAAGAAAAGGGCGTGGAAGTCTCTTCAGTTCTCTACGACGCGTTCAACGAGTCAAGGCTGCCGGCCGAAAGCCAGTTCGGCTGTCGCTATTACCATCTTCCCGAAGGAAAAGTGCTTCCTTTCTTTAGTTCGCGAAGCTTGCTTCTCCAATCTGGCACAACGGGTCTTTGCTCGTGGCCCGCCGCCTGGTGCCTCGCCGAGTTCGCGAATTCGGAGTCAGGGAGAGCAATCTTTGGTGAACGCAATTTTCTTGAGCTTGGCTGTGGAACAGGAGTAGGAGGAATATTTACAGCCGCGCTTCTACGACTCGGAGAAAGTTCTCAAAAGACTGTTTTCTTAACGGATGTTCACAGTGAAGTGCTCTCGGTTGCGGAGATGAATGCAAAGGCGGCGATGCGTTTTCTGCCTGGATTGACGCTAGGGACTGATTCAAAAGATTTCTCATAGTGACCAAGGTCGAATCTCATTTTGGAATCAAGGAAAGCCGTCAAGGAGCTCGACTGGTGTTCTTACGATCAGAAAGAGTTGAAGGCAATGCTGGACGAGACCGATGTCGTTTGCGGTGCAGATATATTCTTTTTGCCAGCGTTGTTTGCTGACCTCACAACATTACTTCGCCTATGCGTAGATTACAAGCCCGAAATAAAAATTATTCTAGCAGGTAGCCACTCGAGGATAGCCTTGTTTATGAACAATAAAATCCTAAGCAACGATGCGAAATGAAGACACCTGGAATCAATTTTTAGACGAATGCAAAAACAAGAAATTAAAAGTCGTCACTCTTTCAAACTGTCTCGATCTTGATGAGTACTTTGTTTATGAAAGATCTTCAATTTTAATAGTATCAGTATCAGCTGAAAGTTCATAATGCCTGAATCGCCTTCTAGCTGAATAAAGTGGAATACGAAAAAATAATGTTTCTGTTGTTTATTGATGTTTGCTGTCTTGTTGAAGTTTCACTTGAAGAAGTTTCAATTGGGTGAACAAAATATTAACAGAAAGATGCGTCGAGTTTTCCTGGAGGGTCGAAGAACTCGACTGGAATCAGAATTTTTCATACATGCAGTAGTAACGAACTTTTTGGCAATATTTGGTAGAAGTATTTGTTTTGAAGGAACAGTATTCGGAGCGAATCAAAAAGTAATCAGAAGGCAACTGTATATTACATTATTTAAACTTGAAATGTTAGAATTAAAAAGACAAAGTGCTGGAAAGAGAAAGAAAGAACTTTTTAAATGTACACAAAGAATGGCGAGATAAAACAGAAAGGAAAGTTATTGAATTTGAAAAAGTAGTAACAATATAAAAAATAACAATACAGATATTTATAAATTTCGAAGGACGGTTCTAGTGCTAACGTTATGCATAGACCACTTGCGTATTTTCGTGGACGGCTGCTTCGGTAGAGATGTCAGTGACTTGATGGAAGTTAGGTCTATCGTCGTAGTCTCGCCCGTAGTTGTTGACTGTTTGCACATTTCCGCTAAATTAGTGTTAATGAAAACAACAATGACTAAAATAGTCAATCGTGAATTTCAGAGCGCCAATAGGCAATATAAGCGTTCAAGTAAATATTTGAATAGCTTCAAACAGAGTCCTTTCGCTCTTAGTCAGAAAAAAAAATCGTAATGCCGCTTCGTTGGACGGAAAACGGTGCCGTCATCGGCCGAGAAAACAAAGAAACTTGTGTAGAAGAGTACTTGGGAATTCCCTTCGCTCGGATAAAGCGATTCCACCGGCCAGAAGCATACGATGAATGGGAAGAACCGTTGGTTTGTTACTATGCTAGCTACAGTTATCCCCAAGGATTGTTTTTGACAGACATGCGTTTGCTTGAAGAAATCATACAGTTGTGTGAGAACTTTCCGCACCCCTAAAGAGCGGGTAAAAGATGCGGAAACTCCTCACACCACTGTAGCTTAAAAACTAAAAAGATACAACGTTTGTGACTTTTGATTTGATTCCGAAGATTCAGAACTTTGAAGATCTCAAGTTTTCCGATGAAAACAAGCTGTTGCTCGATATTTACGTTCCTCCAGTCAAGACAGAAGATGAACAGCTCCCTGTTATGGTTTATATCCATGGGGGATCGCTACTTAATGGAGGCCCAGCTGAGTATCCAGGAAATACAAATCTGCCTAAAATGGGAAACGTGGTTTTGGTTGTCATTCAGTACCGTTTAGGAAACGATTTCAGCCGTTTTCAATTATTCAAAAAATTTTAGGTGTGATGGGCTTCTTCAGCTTCAAAGATGGCGAAAAATCATGGGCAATTTTGGATTATACGATCAGGTCTTTGCGCTTGAATGGGTCCAAAGGAACATTCACAATTTTAATGGCGATCCGAATAGAGTCACGATTTTCGGAGAGTCCGCGGGGGCTTTTTCCTGTGATGCTTTGATTCGATCACCTTTTCAGGTGAAATAAATGTGTCTTGATAACAACTTCTGAGAGATTCTGAGAGATTGACTTGTGAGAGATTCTCATAAATCTGGTGATAAGTCGGGTTTTACGATTACTGATGGTCGTGGATGTGAGCATGCGGGTTCACATACCAAGACCATCATTGTCGCCAGTAGTTGGCGAAGGATTTTCATCCACTCTTGGATCGTTTTCGTCGGCTCATCCGAGTCACATTCGAATTCGCATTGACGCAGCCTGGGCAAAAGCCCGCCTTCGATTGCAAAAATCGCAGAAAAACATCGTATTCGACATTTAACTGCGGTTCCTGTCGCGTTGATACATTCTGAAATTTTTTCATGTAAGATAGGTCGGAAATAAAATAATTAAATGTTGACACGTAAGGCAGTTTCTCTTGAAATCCATCTTTCGAGCGGCCTCCAACGAAGAAAATAGACAGAAAATGAGGTTTCTCTTTGTTTAGGGACAGATTCTCCGTGGGTCAATGTCAAAAGGTGCGAAAAGGGAAATTCGTGTCGAGGAATTTGCAACTAATGAGTCAAGTGCAAATGAAAGGAGTAGCGTGACGTGTAGATGTGGGCGTGGGGCAGCCAATCAGCGAGCGCGGACGGTGCGCAATCAGATGAGCAGCTCAGAAGGGCGCGAAATTTGAAATCTGAGAAAGTCAGAATTTTGCTGGCATGGGCGAGATTATCCGATGCTTCGAGGAAACGGGAAATAAGAACTCTAACAAAACGGAATTTATTCATCATTCTTAAAATTAGCTAAGTTTCTCTCTCGAGTATAATCTGCGTTATTACGAGCAATTTTGTAAAAACTATCCCAATAAAAGGAAGGCTGGCCCGTGACACGTCTTTCCTCGATTCTAGAGAGCCCTAAGATCGAAGATTTTTGGAGGACAGTCGAAACCAAGAAAAACTGTTAGAAAAGTACTTCCTGGAGGATCTAACTTTGGACATTCACGGGACCACGCGCTTGCTAAAGAAGCTGATAACATGGATGGAAGAAAAGGGCGTGGAAGTCTCTTCAGTTCTCTACGACGCGTTCAACGAGTCAAGGCTGCCGGCCGAAAGCCAGTTCGGCTGTCGCTATTACCATCTTCCCGAAGGAAAAGTGCTTCCTTTCTTTAGTTCGCGAAGCTTGCTTCTCCAATCTGGCACAACGGGTCTTTGCTCGTGGCCCGCCGCCTGGTGCCTCGCCGAGTTCGCGAATTCGGAGTCAGGGAGAGCAATCTTTGGTGAACGCAATTTTCTTGAGCTTGGCTGTGGAACAGGAGTAGGAGGAATATTTACAGCCGCGCTTCTACGACTCGGAGAAAGTTCTCAAAAGACTGTTTTCTTAACGGATGTTCACAGTGAAGTGCTCTCGGTTGCGGAGATGAATGCAAAGGCGGCGATGCGTTTTCTGCCTGGATTGACGCTAGGGACTGATTCAAAAGATTTCTCATAGTGACCAAGGTCGAATCTCATTTTGGAATCAAGGAAAGCCGTCAAGGAGCTCGACTGGTGTTCTTACGATCAGAAAGAGTTGAAGGCAATGCTGGACGAGACCGATGTCGTTTGCGGTGCAGATATATTCTTTTTGCCAGCGTTGTTTGCTGACCTCACAACATTACTTCGCCTATGCGTAGATTACAAGCCCGAAATAAAAATTATTCTAGCAGGTAGCCACTCGAGGATAGCCTTGTTTATGAACAATAAAATCCTAAGCAACGATGCGAAATGAAGACACCTGGAATCAATTTTTAGACGAATGCAAAAACAAGAAATTAAAAGTCGTCACTCTTTCAAACTGTCTCGATCTTGATGAGTACTTTGTTTATGAAAGATCTTCAATTTTAATAGTATCAGTATCAGCTGAAAGTTCATAATGCCTGAATCGCCTTCTAGCTGAATAAAGTGGAATACGAAAAAATAATGTTTCTGTTGTTTATTGATGTTTGCTGTCTTGTTGAAGTTTCACTTGAAGAAGTTTCAATTGGGTGAACAAAATATTAACAGAAAGATGCGTCGAGTTTTCCTGGAGGGTCGAAGAACTCGACTGGAATCAGAATTTTTCATACATGCAGTAGTAACGAACTTTTTGGCAATATTTGGTAGAAGTATTTGTTTTGAAGGAACAGTATTCGGAGCGAATCAAAAAGTAATCAGAAGGCAACTGTATATTACATTATTTAAACTTGAAATGTTAGAATTAAAAAGACAAAGTGCTGGAAAGAGAAAGAAAGAACTTTTTTAAATGTACACAAAGAATGGCGAGATAAAACAGAAAGGAAAGTTATTGAATTTGAAAAAGTAGTAACAATATAAAAAATAACAATACAGATATTTATAAATTTCGAAGGACGGTTCTAGTGCTAACGTTATGCATAGACCACTTGCGTATTTTCGTGGACGGCTGCTTCGGTAGAGATGTCAGTGACTTGATGGAAGTTAGGTCTATCGTCGTAGTCTCGCCCGTAGTTGTTGACTGTTTGCACATTTCCGCTAAATTAGTGTTAATGAAAACAACAATGACTAAAATAGTCAATCGTGAATTTCAGAGCGCCAATAGGCAATATAAGCGTTCAAGTAAATATTTGAATAGCTTCAAACAGAGTCCTTTCGCTCTTAGTCAGAAAAAAAAATCGTAATGCCGCTTCGTTGGACGGAAAACGGTGCCGTCATCGGCCGAGAAAACAAAGAAACTTGTGTAGAAGAGTACTTGGGAATTCCCTTCGCTCGGATAAAGCGATTCCACCGGCCAGAAGCATACGATGAATGGGAAGAACCGTTGGTTTGTTACTATGCTAGCTACAGTTATCCCCAAGGATTGTTTTTGACAGACATGCGTTTGCTTGAAGAAATCATACAGTTGTGTGAGAACTTTCCGCACCCCTAAAGAGCGGGTAAAAGATGCGGAAACTCCTCACACCACTGTAGCTTAAAAACTAAAAAGATACAACGTTTGTGACTTTTGATTTGATTCCGAAGATTCAGAACTTTGAAGATCTCAAGTTTTCCGATGAAAACAAGCTGTTGCTCGATATTTACGTTCCTCCAGTCAAGACAGAAGATGAACAGCTCCCTGTTATGGTTTATATCCATGGGGGATCGCTACTTAATGGAGGCCCAGCTGAGTATCCAGGAAATACAAATCTGCCTAAAATGGGAAACGTGGTTTTGGTTGTCATTCAGTACCGTTTAGGAAACGATTTCAGCCGTTTTCAATTATTCAAAAAATTTTAGGTGTGATGGGCTTCTTCAGCTTCAAAGATGGCGAAAAATCATGGGCAATTTTGGATTATACGATCAGGTCTTTGCGCTTGAATGGGTCCAAAGGAACATTCACAATTTTAATGGCGATCCGAATAGAGTCACGATTTTCGGAGAGTCCGCGGGGGCTTTTTCCTGTGATGCTTTGATTCGATCACCTTTTCAGGTGAAATAAATGTGTCTTGATAACAACTTCTAAAAGTAAAATTAGAAAAAAGGCTTATTCCACCGAGCAATCGTTCAAAGTGGAAGTCTTCTCTCTACGTGGTGTCCTCAAACTCCGTCTAATCGAAAACTAGCTGTCGACAAATATTGCAAAGAACTGTCCCTTAGCTCAGAAGAAGAGCTCAAAGATGCGCTTCTAAAAATGACAACCAAGGAACTCATCGACTTTGAAAATAAGTACATGCTGGGTACAAGAGGAAATAGATTTCTGATTGTCGTTGACGATGAGATAGTTCTCAAAGATTTTTACGATTTCAAGAATGAAATCAAAATGCCTCTTTACTATGGCAGGATAAAGTCTGAAGGGGAGTATTTGCTCACGCATCGTAAGTTTTTGTGTTATAAATTAGAAATAAAAAGTTCAAAGGATTTCCTGGTTTCAAAAATGGAGAAATGTCAGAAGAAATTTTCCGAAAAATGGTGAAGGGTCAGATTGAAGTGTGGGAAATCGACTGCGATGAGGATCTCTTAGACCGTATCAGTGACTTGTACAAAGAAACTGATGAGAGTGGCGAAACAATCTGGCAAAAGACATTTGGAAGATGGTACGGGGACTGGCTAATCGGTTCGGGAGTATTCATGACTGCCCAAGATGCGAGCACTTTTACTTTTGAATTCGATGTGACTCCAATTTGGTTTCATTCAGGATAAGATAGAAATGATTCTAATGAGTTAAAGCCAACACTCGATATTCATAACGTAATAAATTTGACGCAACAACATTTATATTCTAAGTAAAGATGAACACAAAGGAAACTGTCAAATCAAGCCGAAATGGTGTGAGTCGGACCACGCGGATGACCTACCATACTTGTTTGGATGGGTTCTGGGAGACAAACCTGGCCAAGGAATCAAGCCAACTGAGCTTGATAAGAAACTCTCGCGAGCTGTTATACGGGACTGGAGCGAATTCGCGAGTGGTAGAGAACCCGTTTGCAATCAGTTCACGAAGTGGTTTGATGACGTTGCGTAAGGAATAACCCAACGCCATTAAATAATTATCTCGACGTAGAATTTACACAAATCAGCCGCGAATGCGAAAAATCGACAATCAAAAATACGAAGGGAAAACAGCGCTGTTCCGGGAGGTTTTCAAGAAGCGAATAGCAAAATTTAATACTTCTGACTATTGAAAAAACACAATAAATTTTTACTAGTGACGACTTACGTGGCACTCATCGATGGAGGCGCGATGACCAAAAATTGCTCTTGGTTTTTGCTAGGGGAGAATATGCCTCTCCATTTACTCTTGAGCCAGTCAAGGAAGGAGAATCCGCCAGCAAGGCCCGGTGAAAGTCCAGGAGCTGTGACGTGAATGTAGTAAACCAGAATGCCGAGGATCGCAAAATTGATCAATGCATACACCCAATGAACCAAAAACATAAGAATCGTATTGAAAATGGCAGCAACTAATGAATGTGCTGGAAGAAACTTATTTCAATAGCAGTAATAAGTAGGCTCTTACTTGGAGTACACAGAAATTTGTACCAAGATTGAGGTTGTGAACGTATTTCCTCTCTCTCCACGGGAGAATGCTCGAGTACATCATTGTCGACTATCGCTGCATCGGGTGATTCGTCAATGTCGTCCGCTTGACGCACGAAAATGTCTGCGTTGAAAGAAGGATTCTCGACCGCTGGCGGTAAGGATGACCTTTATTGAAAAAGTAAAAATCGAGGGAAGAAAGTAGTTTTTACCCGATCGCGAAGCTATCTTCTATATGATCATTTAATGTAGTTCCTCTTCGATTCTGGGACATAATTTGAAAATCACGCGTCGTATCTCGAAGATCCTGGCCATACATCCCTTCTGATGGCAGGTTGTTTGATCCAGAAGGAGCGGGTGCTTGCAAAGAGTATTAACACTTTCGACAATGTTAATAAGTACCTTGGAGTTTCTCTCTTCGTTTCCGCTCATGATAAGCTTTTGATAAACAGAAGTTAGCGTAGCAGGTTACGCCGTAGACGAGAAGGAATGCATTAGCGATGATAGGCGCAATAGTGTTGATATCGCCAGCGAGCAGGAAGATAATGGCGATTAGGCCGACGAGCAGAATCGCGCGCACTGGCACTTTAGAAGCGCCCCAAGTTACTTCGAAGTACTCGAGTCCCTTGATCGAGCCATCTTCGGCGATGGAACGGATCAGCCTTGGTGCTCTTGAAATAGAACGATAAACTTTCATCAACTACTTTTCCGTACCCATATGTGCAAGTGGCGACGCCAGAAATGGAAGAAATATAAATACCAATATTAAACAGAAGCTTCGAAGCAGAAATGAGACCACCTATCATTTGATTCGAGACGAGCGCTAAAGGAATAGAAGTCAGTTGAAGTATTGAAAAAGTAAAGTACCTTCTCTAGTGCAAGTCGCTCCAAAGTAAATAATAAAGATAATGTAAAGGATACCAGTAACAAGAATAGAGGCGATTGTCCCCTTTGGAATATCTTTGGAAGGAGACTTCAAATCTCCAGCCATGTTTACGCCAGCGAAAACACCGCAGATAGACGGGAAAAAGATGCCCAGTAGTCCAAAGAACTCGTGGATATTGACGTAGCCTGGAATTTTGAGAGCAGTTTCATTTGTTCCCTTGATCATGATTTTCCACTCTGGTTTCATATTATCCGAGATGATAGTGCTATTTTGGAAGCCCCAAAAGCCCTGTTCTTGTTGTTGTACGTCGTTTTTGACGGCAGGGCCGACGAGAAAGTCGATTGTTGCGGCAATGATGATGATGAAGAAGAGAATCTGAGAGCGAATGACCCACTTCACGCCAGCGAGATTGATCAAAAGAAGAATAATCAAAGCGCCAATTGCCAAGCCAGTAACTGCCCATTGATTCTTGTCCTTCTCGAAAACACCGAGGACAGCGGTGGCGAAAGCAGAGGCGTACAAGGAAGCCGTAACAGTAAGACCAAAGGCAAAGACGATTCCAACAGCTGCTCCCTGTTTAGCTCCAAGCACACGGCTCAATAGTTTGTAGAGACCACCGTTTGCCACGTCGGTGCGCTCACAAATCCCAATTGCAGCCGCTCCAGCCGCCATTCCGATCCAAATGAGAAGGAAGACGATTACAAGCGCACAACTCACACCGCCGACGCCAACGATGAATCCTCCTTGCAGAAAGAGCAATGCGCCAAAGATGTTCAGCATAATCTTTTACGATTGACTATTTTCGCTCAAGAAGAATTTTCTACTTACGGATACAAAAACGCCATCCCAAGCTCCAAATTTGATCGGACCCGTGAGATAGCTTGGAACATCCCACCACGGACGATTCTCCAAGTTCGACGCCTGCTCTGCGTAGTAAAGCTCATTCTGATTGTCAGCTGTAGCTTGCATCATTTTAGTTTTGGGCGATTCTAGCGCGCGTTCCTTTACTTTCTACCACTCATTTTAGGACTTGAATCTTAACAAGAAAATAGAATAAATAATGAGTCAAAGAATGCGAAAAATTACATTTAATAAATGCTTCCTGCGTTTGGTTAAAAGTTGAGCGAATATAGAATCGATAATTTGGACAAAATCGTTTTCAAATTTTGCGAGGATGATGAAAAATCATGTGTTTTGGTTAAATAAAGCGGCTAGAATAATAATAAAGTAAAAATTAAAATTTCAAGAATTGAGAGATCATGCTTTTCATCACTATATTTACAGTTCGTGACAGTAACGGACATGGTTCATTTTTTTCGTTTGTTGGTGTGTCGGATGTGTTGTGGAAAGAAAAAAGGAAAATAATCATAGTTTTGGTCGATCTGAAAAGTTGGAGAGCGATAGAAATTAGTTTGGGGTTGTCTGGTGCAGAAGAAGTTGAGAACAAGAATCTAGGAAAGGCTTCTGTTGTTGGCTATCGTTCGAAATTAAAGAAGTGAAATGCAAAGAAGAGGTCGCCTTAGACTTGGAGGATGATTTTGATAAAATCTAAAGAAAAAGAATTAATGATAACATCGAAAAATAAAGACCTGCCTTCATAGTTGATCTGTCCGTTGTTGTCTTCGTGGCCAGTCAGGAGCTGCTCAACTTCGTCTTCGGAAAGCTTTTCGCCCAAGGTCGTCAACACGTGGCGGAGCTCGGCAGCGTTCACAGTTCCGTTGCCCTCCTTGTCGAAAACGCGCAAGCCCTAAATTGAGAATTTAATTTGAATTAACCGAAAACTTATTCTCACCTCGACAAAATCTTCGTAGCTGCCGGGGTCCTGATTTCTCGTGATAGTGGCGAGCATTGGTAGGAACTCGTCAAAGGTTAGCGTTTTTACATTCATGTCTATCGCAAGAGTTAAATGGAGAGAAAAATAAAGGATAGGTAGTACCTTCGGCTTTTGGGTTGTTGAGCACTTTCATCACTTCGGCATTAGTGGGATTCTGTCCGAGAGCTCTGAAGACATCTCCTGCCTGGCTGAGCTTGATTCGCTCGTCCCCAGAGCGGTCGAAGAGCTGGAAGGCTTCACGGAAATCCTGGATCTGGTCTTCAGTGAAGTCGGCCATTATTTAAAATCAATCTAAAAAGGACCAAAAGTAAGTTTTGTGAAATGTCGGCCGAGGATTGAAATGGAACTGTTTCGATTGATTGTAGTCAAAGTCAGGGTTATGTAATCAAGCTAGAACACGTCTCAAGTGATTAAAGATATAGCCTTGAATATTGAACTTTCGTAGCGCCGAATCCCTGTTACGAATTTATACATTTTCAAAGAAACCCTACCTAAAATCCAGCGTAGATTTCGAAAAAACCCTTATTTTTAGTACTTTCTATGGTGTTTGTACCTAAAAATCGACTTCAAAATAAAACAGACCGTCGTTCTCTGAAAATTTCCATTAAAAAGGTAAATCTGGATTGATGATATGAAAGATTGAAGCCTTATCTCCAATCTAGCGGTGGATTTTGTAAAAATATTGAAGATTACGGCTTCTAGGAACTGGTTTTTGATTGTACTTCGAAATGGAGAGTGGCGCGCGCTGCCAATCAGAGCGAGGGGAGAATCTCAGTAAGATTTCGTCCAACCTGTCGACAAAATTTCTCGTGTAAAATAGGATGAGCGATGGCTGAGTGAGATTTTCCCCTCGCTCTCATTGGCTGCGCGCGCAACTCTCCTTTTCGAAGTACAATCAAAAACCAGTTCCTAGAAGCCGTAATCTTCAATATTTTTACAAAATCCACCGCTAGATTGTAGATAAGGCTTCAATCTTTCATATCATCAATCCAGATTTACCTTTTTAATGGAAATTTTCAGAGAACGACGGTCTGTTTTATTTTGAAGTCGATTTTTAGGTACAAACACCATAGAAAGTACTAAAAATAAGGGTTTTTTCGAAATCTACGCTGGATTTTAGGTAGGGTTTCTTTGAAAATGTATAAATTCGTAACAGGGATTCGGCGCTACGAAAGTTCAATATTCAAGGCTATATCCTTAAGAACATAGAACTTATTCAATGAAAAATAGAGAGATAGCTCGAAGAAACGGATGGGAATTAGTAGACCGAAATTAAATATTAGCTCAGTTGGCAAATCTGTATCTATCAAAATGAACATCCAGCATCTTATTCCAAAATAATCTCTCGCTCCTCTAAAAATAGAAAATCACCACTTGATCGTCAAGGCGTTCGTCTCTTCTTTCTGAATAGCCCTGAAACTTGTGTAGAGGGACTGTTTGTCGATGTCGCGTTTTAACTGTGCGAAAAGTGGGCTGAATTTTTCGCACGTCAGCGGCTGATAGTTTTCTATGCCATGCCGGTGACGAGATAGTTCATTTTTTTCACAGATCAATGAGAAACTATTCTTGATTAAATCGGAAAAAGAAAATATTTTGGAACCTAATATACCTCTTGTCCCAAAAAAATCAATAAGTTGCGCTCGACAACCTGAGTAGAAAACTTGACACAGGGTTCAAAAGGAGTTTTAATAAATGCCATCTAATAATTATTTCAATCTATTTTTTAATTCCGGCTTCATTTCAAAACGCGGCTTTCAGAACCCTCTCTCAGGTTTTCTGCTCAGGTTGTTGAGCCCAGTCAGTTTGTCGGGAATGAACACTAAATAAAAGACTTTACCATATTTATAAAAAAACTAGATCGCAAACTATCGGAAAAGTTGAAATGAGCGTAATGAAAACTTCATAACGCACTTGTGGTTTTTTATCTCTTCATCCATCTCTGAGCTATTCGCAAGGCGGTGCTACGGCTGGCAAGACGCGCCCGTGGTGAACGCTGCGGACAAATATTTGCGTACTTTGAAATTTACTATTAAAAAGGCATCTGCAGTACTCTAATTAACGTATTTGCATATTGGAATTCCAAGGTCATTCCCAGCGAGAAAAAAGTAAGTGGCGACTTCAGAAGCGTTTTCTCTTTCTTAAAATACGTACTTTTCGAAAATAAAAAACGATGAATATTTAGTGCTCGCAACTAAGGCTCTAATCCCGAGGATGATTGAGCTTTGTTTTATCTATTCACCGGACCTAAGGCGTTGTAATCATCCGTCATCCGGGTCAAGATTGACTCGTTTGTTTCTCGATCATCGTAACGAATTTGAGCTCCGCCATTCAAGCAGCCGGACTGTTTTTAGGCTTTGGGTTCAATAATTTCAATTCCGGTCTTCTCTCTGATCCATCTCTGTCAGAATCATTGAAATATCCAAAAGATGAGAAGAAAACGTTGTCGTCGTGGCGATTTATAATGTTAACTCAACCACGCATCTTTCTCTTTGACAGACGCGCTTTTTGTGAGCAATAAAAAAACCAACATTGACAATGTTGAAAATCAGCCTCGCGGCGCTACTTTCAAACTAAAATTTAAAAATTTAACGTCCAAATCGCAGATTTTAAAAAGTGACAAAATCAAAGCCTTTCCGGACAGGCCATTACTTCAATATAGTCGTAGGCATTTCCTCGCTTATCAATGAGTTGAGCGCGTGTCTTTCTTGTCTCACTTTTCTTTCAGAGGCTTTTAAGTTCGCTTCAACTCGAGTCCCTTTGTTTTCAGTCGCGTCACTAGATTCTGTATGCTTCGGAAACCGTACGCCTTTGCGAATCTCTCCATTGACACTGTTTTTTTTATGTTTCCGACGCCATTTTCGACCCTCCGTAAAAAAGGGATGAGTATATCTTGAGATTATCTTAACCCCCCTACGCCACAGAATAGAGCTTTAGCTCTCATTTGAGCCCCTTTGAGACGCTGTACGATGATTGTACTCCGAGAACATAGACTCCCAATATGAGGTTAAAATTGGCGAAATCGGGTATATTCGGGTTGATGACGTCATTTGTCAAAGATCACGTGACATTGACATTTGCTCAGTGTCCCTACGCCACAGATCAGACCCTTAGCTACATTTTGGTACCCTGGGGGACTCTCTGCGACTTCTCTGGTCGGAGAACATAGACTCCCCAGTTGTCGGAAACATAAAAAAAACAGTGTCATTGTTATTTCAATTTCTGAAGCATGGCTGTTGATTTCGAGTCCTTTGGTTTTACCCGGCATTTTTTCCGGACAACCCGCAGATTTTTCAGCGGGTTTCTCGCACGGAGACTCTTTTTCACGGGCTACCCGCTCTACTTGTTTTCTCCTTTCCGCCGAGTAGCTCGTGATTACCCGCAACCCTTTTTCTCGAGCCAATCATACGAGCGAATTTTCTTTTTTCTAGGCGAAATTTTCGCGAGTAGCTCGCGATTATCCTTTACCCATTTACTCGATCTACTCGCACGGGTCTCCGCGCGAGTAACCCGCAGAAAAATCTGCGGGTTGCCCGGAAAAAATGCCGGGTAAAACCAAAGGACTCGAAATCAACAGCCATGTTCTGAAGTGTAAATAAACTATTTTCGAAAATAAAAATATTCTTGAATTTTAACGTAACATTTCCTGAGTTTAACTTCGCCATCGATCTCTAGCGTCGTTTCAAGAAAATCTTTGTTATTTCTGACTTTGGTGAAAGTCAATTCTCCCGTCGGTTTTTGGCCTTTTCGAAGATCAGAAAAGCACTCATAAATTAACAAAATGGCGGTATTAATTAAACCTGTCACTAGCATTGTCAGGAAGCGTCGTTTGATCCGTCTACTAGTAGATTTGACAACTGGAAATAAAAAATGATTCGCGATCCTTTCCGAAGAGAGATTCCGCTGCGCTTCGATAGATGTAGTCGAGATATCCTCCAGAGCCTCCGCCACGATGGGAGTAAATAACATCTCCGTCGTTGTCCTCGTGCTCGAAAGAAGCCACGACGGTTTCCAGATCGTCCTCTTCGAGATTGTCGACTAGCAATTTTTCGATCTCGGTTGTGGCCAGAACGCAGTCTTGTCAAGGTGATTTCCCTCTTATTAATCATCATTCAGATACTCAGGTTTTCTACACAGGTTGCTGAGCCAAGTCTAAAGAAATAAATGGCGAAGTCCCGTTCCTACATCCTTAACAACCCGGCCATTGCTCTCGATTTGGAATTCCTGTCTGGCCGCTTCGAGCTTTTGTCGAAACATGGCATCACAGTGACGTGGTAAATGTCTTTATCTTTGGCTGCGAAAATGCGAAATACTTCCACGCGCATTCGAAAGCGATAAAGAAAGGTTCTAGCTTCCCAAGAAGCACCTTTCAATTAATCAAAATCGCAGATAGATTCTTAACTCGCGATTTTCACAAGCTCCTTCGTCTGGCAGCGATCGCTTCAGACTCATGCCGGAAATTTGCTTTCCCAGGGATTCTCAACTGCGATCGCAAACTTGTGCAATTGACAGCTATTTGCAATGTTTTCATCCTTTCCTGTGGGCTGCGTACTTTTGAGAGTTGCGGAACGAGCAGATCTCCTTGCGTCTTTTCGGCGTAGCAGACGAAACCAGGACAGGCGGAGCAAAGCAGTGGACCCTTGGCCGCTTGAGCTTGGCTGTTGAGGCGTGCGAGAAATTCATTCTTGACCTCTTCTAGAGCCACGTCGCGGAAGGGAGTCAAATCGCGCGTCTTCCACACGCCCAGTTTATGCAGAACCGCTCTTAGTCCTCTGTCTGGCTCAGAATGAATTTCAAACGGATTTGACTGTCAAGACGGTCACAGTGTTAGCAGCCACCTTACTAGGTCACTCTTCTCAAATGAGAGCCTTTCCTCAAAATGGTAAGTTCATCCACGCTTTCGTGGGGGATGAGCTTTGCGTGTTAATGTTGTTGGGCAACGCCCCTAACGGTGAATAAAGGTTTTTTTCACCCCGTGTGCCTAAACCGTTGAGCGAGTGAACTGCGCGACTGAGGGGATAGCGTGACGACAACTTTCGACGATTTCTTGCGCAAAACAGAGTAGAACTCATCCAGTGACTAATCGGGGCTCAAGCTACAGGTCAGACATGATCGCCAACATGCGAGAATTTAAAATATTCCAAGGCTAACTTCACGAAACGCGACTAAGTATAAAAGAGAAAGAGGCGCTGAACCCCAGACTGGGCGGTGATCAAAACTGTCTCGGCAGAGGTGACGCAACCAGAACAAGCAAGACAGTCTAGGGCAATTATAAAAGGTGAGTCCAGCCAAGGCACTCCTACCAGCGCATTATAAACGCCATGATTTACCTGCCAGTGTTATTTTCGCCTTTTCGAGCTTCTTACCCGACGAGTCGGCGTAGCTGCCATCTAAACCCCAAGTTAGTCATTATTCTAGATCCCTCGCCGAATCTTATCAGTTTTTATCAATTAAAATTGGCGATTTTTGAAGGTACCTTTATTTCTTTTTACACGGCCGACCTTGCCCAAGTTCAGATTCGCTTCATTTTAACAACTGCGATTTTAAAATCACTGAACTTTTTCCTGGCCTCGTTTCGGCTTTTGAATATCGACCGGTTTGGTGCATTCGAGCCCGGGGCCGATAAAATCGTCCAGGTCGCCGATTCTCACGGTCCCCGAAAATGCCATTTCAAATGAATCTTTTTCTGAAGAAGAAAAAAATCGTTATTTTCTTCGGAAACATTTCATCATGCTTGAATAATGAAACAAATTTCAATCAATAATTGCTTCAACTTTCATAAAGACTAAACCCGACTCAGGAAAGTGGGGAAAGAGATGCCGAAAAGAGAAGAAAGCAGGATCTGCTCTTCAGAAAAGGATCTTTTTCGTATTTCTCTGAGTCATCAGCGCGCGCCAGAACGTTTTTGCCCACGCTCGAGACCAATTTTTAATTTTCGCTGAGTTAACAGAACACGCCTATTTTTCCATCCCTATTTTATTGAATTCAGGAGAGACATTCAACAAATCTTCCATTTCCTAATTCATTTTCGCGTAATTCCTTCTTTTAATTTATCCGAATTCATATTTTCAAAACTCATTATTAATTAAATACTTAATACCCGTCATTAGTAATTACTATCATCATTAACAAGTAACAACAGAGTATTCTCCCAGTAGCTAAAGCGTTTAAGTCTGAGAGGACAGGGCGTTGTTGGCAAAAATGTCAAGTCAAGGTATTTTTTCTCTAGCGCATGTCAGCGACTAATTGTCACCTAAAAAAGAGATTCTCATGTTAAAACAGAGTCCCCCCTTTTATGGAAGAAATACAGTACCACGTGAAAATCGCGTCCTGAATTAATGAAGATATAGTATTTCCGCTTCCGTTAATTTGGATCTATTTAGAAATTTACTCCCGCACCTTCTCATAATTTACTAAACTAGGTTTACGAAAGAGACCGTTTTTATTTTCACGGACAAGGAATTTGTGAACTGAACTATCGTTGCGTCAATTACAGGCTTTTGGCGAATGACGTCGTTAGCCCGCCTGCGGCGCTACTTATCGGTGATGCTCCTTTACTCCCATACTATTTTTTTCTCGTATAAATTGCGGCAACCAGCTATCTAATCCTTCACTTTTTTAGAGAACTGTCTCGAGACAAGCTGACCACATCGACGGACGCAAAAATATTAAACTACATCGACAATGCCACTGACAGATGTACTCAACGCAATGACGCGTAGAAAGGTCTTCTCTGACGAGGAGAAGACCGAGACCAAGCTCAAGGTCCGGCTCAACAATAATTCTAGCGTTTCTTTTTCTAAAAGGGTAAATCTTGCTGAACACATGAAAAGAGAACGCTGGGACTCCTTGATCTCACCTCGATCGGAGTCGGCTCGACCCTCGGAGCTGGGGTCTACGTCCTTTCTGGACAAGTCGGCCGAGAAGCCTCTGGCCCGGCCGTTATCCTCTCCTTTATAATCGCAGCCTTCTCTTCCATCCTCTCTGGAATGTGCTACGCCGAGTTCGGCGCGCGAGTCCCAAAGGCAGGTTCCGGCTATATCTATAGGTATGCAATGCTAAGAATGAATATATCTAATTTCGATCGCCTCAGCTACGTGACAATGGGCGAGTTCTGCGCGTTGACCATCGGATGGAATCTCGTGCTCTCGTACGTTGTTGGGACAGCGTCTGTGGCAAAAGCGTGGAGTACGAATTTGGACGCGCTGATAGGATGCCAAATTCGCTCCTTCACTGTGCAGTACATGCCCCACTTCAGCAGTTCCTTCACCGAATCTTATCCTGACATATTCGCTGCTGTGATCATCATCCTCCTCTGCTGTAAGTAATCCATCCCTCTGCCTTGCGCAAAAACCAAATCCCAGGTCTCCTCGCTTATGGAGTCGAAGAAGTCGCCTTTATCAACAAGCTTTTCACAATGGTCAACATCGTCGTGATCGTGTTCGTCACTTTCGCCGGATTATTCGTCGGTGGTGATAGACCCTTTTTCGAAAACTGGACGCTCAACCAGACCGAAGTTAACTACTTGGTGGAACATCAGTTTTCCGACAATATCTCGACGTCCACTGTTTCTTGCCGCGACATCAACCACACCAACCATGTATTCTGGGAGGATGGGACTTTTAATCCGCAATCGGTAGAACTAGCTTGAGTGCATTTTCAATCGAGTGTCTTTTTCTTTTACCAGAATTTCTAAGGAGTGATTTCATGAAATTTTGGATTGTCCAATAATTTTTCCCTTTCCGAGTTTTCTTGCGAGTTTCGAATTCATGCACAAGTGTTGTGAGATCCGCAAAAATTAAATTTATTTTCAAACTAACGCGTGAAAAATCCCACTAACAGAAATCGAATGGAATGAGCATCTTAGAGAATTACTCTCAAGGGAACATATCGTTTAACGTTGATCAGACAGCCCGTGATCCAGAAGAAGGCGAATGGCCCGGAAGTGGTGGTTTCCTTCCATACGGCTTTTCAGGCGTCATCGCTGGCACTGCCACCTGTTTCTACGCTTTCGTTGGCTTCGATGCCATCGCTACCACTGGCGAAGAAGCTATCAACCCTCAGGTAATTTAGGTAGCAGTTAGAGTTGCTCATTTCCGATTCAGCGAGATATTCCCTATTCCATTGTTCTTTCCTTGATTGTATGCTGCGTTGCGTACCTTGGTGTCTCCGCTAGCTTGACTTTGATGGTGCCTTATTTCTTCTTGGACAAAGAAGCGCCATTGCCCGCTGCCTTTGCTCGTAATGGAATGCCCTGGGCCAAGGAAAGGGTCTCTTCTCCTCCAAGAAATGTTGACACACAGAATGCGTTGTGACCCTGTGAACCAGTATTTGACTGGTATCGGTGCCACCTGTGCGCTGACTACGTCTCTGCTCGGCGCAATGTTTCCCATGCCGCGCGTCATTTACGCCATGGCCGAAGACGGAATTCTATTCCGAAAACTCGCCGAAGTTTCTGAAAAAACCAAAACGCCCATTATCGCTACTGCTGTTTCTGGTGCCCTCGCCGGTAAGCTAGCTTGATTTATTTTCTCTTAATTTGTCCAATGCAGAAGAAAGTCTAGTGCGCGCAAATTATGCAAGGTATTTATTTCGTGATTATTTCTCAAAGGCTAATCGGCCCTCCAATTGATTGATGAAAAGTAATTCGCTGAAGCTAGTGAATAGCTTTCCACTTTGATCCATAGTACGAAAGACATAAAAATTTGCAAACTTCACTTGAATGAATATTCTGTTTCTATTTGTTCATTTGGTTCTTTAGCTGTACTTGCGCTCGTCTTCGATCTCGAAGAACTGGTTGATTTCATGTCGATTGGAACCCTTATGGCTTACACTCTTGTCGCTACGTCGGTCATGGTACTTCGCTACAGATTGGACACATCCGCTGATCCAGTAATTGATACTTCTGCGGAGACTTTTGCCATCAAGGATTTTTTCTCGCCTCGATATGGCACTCCCACCGAATTGTCCGCACAGGCTGTGTCGTACTCCACCTCTTTTATTGGTAATGAGTGCAAATGCTGAACATCCTTTCTAAAGCCGCATTCAGCTATCTTTTCGATCCTCTTCTCAGTGTGCTCAAAGTTCGAGTGGACGAAGGGAATGCTCGTTTTCGGCGTTTTAATTATCGTATTCAGCATTTTTATCTGGCGCCAACCGGAGTCGGAGGCCGTTCTCAACTTCAAGGTATTGTTGCTCTTATATCAAGATGGTCATTTTTAAGGTACCTCTCATCCCATTCATCCCTGTTGTAAACATCCTTGTCAATGTCTATCTGATGGTGTTCTTGCGATGGACGATCTGGGTCAAGCTCACCTTCTGGCTTGCAGGTAGAGAAAGGACTAAAACTCGGGAAATATCTTTCTTTTAGCCGGATACGCGATATACTTCGGGTACGGATGGAAACACTCTTCTGAGAATCCAGACTACAAGAAGCATGGAATTTCCAATGGAAAATCTCAAGAGCAAATGGTATGCATGTTTATATAACTATCATCTATCGTCTTCAGGGAAAAGAATTCAGACATTCAAGGGTACAAACTTATCCTTACTTATTGAAAAATATCGACTCTTCTCGATAAAAAAAGCAAAGTCGATTTAGTCTATTTGAACTACATGCAGATAATACACATAAAAGCATGCTAGGACTGACCTTCGCTAAAGAAAGTTCACAGATATTCACTAAATTTTTAGGCTCTGGTCAATGGAAACGGCGTGGCGAAAGAAAATCGAACGGAAGCGGTCTTGGTCTCCTCTGAATCGGAAAAACACTAAACTATCTTTATGGGAAAAAAGTTCGACCATGAAGATATTTTACCGGCTGGCATAAATGGCATAACGACAATCTGCGCGGAATGGTTCTCCTACACACAATATAGATCCAACTATAGGTGGTCCACATAGGTCCCTTTACACAAACACCAAAACGCTAGTCTTTGCAATATTCATAATTTCGATTCTTTAAAAATTTTAACTAGGGTGTTCTAATTCTCAAGAGCTTTCTTAACTAAATCCTATCGTATACCACCACGCCTCAAATCAAACTTCCATATCTTTTGCTGTTTCCTTTTTTTTGTTTAAAAATTTTCAAAGATAAAAAAATAAGAATTAATTTTAACACGGGTATATGATATCAAACCATTTCGACAAAAAAAAATTGCCAATTTTTCTTGACTCGCAATTTTTAGTTTCTTGGCTTTTTCAAAAAAACTTTCTTTTGATACCTGACGAGTTTCTGAACTCGATAGACATCTTGAGAATGCTCATTTGAAGTCTATCCCGCTATCTAAACCCGCGAAAAATTCTGTACTAGATAATCAAAGGTGTTTAGTGCTGTTACTTGGTTGCGGTACTCTCCTCTTTTACTTCTAAACAATTTTCATTAAAAAAAAACTAGAGCCTCCACAAAACCCGGCTCGTTTCTCTTTCTCAGGTCTTCAATCCTACGCAAGCTTTTTATAATTTTTATTTAAAATAACGTCTTTTACCGGTGCTTATGAAAAGACGCCTCCTCAAGTTCTCTTTAACAGAAGTTCAACAAAAGTGTCCTCACTCACACAAATCCGTGATGGCTTCAAAATCTGCCCTTTGTTTCATTTCTAGTGGAACTAGATCTTAGACCTATTTTCAAAACAACTCCTGTTATCCTTTTCTTCGTTACTGATGGACCTCTATAAGTTTATATATTGTGAATCTCCAACACTTCATCATTTCTTTTTTTTGCGATGCTTTAAATGAAACTCTTAATAAATTTATTGCAACCAAATAACGCCCGTCTTTTCGCATTTATCCCAAGCGTTGGTGGTGTAATGGTCAGCATTGATGCCTTCCAAGCATTAGATCCGGGTTCGATTCCCGGCCATCGCAATCTTTTTGCATTATCTCAGCCGTCAGAGAGTGATTTAGATCAAGAATGAACCGAGACGAACGGCGGGAGCGTCTCAAACAGATGATCCAAGTGATCATAAACGGCAAGAATGCCGGAAAGCAACCAGGTGATATCGCCAAACTCGCTGGAATGAGCGTGAAAGATTTCAAGGAGATGGCTCCTCAATTCAAGGTGTCTTCTTCTGTCAATATGATCTTTAGCGTTTTTTAGCAAATGTTCGGAATGGACCTGCATTTCTCTCCAGGACTCCAGCTCATTCTCCCTCGTGACCAGCAAGAAATGGCGGTGTTCGTCGAAGAAAAGGTTCTTTCGCCCGAAGAAAAGCCCGAAAATAACTTTTCCTCGCTCGATCACATCGCTACCATGCTCATGCATGTGATGTTCTTCCGAAAAGGGAAATTAACCGAGCCCGAGATGAAGAAAATCTTCATCGAGAAGCTGAAGATCGAATGGGACAAACCAGATAGCCTCCATGGCGGCAAGAGTGCCAAACAGCTCATAAGTATGCTCGAGAAAAGCAACTTAATCAAACGGGTCGCGTAAGTTACGATACTTGCAGCTTGGCTGGGCAACCAGTGTAGAAACCTGAGTCAGGGGCCTGAAAGAGCTTTAAAATTTGTAAAAAGCCGCGTAGGGTTGTTTTTTTAACCGTTTCGCCACAGGTTATAAATAGATTGTGATGGAAACCTGACTCAGGTTTCTACACAGAATGCCGAGACAAGGGCGCAAACCTTAACACTCACCTCCTCATGGTCATTAATTTGATTTTAAAGCATGACAAAGAAAGACTTGAGCACCCAAACAATGATTGAAAATGACAATCAACGGGTGCTGACCTGGGAGTTCGGTGCGCGGGCGAAGACTGTCTACAATTGGGAGAAGATCTTCCGCTCGGGAATAAAGAGCATCGAGCAGCGCGCGGAAGAGGTCCTTACGGAGAACGACGTAGCACGAGCCCGAATGCACTGCAAGAGTCAGCTCGATCAGCTGAATGCCGAGAAAGTGCGAGAACGAGAGAAGAGCCAAGTTTACAACAATAGAGCGGCGCAGAATTAAATCTGTCCCCAGCTACTGCCGCTAAAGAGCTGCCGAACGTAATTGAATAAATTTTATTATGTTGAATGAAAGTTTGTTTATTACTCTGGAAAATCTTTCGATTTCAAAATTTAAATGCACTAAGAGTTAAATTGCTTGACGCAGGAGAACAGGCAAAACATTTCTTTGGAGATTTTAAATCTTTCGAATTTTCCGAAACTACTGAAGTCGGCTCGTTCTTGGTCTTGAATTTTTAGAGTTCTTGTTTTTCTCCTTGTCGCCTACCTTTCACCGTCTTTTTGAATTGCAGTCCTTTCTTCTTGTCTTCGTTTGCCATGAAGCGTTCGCTAATGAAAATGCTGATTTGATGGGGAAAAATGATGTTACCAGAATGCAGTCACGCTGTAAAATTGCTTCTCGTCAAATTCTTCCAATCCTTGGAAATTGAGGGTCTCGCCCATTCTCGTGAAACTATCTGCCGACACAGCGCCTGCCAGTAAAGGGTGAAAAATACGTTTAAAATAGTTGCACCTCTCCAAAAGTCAAAGAACGCGGCTGCCAGTTCCTCAAGATTGAGTCTATCGGGGTCGAAGTCATCCTCGTCTTTTCTCTTTGATCGTCGATGTTTTGATATTCGAAGGTCCCAGAGTTTCTTGTAAAGACGCTGACGACGAGGAACGATTTTCAGATAGTCCGTGATGTACTCAAGGGGCGTCAGACCCCGCAGAGCCTAAGAGCTACGTTTGTGCTTTGAAATAATCGGGCTTCTCTACCTCTAAATTTATTGGCAGCGTGAAAGTTGCAGCATCTTTGTTGAAGGTGTATCTCGAGGAGAACCAAGGAGTTGTTGTTGATCTCTGAACCATCGAATAATAAGGTCTTGTTTAGCGTTTTTTATTATTTTTGAAAAGGGAAGTGCGTCTCCGATCCACAGCAGTTTTTGACAAAAGTGGCTTTTGATCCAAAGTGCTTTACAGTAAATACTTATCAGACTTAGCCAAACTTTCTTTGTTCGGACCGTCAAAAGCGTCTTTTCAACAAACACAGAAGCGTGTGTACGGAATGTTTTCCGACGATGCTATTCCATGTCGCCAAGGAAGCGGGCCAGTGTATTTGGGAAGCTTAGGACTTTGCAAAGATCTGTTTGCGTAAGGACGATTTGCTCGCGACACAGAACGATAATTCCAAGTCTGATAATTGCTGAAGGATTTGTGTACTAATTGAGTGATAGCCTATTCGAGGATCTGCCAACTAAGCCCAGTCAAAGACCTTTCCTTCTATATTTGAAAGAATCTCGACTCCAAATATAAATTTCTAGTAGTAATTAAAACTTTTGTTGAATCAGGAAAAATCTTCATGTTGAGCAAGAAAAATGAAATATTCTAATGTAACTAGCCTGCGAATAATAAGGTTGAAGTTTTCAAGTGAACATATTTGTCTTTTGAGTTCGGAGATACCGAGGTATATATATTACTGAAAGTGAAAATTTTGATAAATTCGATTATGGTAGCTAAAGTAATTGTTTAATCGTTGCACTTTCAATAGGAAAGTAGATAACCGTCAATAATCTTACCTTGTATATAAACGACGAACTTATACTTTTCTGAGTTTCAACTAAATTCAAGTAAACATCTAACACTATGTTAGCAAATGTCATTTCTCTAGAGACCGTCATCTAGTTCTGGTACTTAAACAGAACGAGTGTATTTACTATCTCTATCGCATCCGCTTCGCCATCAGAATTATTCTCGTCTAATACACAATGGCTAGTACAGTACTTTCTCAGTTTTTGTTTTTATTTGAAAAAGCTTCATTAACGAAACGATAAGGAATTCTAATTGCGCTACGATGAGATTCAAAATAATGTTGAACCTTTTCCCAGTCACATAATAATCTTTCAGCGTTTTTCTTGGTAAATCTTGATCGTGTTCATCTTCCCAGGTTACCATCACTGTAATCTTGCTCTTTCGTCTCTATTATGTATCAATCTATCTTTCTTTTGGTCTTTTTCTCGTTCCTATTTCGAAGCTAGCATCATTGCTGCTAGTTTGCGGTCAAGGGCATTTGCACAGCTTTTGCTAAAGTTCTGACTTTGCGAAAAAATGGTGAATTAACAGAAGGTAAATATACTCTTTCAAACTAGTATTTGAACAATCGCCCAGGAAGTCACTTGCCGCCATATTTTCCGCCAGGGAAGATGCTAATTGAGCTCCTATGAGTTCCCAGCAAGAATGTTAAGATTTTCAAACTGTATTCTATTTAAAAGTGTTCTCAGTAAAATATCAATAATCTATACATATTATGCTGTCATATGTGTGCAAAGTTTAAGACGGGGAAGGGTCGGCATTTGTCTATAAATAAGAATATTCTACGACTTCTTTTTCGGGAGATTCCAACGGCTCTCGCGCTTCTCCACTTCGCCGGCAGAAGTAGCGAAGTGTCCGTTTCCAAATGTCGACGCCGCCGCATCGACGTCAACGTAGCTCTATCAAAATCATTACTTCAGCTATATTTGACTGCGATTACCTGTGGATGCATAGGAGGAGGAGGTGCAAGGCCTAATTGATTTTGTCCTTTGGGCGATTGATTTGGCGGGCGGGGCTCAGGCATGTCAAACCCTAAAATATGCGAAGTGATGGGGCAAGGACAACGCAAATTGTGATGCTGGTGAGAACGCACACCCCCAAGGGCACAATAAAACGGACACCCCACAACTGACTTGCTAATTGGAATACTCATGTCAATGACATGTTCTAAAGCAGACCAAGGGAACAACTTATCATTCTGACAGCCGCTATATGATCAGGAATAACTTGTCCAAACAAATCATCAACAGGCTTTGAGTTTTCTCACACTGCAGACTCACCTAGCGGTTTTCCTAGTGGCTCGTAGGCAGGAAAGTTTCGGAAGGAGGAAGGTTTTGGCAGTATAGGATGGCTTCTTTTGGCAGTGAGCTTGACTCTCGCTTTAAAGAAGAGATAGCAGAGGTACTTGAACTCCATCAAATTTAAAATGACGCAAAATATCGTAAATCCTGAGAAACAAATATAATATTTTCCGTTTTGTATTCAGAATGTACCTAGCATGAAATTGAGAAAAATAGTTTTTTCTGCTGGTCGAGAAATGAAACAGTCGACGACGTGAGGGCAGGGAAAGCCCTGACATTTGAAAAGCTCCTTCACTTTATATCCAAAGAGCCACAATTGAAGAATCCCGAAAGTTGCTTCGGAAGCCAAACGGAAGAATACGTTGGCCTGCGATCGAAAGTCATTTCCTTTTCAAAAATAAGTGCTAACCATGTAGAGATGAAAATGCTGCGAGACGGACTTTCCGACCATTATGCCGCATTTTTTCTTGGACTCTTCTTTGTTTTCTTTCGTCACTTTTGAAGAATCGAGCAATGCCTGCACGACAGGCTGTTTCCATCATTAATAATTTTGGATTTTCGAGGCATACCTGATCTTGGTTTTGAAGATCAGATCCTTTGCCAGTTTGGAGCATTGGTGGAGGGGGCATGTCATATTCCACTTCTTTTTCATATTGAGGTGGGGACTTTTGGTGCTTTCTGCTTGTATGATGTCCATTGGTATTGTCTCGACTTCTATGATGTCTCGATCTTCTGAATGTTGTCTGAATCCAGGGAAAATGACAATTTTCGTACCTGCTGTGGTAGTTCTTGTTCCCCGACGAATCGGAGTCATCATCCGTTTGGCGATGAGTTTGCGTTTGCGCTTCTTTCATGTTTGTAGTTGGCTTTTGACCCGCAGGTAGCACGCTCCCTGAGGTAGACACTGCCCTTTCGGATTTCTAAATTTAGAGCATAAGACATCGCATTGAATAAGAATGCGCAATCAATTCCGTGCCCTTGACACCGAAAGAAAAGGGTAGGTCATCATCCCATAGGGACTCGAAATCACCAGGGATAAACGAGTTTAATGCTTTTACTTTATTTATTCTCGACAATAATTTACCTTTTCTGCAATCAGTTGTGCCTTTGCTTCTTGCTTTTTTGATTGTTCGACGCGCATTTTTTCCTGAATTGAGCAGTTATCAACTGAATCTTCTCCCATCTTGAGGAGCAACGATTTTAACTTTCTCACTCACTTTCGCCTTATGACCAGAATAGACGATGAAGCCAACAGACGGCATCGTCACGCACATGAGCTGAAAGCCCCAGAATCGTACATGTGAAATTGGCGCGAACTTGTTGTAGCAGACCTAAATATTCCTCAATAAAATAACTTGAACAAAATATTAAAATGGATCATTAGGTTCTCTAGACACGATGATGGAGAATATTAATTGTCTGTTAATGAATGATAAAATCAATTTGGAGCTTCTCCATTTTCAAATCTGAGATGCCACTGATCAGAATCCATTAATTCATTAATAACCCGTTACAAGCAAGTAAATTTGGAATATGCTCAATTTTCAATAAGCCTCTTTTCGTCAGAAAGCCCATACGTTAGCATTACCTGAACACACCCAGGTTGCTGGGTATTGCAGCGAAATTCTGACTGTTCATCGGCGTAAACTCGGTCTCCTAAAATTTATAATATAACACAACAAATAAATAATATAGCAGATTTTATCGATAAAAATCTCCTTGACTTTCTGTTTTTTCAAATGTCAACGCGCAAAATCATAAATAAAACACCTCGCTAGCAGGAGCAATAAGCTCACGCGTCCATAATACAATGCCAAATATCAGTATTGATTCTCATCTAAATTCTCTCAATTATTTAGAAGACTTTTATCTTTATCATGCTTGTCAAATACAGTTTTTTTCTCGATCATGTTAATATGTTACTTCTGTGGAAAAAAAAGAGCCTCAATCATCTTTTTCTCTTCCTTGATTTCCAAAATTTCTTTTGATAGCCATTAGTAAATTAGCCATTCGGGTGTTATTTGAAATTTCAATTGGTCATAAATATGTAGCATTGTTTAAAGTTTTTCTTTTATTAAAAACGTCACTAGTAAGATAAATCTACAAATTCATGATAGAACTGTATATTTCACTGTACTGGTAGAGAAGAAGAGCTGCCACATTGCATTGTAATATTTATGATTATCGGGATGGGCAGTAAGGGCCGGCACTGTCTGTAGATAGGGCAGCTTACTGTAACTCGTCCACGAGCTTTTGAGATGAGCACCAGGTAACCCTATCAACGTCAAAACGGACTTACTCTGAAATAGGATTTTTCTCCAATTAGCTTTATAACATGCTCCTCGAGCATCAAAAACACTGTCCATTATTCTGTGCCAAATCACGCGAATAAATTATCGATCGCAATATTACACACTGCCAAAAACGAATAATAACAATTCCTTTGCTCATAATTTAAAATATTTCAAAGCCTCATCTTCATTTGTACAGGCCACCCTAAGTGATCATTGCTTCAATCTATACTCTTAGAAAAAATTGATTGCGTGACGAAGCGAAGGAGGGTTTATGAAGATAATTAGGGCCGCTTTTAAGATAAAAAAGGATCTCGGTTGATTGGATTTTTACCTATAGAACCGATGATAACCATTCTGCAGACAATGAGGTAAGTTATCCAAAACTTTCCTATCAGCGTCGAGTGCTGATTCGCTCGTTCGAGCCATCTCTCTAGAAAATGCCAAGACATTCTTCTTTATCAGCCCTTTGGGCGTGCCCGATGAGGCCCTCGGCGTGTTCCGCTGGATCTCAATGGTTTCCTCTATGTTTCCCAGAAGTTTGTCGTGGCGAAACTGTGGTTTGTCCAATCTCTTTTGAGTTGTATTTTCTCGAGTAAAATTAGAATAAATCTGTAGTAAAAAGCTGATCGGATTTTCCCGAAGATGTTCCCTTCTTTCGAAACGAGCGAGAATGGAAAATCAGAGGGCACCTAGCGGCGCGTCGTGCAGCGCACAGGGCGCCACACGAGAAAAAGAACGGACAAATTCTATGCTCAGCTATATCAGCAATATAATATCAGTTCTCATACTGCTAATCAATCTCGATTATCTGTTTGGACAAAGCAACTACCTTGAAGTTTCTGTTATAATAGAAAATCAATCCAATGAAGAAAAAGATCGCTAGAAAGCCTTGAAAAATTAAGACAAAAATAATCCCGGGCTCTCATTCTACGAGTCTCAAATTCTTCAAGACTAAAATTTTCACATTTCAATACAGTTGTAGTTAAAAACCCCACATTGAAAGCTCAATGAAAGCAATGAAAAAAATTTGGTAAATGCTGTTACTAGTCGATCTGATTGGCATTTGTTCTTTTGAGTCCAGAAGTAATCAAGGAGGATAAAGTTTAAGATCATTAAAGAAAGACCCCTGATTTTTATGTTCTATGAATTGAGCCGAAATCGATTATCCAAGTTTGGCTCGCCTGATCCTCTGAAGAAATTATAATCTGGATATTGACTGTTCACTTTTTATTAAGGCTGTTGCCATATTGCTGCTGGGACATATTGCTCTTACTGTCAGATTTACGAGCAGCTAACAAATCGTGCACTCCTCTTCCCTTCTGTATTCTCTTACGCCTGCTTACTCCGAATTAGCTATCAAGAATGAGGAATATAACAACAGTTTTTAGAAATAATAAATAACAGTTTATTCTTTCAATTTTTAAGGTAGATTTAAATAGTTTTATTAAACCAATCTTAAGGGAATATACAAATTCAAATAGTCTTGAGAACAGTCTTCTCTGTATGGTTTATTCAATAGACTTTATTCTTGTTAAAATGATTGTATGACGGAAGACAGAAAAAGAGATGCTAAAGTAGGAGGAAATCTAGCAAAAAATATAAAAGGACCGGGGATAGCCTATTCCGAATAGACTTCCGGAAAGCGTAGCGGCCTTTCTGTAAGGATATTTTTTCTTTATATAGGGTTTAACCCTAACCCTAACCCCATTAGATATCATTTCTGCTAGAAAAAAATTTCTGTCTATATTTTGTTTTTGATAATTCGGTCTTGCCTTCCATATCTTTCTGAGTGACAGAAAAAAAATTGCAATATGTTGCATATTTTATCCGTACATAAAAACGCTAAAAACTTAATGTTCCAAATAAAAATAAAATTGATGCAGACAGCGACTTTGCGGGATTTTAAAGAAGAAAGGAAGAAGTTAAATTAATAATAATACTATAACTCAGCCTGTCTAGTTGGCATATGGCGACCTTGCGCGCGTGGCCTTATGCCATTCATTCATCATCACATGCATATCCATGATTTTTTGTTGAATATTCCATAGCCCGCGTCGAGCTTAAATCATCGCCTAATGATAACAAATATTGAAAATAATAAAAGCAAGTAAACATAAAGGCGTATTTAACGGTAACACTGTAAGAAGGAGCGATACGACAATATTGATTCCGTGCACAAGTTTTTACATTTGTTGAATTATTAATTTGCACGGAAGAGATCACTGATAATCTGAGATGACACTTTTCTGCGCAGGTTGCTCTTTGTTGCTTAAATGGAAATTGTCATATTCAGCTTTTCTTCTTTGTATCAGTTTTGCGAGAGAGGCAACATTTAATTTTAATTAATCGTAGAACGAAACGGACAGAGCGGCCGATTTTATATAGATCACGTGTTCGTGCAGAAAAGAAAAATGACGTTGCATTAATTTCGCGAAAGATCATTTATTTAGCCTTTTCATAATTCAATGAATAGAAGACACAAAGTTGAACTTTTAAAACAATAAAAAAGCCTAGACTTCTTCTGTCTCTGCAGCCACATCCAACTCATTGATTCCAAGTCGAGCGGACATTGCTGGGTTTAGGCAAATAGAAATCAGTGCTAGACGAACTTTATAATCTCTGTCATGTCTAAGCAATCTCAACATACCTAAGGTGAACAAGCAAATGCAGACGAGAAAAACTGTATACAACGTGAGGATTTCCATATCTATATCCTTCAAACTCGACTACTACCAACACCCTGTCCACTTCGACGGTGTGAATTTTCCCAAAGTGTATGACCTCCAAATAGGGGGCTCTAAGATTGCGACGTCAAACCTGCTGACTGAAAAGATTTACAAGCGAGTTGGATGTCGATTTGGATTATGATTATATAATATAATAAAGAGGAAAGAAAAAACCCTCACAATCGCGCAATTAGCTAAATACTGAGTATACTATACTCTAGAAAAATACTCTAAGACTGATGAATTATCTGTGAAAAACGGGCTTGTCGGTCTTGAATCCGCGATTCTCACGTTGGGAAAACTTCCTGCTTTCTTGAGGCAGTGTTAACTCCGCGGGGGAGCCGATGTTCTGTCCATGCAAAAGTCGAATTCTGGCAGTCAAATGTATAACAGTATTAACAGAAAAGAACTGGGTTTGAATTGAAGAAAGACCTATGTAGTAAGTTTCACTTGATAGCATTAAATTCCTACTATAATTGTTGTTATAAAAGTAGTAATATAAAAGTATAAAGGTATTCTAGTTTTCTCATTTTCTTATGGAAACATGAATTTTTCACTCGAGTTTTATAATGTTTTCAGAGCAAAAAAAGGTGGAGCCCGTCCTTTTTATTGTTTTATTTGTTTAGCTTTTCCTTATTTTGGTATTGGTTCCTCTATTTACTAGGGAGTATTTGAGGGTTTTTGCCCCTTGCTGTCAAAAAGCAACAAAAACTCGATCACTTTTTTTTAAACTTTCGACATGCAAGAGTAGAATAAGAGAAGAGTAAAATGCTTTGCAAGAGTTTTGTCTTGGGGAGTTTCTTGGGCGCAGTCGCCGGACAGAATGCGTTTGCTCCGCCTGTACGGTCTCAGGTGAACCTGCCGCCCTATAAATCCAACGAGATCATCTCTTCACTAATCACGCAAAATGTTAAAAATGGACAAAACACCAATCTCGATCGCTTCAAGGAAAGTGCTCCTCACTCCATACAATATGTTAATTTCCGTATGTTTACAATAACGTAAGTTAATAATCTTAGACTCTAAACAGCACAATGAAAGGTGAATAATCCGGGAAACTATTCTTGCCGGGTTCAAGTTTTGAAAGAACCTGCTTACTCTCGAATGGGAACCGTTTTCCCGGATGTGTTCGACTGCGACTTTGATTACGGATCAGTTTGGTATGAGCATTATGGAGGAAGTTTATTGCATAAAGGGATGGATCTTTTTTTATCTCCTGATACATTCAGCATTAAATAATGAAAACGTATGAAAAGCGCCATGAAAGACAACGTAAAGATGCGCGTGTTTCTTTTAGCGGAAAAGCACACAATCGAGCAAGACATTTACATGAACGTCGAGCTGGATCGATCCCAATGTTCGCTCATTCGGCACGGGCTGATCGAAATTATAACAAATAAATTAACCTCTACAATGACCTAGATGACCCTTTCTGAAAAAAGGGAGTGTTCGATAAAGAACAAAAAAACTCGAAGTCTCTTAGGATTAGCCCAGGTTAGCGTCGGAAACCATCTGTCAGTTCGACAAGCAGGAGTCACCGCGGAGTTATCTACTAACAATATAGGAATTGATCATGAAATTTTCAATGCGAAGCACGTTGTGCTTTCTATACACTTTTCTGATTCAATAAAGATTTCGCAACTGGATACAATGTACTGGATACAGACTGCTACGTGCGCTTCTTTCACAAAAACTTTCCTTACTGGGGCTATCTGATTGATGAAAACGACGAGGTCGTGAAAGAAATCAATACGAAGTGCATCGACTTCCGCACTACTGGAAAGAGATACAGATACAAACACTCTAAATGGCCTTCTCCCGACAAGGATTTTATTCCAATTTCGGTGGAACTTATAGACCACCAATCTGGATATGTTGTTCGTTCGGAAAGACACCACATTGAAATACAGGTAGACAACTATTGGTTTCATAAATTAAGTTATTAATAAGATTATTGGCGGCGCAAAAAGCTCTCCTCCGACAGCTGACCCAAGTTGTGACTATCTCATTTCGGTGGATCAGTTTGTGCTGTCTAGAATTTTTCCGACCGATCTGGCAGCCATCGACCGTGAAACCGAAAAATCTCGGCTTTACTTTCGAATTGTGCAAAAACCAGAAGTCGGTTTCATCACTCATGCGGACGATCACACGCGCCCAATTGAAAGTTTTTCGATGAAGGATCTTGAAAGCCTACGGATCATGTATCAGCCACCTCCTGTAGCCTATGACCATCTTCACCAAGTTCAATTCAAAGTTGCAGTCTTTGACGATTTCCACAGGCGAAGCAGACCGATTGACGTCTGGATTCAAATTGATAGACAGATGACGGAAGCTCCAAGAGTTACATGGGTAATGTTTTATTCTTAAAATATTTTGAAATCTAAAGCTTTTTCTGAATTTTCAAGGTTAAAAATAAAGGCGTACATGCTAATCCTAGTACGTGTTTTTTTATGCTGTACTAACCAAATATCTCCAAGGGAGACTTTTCCGAACCCAATAATGACTCCTCGTTGATTTTAATGATTTTAAGAACACTGGACTGACCTTGTTGGAGGGTCAAACGCGCGCTCTTTCAAACGCAAATTTCATGCTCGAAGATCCCGATACACTTAAAAATCTGAAGTTCATGGTCACTGGAGGTTTACGTCACGGTCTTCTATTGGTAAAGGGTCGTCCTTCGTACTTGTTCAATTACATCGACTTACTCAATAATGATGCCGTCTACGCACACGATGATTCTGACACGTATGGCGACTTTATTGAATTGCGAATTGTTGACGGTGGTCCGCCGGGGCCGATGGCGTTGCCTCCGACGCGCTTTACGATTCCGATTCTGATCATGCCAAAAGATGACTCGCCGCCAGAGATTACTTCGAATCTGCTGCTCAAAGTGCGCTGGGGGCAGCAAGCAAAAATCAGAAGACACATCCTAGACGCATCCGACTTGGATACCTCTGACGATTACATTAAACTCGTTATTACCGAATTTCCAAAAAACGGGCAGCTCATGATTCAGCGCGAGTGGGATCCTGTTCCCTGGCCGTTGCAAGAGAGCGAACTTTACCAGTTTGAAATCTTCCGAGGACATCTTCTCTATCGTCATGATGGCTCTGAAAATTTGGACGACACATTCAAGTTCTATTTTCGTGATCATTACAAGCGACAGGCAAGGATGTTATTAGCTCGTCAAAGTTCATAATTATGAGCAGCGTATCAACTTAAAAGCCTCAAGATAACTTTGCTTGCTCTAGTTTTTCTCAAAGTAGATTTTCCATAGATTGCACGTTGAACGAAATAATGATAAGTTTCGAGCTCTGCCGATAAACGGTGTTACTGTGCTTTTCATGATTATAATTCCGGATTAATTTCAGATAAGAGCCATTTAAGAATATCGCATGCATCCTCTTAAAGACAGAAGGAAAAGTTTTTCGGATTCGCGCAGAGCAAAATGATAGGCTTCCGCCTTGGCCAGAGAAAAACTGCACATTCTGTCTAACAATGAATGAAGATGAAGTCCTCCCGATCGGCCACGCAGAGCTCGGCTATCTCGATGATTTCTCTGGGCCAAAAGATTTGACTTATGAAATCGTCAAGTCCTGCTCTTGCGTAAGGGTTCAATAAAATTTCCTTTGTTGTAATTATGAAATTAATAATTATTAATTAAATCTAGCTTGTCAATTCTTTGAACCCTTTTCTTGCGCCACTTGTGCCCCGGAATTCAATGACCCTGGCCGGATCGTGCGAATTTCGGAATCGCTTGACAGATTGAAAGGAGAAGGCTTTACCGAAGTGGCGAAATTCACACAGCAAGAAGTGAATCACCTAAGGTAAAAACTTGGGAGCAAACAAATCGCCGGAAAAAGTCCTTAAAACTATGTAGGCTGGGATACGAGCCTCCGATGACTGAAATCGGCCCTGACCCGATCAAAGTGCAGTTTGCATTCAAAGTTACCGATGCAACTGGAAAATCTTCTCCCGTCCACACATTCGATCTGACTGTAAAGCCTATCGATAATCAGGCGCCAGTTTTCCGTTCAAAAGCAGCTAAAGTACAAGTGAAGGAGGGCGATTGTACAAAACTGAATCCTCGGAAGTTGTTTGAGCTCCATGATCCGGATACCAGATCACGCGATCTGACAGGAAGAGACTAAAACTGCGGTTGATGAGTAAAATTTTCTGTAACTTCAAGATCTATGCATAAATCAAATTTTCCGGCAAGTTTTTAGGATTCAATTTCAGCCTCGCTTTAAAGTCAGCTTTATCAAATCACCTTTGAACGGTCATATTGGACTACCCTTGGGAACTCCGATTAATAAAGACCAGGATTTTACGTTAGGGGTCACGAAGATGATCTTTATTAGACTATAAGACTCATTCTTATTTCATTCGGCACTTTAATGTTGACCCCTACGAAGCTTTCCGAACTTGCCTCTTTAGTTTATTGTCATGACGATTCCGAAACTGAAGACGACATCTTCACAATCATGGCTCGTGACCCGAAAGACAACAAAAGCAATTTGTTGGACATTCACGTGAAAGTTTCGCTAGTCAACGACCACCAGGCCGAGTTTAGAGATGGCCTCGTAACGCGCATATTCGTCGAGGAAAATGGCGAAAATTGTCTCTCTCTTCGCAACATTGACGTATACGATTTCGATACGGCGAATTCAGAGCTTTCTTTCTCAGGTATGACGGCGTTTCAAAGCGCTATAAAATTAAGTCAATATATTTTACTAAAATAATTTTAGTCGAAAGTCAGCCCCGTATCGGTCGAGTCATCATGAACGGGCGTGACGTGCGTGACTTCCGCTATGAAAGTATCGGAAAGAATGAAATATGTTTCGTCCATCGAGGAGAACTTGGCCAAAACGATCTTCAGGATTCATTTATCATTTCTGTGGAGGATCCCGGCTACATTGGCTCTAAAATAGCGGCAAGGCATGGTTCCCATGAATTTGAAGTAGATCAGAAAAAATAATCGGACCCGAATTAACAGAATGCGATTTGACGTTAATATACATCGAGTTAACGACGCTGCTCCTCGTATTTACTCCAATAATGCCTTATTGGTCGTGGACGAGGGCGCAGCCGTCATACTGGAGAAAGAGGTATTGCGAGTTTCTGATGACGATACAAACGTTGAAGAGATCGTTATTTGCGTTGTGAAGCAGTTTGAGCATGGATTCTTTGACAGTATTGCTCCAGCAAGCGGCTCTGAAGATCCTCTTGTCAATAAACCCATCGACTGCTTCCCCTACCCTCACATTGAAAAGGGATTCATCCGCTATAACCAATTCCACCATCTCGGAAAAGAACCGAGATCAGATGCTGGTGCAGTCACCGCCACTGACGGCGATTCCATCACCGCCCCTCTAGAAATTCGTGTCAAAATCAAAGATGTTAATGACGAACCACCGCTGTTAGAAGTGAAAGACTCAATTCAAGTCTTAGAAAATGAGCTCGTTCTTCTTAGCGATGCTATACATGTAAAGAATTCTATTCAAAATATTTCTCCAGGAACGGCTTGCATTCGTAAATTTCAAAAATATTATTTTCGGCGGAATTAATCAAATGTGTCAGCCTTGTCAAAGAGCGCATTAAAATTCACTTCAATCGCCCAGAACAAGGCGTGATTCTTAATAAAAGACTACTGGATTCAGTGAGCAGCACGTTTGGGTCATGCGAAGAGTGTCAAAATGACGCACCAGAAGAAGATTCCAAAGACCTTCTCGAATCGGCGAGTCATATCCAGCCACTAGATCAAATCTCACTGAAGGACTTAAACGATCCACTAATGGAAATCGCATATGTTAACTTTGGTCGTGGAGTAGAAGAAGAATCCGACGAAATAACAGTAACAGTCACAGACGGAACACATCAAATCTCAAAGAAGATCACGGTCAAAATAGTTTTGACAAATGACGAGTGTCCAGTTTTAGCAACTCATGAGACGCTTCAAGTGGAGCTTGGCGAAACAAGAGTTATCTCCAACACTGCTCTTCATTTAACAGACATAGATAGTTCTCCTTCTGAGCTACAATATGAGCTTCTGACACTTCCACAAGCAGGCGTTCTTGTTGTCACCTCTCCGGGAACGCGCCCTTATGAAATGAGAATTGGCGATAGTTTTACTGAAGAGCAAATCCACCAGAACCAAGTCCATTACAGACACAATATAGAGAGCAAGCTTGAGACAGATAGCTTCACATTCTCTATGACAGATGGAGCCAATACTCTTCCAGAAACAAAGCTGTCGATTCATTTGTCTGGCAGCACAGTGAAGAACTCGATTCATATTCAGGCAAAACCGATCACTATTCGTGAAGGGGAGAGGCATTTCGTTTCTACCGATGAGATTACAGCAACGGATGGAAGTACTAACTTTGAAGACGTGAAATTCGTCATAGAGGCTAAGCCCAAAGGAACCGTTAAAAATCTTTCGATGACTTTGATAAGAAATATACCAAAATATTTAACGTTTTTCAAAGCTGGCTATTTTGCCCATTTTAATAACATCGAATCTCCGTTACGAACTTTTACTGAATTGGATATCGTCTCCAGAAAAATCGTCTTTGTCGCTGAGAGCAAGAGAGATGTGAAATTCGACCGGATTCCGTTCTCCGTTTCCAACAATCGGGGCGCCACAGCACATGCTTTCTTTGAGATGGAAGTTATTCCTATCGACGTGGAAATGCCAAGATTAGAGCTTGCCAATTCCCAGGTTTTTCTTCAGACAGGCGATAGGATCGGGTCTCTAGAATACAACTACCAGGAGCTTATGGCATTAGTACACTGCGACCCAGAAGGTTAACTTAGTTACGTTTTCAAATTTCAAAATTACGATAATGTGTGACCCTTGAATAGTATCGTACTATCGGACGACTTGATTCGTCTTTCGGATCCAGACACAAACGACCTGGACGTGTTCATAATTCTCGAAACGCTACCAAAGCACGGACGCCTAATCGCTAATGGCGCTGAGGTGTACGTCCCGGGGCTTAGAGTGTCACTGGAATCCCTCAAACAAGGCAAACTCCTTTACCAAAACAACGGAAACTCGGCTTCCATGGATAATATCAACATCGCGGCAACCGACGGACTTAACGACGGATACTTGAGTGGTAACATGGAAACCAAGCTCCCCATCACCCTCACATTGCAGGTAAACTTGAATTGGCTGCACAGATATACGGTATATCATATACCTAACATTAACTGTTTTATTAATGAGCGGGCACATATTTTGCAGTTACAGCAAACTACGTGTTACTCAAATTCAGTAGCTACTGGTGATTTAGCTACTACGAATTCTATGTGCATGTTGCGGGTTGACCACAAAACCGGATCAGTTTTGATTTCATCTATCGTAGATAAACCATCCCGACATAAATCCACCACAGATCGTCATCAAGAAAATTCCGGAAGCCGTCACTCCAATCACGTACAAAGGCACGGCTCTTTATTTCTATGTTTTTTGTAACCGGTCGGAAGGGGGATTTGAGCCCAAGAAGGCGAACTTCATTATGTGGTTCTCATCGATGGCAGCACTCTCAACACTGCTGACAGTAACACTGACCCCTCATCGATCAAGTTCGAAGTAGACTCTCCCGCAAAGAGTTTAGGTCACTTGATCTTTGTCACCTCATTCACTCCTGCGAAGACATTCACACAGGCCGATGTTAACAAGGGGCGAATCGGTTACGTCGTTCACTACAAAGATTTCCACCCTGCCATCGTACCAACTGGAAGTTTCATGTTCACGGTCAGCGATATGTGGGGCAACACCAGGTCAATTAACTCTTTGAAAATATGTGATCCTAATACTTGTCAAAGTCCTCCGCAGCTGTTTGTGATCAACTGGCCTGTAATAACTCTGGACAACACACTGTTGGATATTTGCGAAGGAGACTCGGTCGAGATTCCAGTAAGGCGCTTCGGCGGTTTCTTGGAGTCATCATTTGTCACTGTGGAGGTCGAAGGCATAGACACAGCGAAAGTGAACGATGATTTCTTCGCCCGCCCCAGCTCTTCCTTCCAAATTCAATTCGATCCCACAGAGGTCTCCAAGTCTATTACAGTCCAAACTTTGGAAGACAACTTTGAGGAGCCGACGGAGGAGATAAGAATTTACTTATCGAATTTGCTTAATGCAACGCCTGGTTTGTATCGCTTTCCGAAAAGGTTAATTATATCTAAGTTTACAGGGGACAAGATGAAGCTGACTATCCGAGTGCATGATAACCACAGAGGCAATTGCGATAAAAGCGCACTCTCAGAAATTCCCAAGAACATGGCTCAGGAAATGTAAGTAGAGACTAGCTTGATTAACTCAAACTCTGATAGAAGTAGTGGCTCTCGAAGAAGATCAAGAAACGGTCGAGTAAATGTGGCACGAACCCTCGGCGATGGTTCCACCAAAGGAACAGCAGCTGGTGTCGCTGAAATAGCCAACACGAAAGTATGGACGTTCCATGCAATGAATGGGGCCGTCGTCAGGGAAGAAGACGCTGGCGAGTTCATCGGTAAACCTCTTCTAGAATAAATTCAAAAGAAAAACAAAAGGCCCGACCGAGATTTGAACTCGGGATCTCCTGATTACTAGTCAGGCGCTTTAACCAACTAAGCCATCGGGCCTGTCCCCGGTGATTCTAGAGTTATTATGTAAATCAAGTATATGAGCTAGCAAACGAGAACATTTAATGTTAATTTAACTATCTAAATTGCGCTAAACTAACTCATTTCCGAAGTTACACTTGTTTAGGAGCTGGAAATCGGGTGCCCACAAAACATGTGATCGAAGATCCGTCCGTGATAGACCCTGATAAAGGGACTTACCATTCGGGCTCTACAGTGTCGGATGCCTACTCGGAAGATTTCGTAGTGCCAGGTACACACGAAAAACAGCGAAATTAGCGGATTTGTAATAATTCTTGAGATCGCGGTGACTGGGCACTTCGACGAAAACGAGCACGTTTGGCGAGCTCCGGGCGCAAGGACATTGCCACTTCTAAAGAAGAATTCACTACATGCACGCCGTATGTCAATTACTTTTCAAACATCAACAGCAAGAGTTCGATGTTAATACGCAACGAGATATTTTTTTGTAAATGTCTGACATTTACAATAAAATTAGCAACAGAACTCATTTACGAGTTCTATCAATTTATTTCTGGGGGCGCCAAAAGATTCTTTTTAGCTTCCTCGGCTTTTATTTCTAAAAAAATGTCTAAATTTTGTTAAAGCTCGATTTCGGGAGCAATATTCGTCGATGATGTAGGAGGAACGACTTACTTATGCGACGGAAATATTTGGATACCGAAATCGTCTCCTCGAAGTGCTCTTAAATCTTCAAACAGAAACAAAGCACCTTCATGCCCAACAGGGTGGGAGATGATCAAAGGAAACTGCTTCAAAAAGGTGCAAACACCCGAAAACTGGGTGAACGCTCTTTACGAATGCAAGCAGCAGGTGAGAAATTATATTTTATAGCTATAATGCATCTGAGTTATTTTGAAGGACTCGACATTAGCTGTCGTTCACAGCCGACGCCTTTCAAAAGCACTCATGCTCGAAGAAAGAACTGCTTTTTGGATAGGGCTTAAAATGGACGCCGAGAAGTGGCAGTGGGTCACCAAGGAACCAGTTGGAAGACTGTTCTGGAATTCGAAGCCTCGAACGCACGATAAAAGCTTCTTCTGTGGAAAACTAGGTCAGAAGAAACAATCTGCCTAATCTTAAAATTGCATTTAGAAATGAGCTCCAAATTCTCACCAGAAAACTGCCGCCAAAGACTTCCATTTATTTGTATGAAGCGGGCCATTGCTTGAAAACTCCTGTCATGTATATTTTTAGCAGAATGAATAAAAGCACCTCATGTTCTTTCCACTTCTAAAAATCAGTCTCACTTCTTATTTCATCGAAAAATTTGCTCTATTTTGTCCAAAGCTGGTAATAATTTGGGAGTTCGGTAATCACGTGACCGCGCAGCGCGAGGCACTCTTCTGATTTCTCCTAAACATCGATTTTTGTAACGAAAGTGAGGAGCTTTCCGAATGAGCTTAGACGGGGCTCTATAAATGTGATTTTGCCGGACATCATAGTATTATGTGATATGCGACGACGTAAAATCAGATGTCATTGCCTCGGGTGTAAAACAACCTAATGCATACATCTGACAACCTTTCCTCTGCTCTTTCAGTCATCCGAGAAATAAACATTTTTCTTGCGCTATTAGCCGACTTTCGAATTGTTCCGAGAATTGTTGATTTAGTAGAAGAGTGAGAAATGGATTGGGGCGTTTTGTGGTACTCGCCAGAGAAGCTTCTCCAGGAAATTGACTACAGATGCGAGGCAAGCCTACAGTTGATTTCGCTGCTAAAAGATATCGCTGCGCTAAAGGAAATGGTGAACTTTTTGAGAGGAGCATATCGAAAGAGCGGTAAGCTTTTTTGTTCAATTCTCTAAATGCCGACTCTTCCGGCTGCCAATTTATAAAAGCCAAAACTCATATATCGAAACTATTCATTTTCGAGGCTGAATTGAAGCTAGAACTCTAGCTTGAGAATGAAAAGTATAAATTGAAAATTGAGATTGATCAATTTCAAAGACTGCTTTACGACTTCTCCAAGTTTATCGGGACAAATTACATGGGGAAAAATTGAATGATAACAGTAGCGTACAATTGGCGGCAAGACAGAGTGGTTTCAGCAGAGATCTATAGTATTAACCGTTGTCATTTTATGCGAAGTATGCTATGTTCTGAAAGATGTGTACTTAGACGACACAATCGAAGACGTATGCCAGCTGTATATTATTCAGCTAGCAGTGTTGTCGGCGCGAAAAGAATGTTCACCCAAAAAAGCAAGAATTTAATAAAAAGTTGAAGCATATTTGCAAGAAGCATCATCTGAAGACGAACAAGTCTAAGGACAGCTGCTTCAACTCTTTCTATGCGCTTTTCGACTACTGCCACGCGAAAGCAGACACGCACGAAAAGTCCTCTAAAGGAACAGATAGCAACTCTCCTGTGGCGCGAGTGTTGCGTAAGAGTAATTGCTACCTGGCGGAAGAAATGCTCGAGGAACTCCAGAACGTGTCGATTGAACAGGAGGTTTTCACTTTATCGCGGACCAAAGACTACGTTATTACAGATCTACGTCGAGATAGGGAGTGCCTGAGTGACGCGAGGAGAGCACTTCAGAAGGCTAAATACGAAAACGAGCGGCGAGCAAAGGCCCATTGTAAAGCACTCAACAGTTACGAAAAGCACCAGAACTCCAAGGACGTTGATAAGTACAGAGTCGTCTACGCTGATAAGATGGCCCTCTTTGAGATACGTGTTTATAAACAATCCAAGTTTGATAGTCAGAAATCGAAGAATACTCTCTTTTTACTAAATGCGCAGTTTATAAACTCGATGCCAGAGTTCGACAGAAGAATATTCTCTGCAAGTGGATAAGTTCAATCAACTACAAAGATCAAGTGTTGAGCACGTGATACCAAACGCATGTCGTACTCTACAAGAAGTGTATTCGAAAAATTCGAACACGTGGCTCGAGCTACTCACTAACATTGTCAAGATTGAGACTAATCTGATTGAGAAGCGCTCTGCGCAACTCAAAAAATTGAAAATGACCATCTCTTCTGTCAATCCTAATGACGATCAGGAACGCTTCGAATCAAACACACTTTCGTTTATTCATCTGATTAAGAAGCTCGTTTTACAGGTAGAGGTCACAAAACAGCTACAAAAAGAAAACGTTGATTACCCGCGTCCTGCCGAAGTGGAACTGCCAAATCTGAAGAATTTAAAATTTGATGAGATCACTTTGGGAATGCCGACGCCGACGATTTCGCGAAAGCTGGCGCCAAGTTCACCTCGAGTGGAGCGGGACTCCGGCCATTCCTCGATAAGAAGGAGCTACAATCGACTCGTAGAACCGCTTCCGGAAAGGGTTACAACTAGCGACAGCTCAATCCATTCAATATTTGTTTTATGAAAGACTGTCTGGAGACTCCTCTAAAAGCCTCGATCATCTCTGCGAGAGAAGAAGCTAAATGAGTTTTACTCGTCGTCCGTCGGAAATAGACAGCGTTCAATCTCAATAGGAGGGCGTAGTCTCCTTCCAGAAGCTCCCGAACAGGTACCTGACGAGGCGGATTCCTTCGGAACTGGCAGCTACATGTATGTCGATCGCAGCAACACTTCCGAAACTCAATCAAGTAGAATTTATGAAGGTAATTTGCGCCTTCTGAGTTCGCATTACTATTGATAAGATCCGTATCCCGAGAAGAGTTTTGCCACTTCTGCGAGTAACTCGCCAGCACTGCCCCCGCGAGGAACGCCACGTCGATCGCGTTCCCCAGCGAAGATTTACGAACGCATCCGCAACAAGGCGCGGAATAAGTCGAATCCGGCATCGCCAAAACTTTCCAATGTAGCGAGATCCGCACAATCCAAACAATACCACACGGAGCGCGCCGAGTACAACAATCCCATCGAGAAACTAAAACCCAAGGAGTGGCTCGTACTAAATAAATTTCGCATTCACCGTTTTCCACCCTTTAAAAAAATTCTATTCGAATCTGAATGTTTCAGAAGTTTTTTTCATCTATTTACGAAGAATTAGCTGAGCGAGGTGCACAATAATCAGGACAATGGCTTAAAAAAGTGTCACTATGCGGGCAGCTGGGAAGCAGCACCCTTCTAACGATGAGAATACATTCAGAAGATTGGTTTATCTCTAACTGATATTTTGAAAATGAGTTGAGCTCCGATAAGAAATCAATTGCACCGCCGCCGCCGCCTTCAGCGGATGAGGAAAAGGGTCGACCTTGCAGAGCCATGTTTTCATTCAAGGAACTGATACAAAAGTAAAGAACTTTCTTTTAACATACGTTTATCCCTCGACATTATTATTTGTATCATATGCTAGGCTGAATTTGAGCGCTGCATATCCGTGTCGAAGAACGAGCAGCTATCACTCTTTCGAAGTTTGTCTGATGGCTGGTCGTTGATCGAGAACGAAAAAGGCCAGCGAGGGTTTGTTCCCACCGATTACTTGGAGTTTTCATTTTAGCTCTGCTGAATAAGAAAGTGATTATAAATCTGCCAATTCGTGAATATATAAAGTGGCATGGTCTTTTAAGCAATCGATTCGAATATCGATTGCCCCTTTTATATTCTGTCTGTGTGATTATTCTGAACATGATAATGATATTTGACTGCTACTCAATACAGCTATTCAAATGCCTTCAATCTCTTCAATTTTGAAAAATTTCGTATTTATTGAGCAGAAAAACCAAAGTTTTCATAAAAAAGGGCCGGCGATGACAAAAGCCACCTTGGGAAATTGAATTGTATGATCGAATGTAGCTCACTGGTTTAACTGAGAATAAGAGGCTATCGAGTTTGTTTTTCTAAAAGAAATTCCTGATAGAATATTTAGAATAGCTTCTGTGAAGCTTCTGTGGTGAAAATGCCGCCACTGTGGTAGCGCGTAGAACGGGTTGCCAGAGGGTTGAGACGATTGCTTGTGCCTGATCAGATGGGTCTATTAACGTCCATCAGTGATGAACCATCACTCATTAATATGCGAATCAAATGAACAAAAATTTTGAGACCCAGGCCTCGCAGAGTACCAGTCGAGTTAAACTCATCTTCGGGCGTAGTTGAACTCATCATTCGTCTATACTGTGTTTTTCTTTCCTTGATGCAGCGTTTTCTGAAAACTGTTATTTCCCGTAATGGTGGTTATGGCACTGGAGAGGGCAGACAACAGGCGAGCCCAGAAAATGTGTTTAGAATCTTACATGCAGAAGACGAGAGAACCAAGAATGCAGATTGCAATCCATGCACATAGTTCCCTTTTTTCCAGAAATGGTTTGTAATAGTCGACCTCATGCGTTACCTGAAGAATATCTCCACTCATTCACTCTGCAAACTACCTTGAAAGGCTTTCCTCTCGGTGGGTCATAATCCATAGGTCTGCATAGGTTCCACGGTAAAAGCCTTATTTCGACCTAACTCTTCACCTTGTTTATGCTTGTCCAAAAGCGCGTTTTTCTTATTTTCGTTTCTCCTCAATTCTGCTAGGTTAATATAAGCAGCTTCTTGGTATATTTAGTATTAGTGACAGAATGGACCCCTCATCCGCAGCGACGCCTTTCATCTGCTCATCAGAGTGAGAGTAAAATCACCACGGTTTTTATATTTATAGCACGGCAATATTACCATATTTATATAAATATATCATTAAGAAAATAATAAAACATCCATTTTAGTATAAAAATAGGATGTCTATTCGACCAAAAGTAAGACCTTCATAAGCAATCATAAGAAGCTTTGGTTTTAAAAGGGGAGACTTTCATTGGCATTAGTTATATCCGAAAATTTAAAATGAGACATCGTTGATCTACTCAGCTTCATTAGCTCTCATCAAGGCTAAATTATTTGTCGATGAAAGTAACAAAATTGAAATGGAGTCGCCTTAAATATTTATACATACTGGGGCTGACCAGAGAAGAACTGTAGCAAGTCGTTTTCAATTATTAACACAAAAATAATAAACCAGGTATCTGTGGAACAGATCTGTTTGAGTTTGAGCAGAACTTATAATCTGATCTGCCAAAAGAGACTTATAAAATGGAAGAGAAACCAACAGTCCCAACGAAAATCATGGCAGCAACACTTATTCTCTCATTTTTTATATGTAGCAGTAGGTAACTAGTCAATCACATGACCTTATAGTCGCTTTTAAGTTTTAACGGGAACATTGGTTGTTCTATTCGACAGAGTGTTGGCCAAGAAAACTGAGTTGATTGACGACTCACCGGCAAAGCATCGAATGGAGAAAATTGTATGGATGACGACCAAGGTATAATTTAAAAGAGTTACTGTCTTCAAAATTGTTAGGGATCCCAAAAACGCCAAAACGAAACAAGCGAGGCGGAAATCGAGCTCAGTCACGAAATGCTAGAAAACATGGGAGACAATGCCCAGCAGGGGAAGCAATAGACGGTAGCTCCTCGAAACTACTTCTCTTCAAATAAACTTTGACAGACGAGTCACCTTGTTTCAATTGGTTTATTAGTTTACAAGTGTTGCAGAATCAAGAAACCCAGAGTCGACTGTTCATGTTTTAATCAAGAATTCAGAAATAAAAATGACGAGAATGGAACTTGCAAATAAAATCGGAACTGGATTACTTATCTAGGCAGCAATTGACTGGAGCGAGTTGAGCATGACGGAAGAGTTTAGGTGGTCCACCTTGTGATTCTTTTACAGTTCACTAAAGAGCAATTCCTGAGAATATGAAGACGTATTTGTGGAGCGCTTTTACTTGCATTTAACCTTATTGAGATGGAAAAATGTCAAATTTGCACCTCTTTTTTTGCTTCCTAAGGCGAAGTGCGTAATTAGTTTACGAGCTAAGACTTGTTCTCCAGGAGTGTTAGCCTAACACTTTTTTTGATAAAATTCATCTAAATTCTGGGAGCCTTCCGAAGTAACTTATTTTGGTAGATTTTAATTTGAACTGATCCTTCTGAATGAAACTTGTTTCCAAATTGTTTTCATCTTCATCAATGAACTTTTTTTCTTTTTTCATCGCACAGCGATAGATATTTATCGGTTGGGCGAAGCAAAGTACTAAGTATTTTTTTAAATTTACGGAAAAATTTAAAACTTACTGAGCGCGATCGTAAAGTCGATATTTGCATCCTTGAAAGCATTATCGTTTTCAACAACTGCGGCGAAAATTGGCTTTGATAAAAAAGTTGAGAAGCCACCGACAACGCGAGCGATTCCATACAGTTTGCCGAAGTGCTCCACCGGGAACGCATATGTTAAAAAGGTAGCTTAGCAATGGGCTGAAGCAATACGCACAGATTACAAATGTAACATTCCTGGTAAGATGCGCGCGGTTAACAAGCCTGTCCTATGGTTCCAACGTAAAAACAGCGGTAGAGACAAAGTGATACGATCGTGACTGTTTGTAATGCTAATCGAGAATTGTTATAACATAGCTACACGTATTTCTACTCTTGTGTAGCGTTGATAGAGGGTACACTTCATTAGAAAATAGTTGAAGCAAGAATGATTCAAGAAGGGCGTCAAGAACGATTTCGCTCAACAAAGTCTATAAGCATGTAACACGAGTGCTTTAATGCTATCATTTTTTCACAAGTTTATCAAATCGTTCGAATATGACTCGAGCTTCAAGTCTAAGTTCACACAAATATCCAACTACGCAAGTTACTATGTAATAGGACTCACCAATGTTGTCGATGCAGGGCAGAATTGTGGATATAACGCCGAAAATAAGGCAGATAAAGAGACAGACAGAATTCGCTTTTAGAGAGCTGATTTCTTCAGGCAGATTTTCATTGCGCCTTCTGATGAAGCGCCGAAGATAGTCGAAGAAAGCGCCAATTAGAGGAGCGTATGTGACCGCTTCGAGCAGCTGAACCGTACCAAGAATATTGACGTACTTTGAAATGTACTCTGCGCGGGCATCACAGTCGGGAATGACGCGTCTGACTTTTAAAAGGTAAAAAATGGATGTTGAACTTTACCATGATCGCTTCAAACCTCTGCTTTATAAGAAAGAAGCAGTTTGTTGGAATATGTTTAAAGGAATCGCAACAACCGGGCGCATCTGCTGACATTTAATTGCACTTAGTTTTTTCTACCTTATCCTAGATCAGAAAGCCAGGCAAAATAAGACGACAGAAAATAATTGAGGCGCAGCAGTAAGATTCCGAAGAACAACAGAAATCCAATGTAGAGCATGGAGCTTACGAAAGGGTCATTTCAAGAAACATATTTGATAAATCGAAATCCGAAACGAGTTAATAAAAAACAGAACCCGTGCCTTGCAGAATTGGAGAAACTCTCAGACTTCTTGCTCAAGTCGACCTTCCTCTCGTCAACTTCTAACACATAAAATTACCATTTTGGAAAGTTTGTAAAATTCGTTTTTTTCACTGATTGAAAATATTCGTGGGAGAGAGACGCAGTGGGAAGCGCATTTCACAATTTAGGCATAAAATTTGAATAACGGTCGCCGCCTCTCTCTGCCCAAGACCGTTTCTGACCAGCAGTAAGTCAAGACGTTACCTTTCTTGGATTGCAGATCGCAAAGACCGAAATCGAAGCCAGGTGGCACGTCGAAGGGAATGTTGTACCTGAAAGATCAATCTTTTCACGGAAGAAAGTTTGTTATGCGCGTGATAAAAATGATTCGTGTAATTGAAAGATTTGTAAGAGTGCGCTACGATTAAACTATTAGCAAGATGCTCACCTGGGCATGAGGAGAAATGTCTTGACGAGGCAGAGGAGGCTCAACAGACCGTACGACATCATGATCCGCGACAGAGGAATTCCACTAAACGACAGATTTCGAAGAAGATTTCACGTGTTCTTCAAAACTACTAGCCTTATTTCGAAGTTCGAACGGCTGATTGTTTTACTTTTGACATGTTAAAAAAAGCTTATCAAAACACAAGAACGCCGTTATGTCGCAATATCTAAGATAGGCACCTTAACATTATTTAAGTGTTGTTACAAAGTTTTAGGACGAGAAAGATAAGCAATCTCTTTCCCCAAAGATAGGATCCCAAAAACCCTGCATGGGCCGATAGTACATGAGAATACCTTCCACTTTATCGTTATAAGGTTATGCTAAGCTATCCATAAGAAGCCTACTCGCTAAACTTTAGAAACCATCGTAAATGTCCATAAAATAAGCAGGACTGTGCCTGGAACGGGAATTACCTCTGGTAGAGCATTTTGACAATTAAAAAGACCGCAGAGGATGAGCCGAACAAGCCGTTGATCTCGGTGATGATTACTCCGCGCTTGCTGGGATAAAGATTCGCAACTAAAGTTCCATTCAAAGAATTATCTCTCTTGCAAACTTCCTGAAATGCGCTTCTCGCTTTTCAAGTTGCGCAACTTAGACTGAGTACTCTGCTAAGTACCCGCTCCAGCTCTGAGCAGTTGCTAAATGTGAGCATCAGGCAGCTTACTTTGGATGTTGGAGACAAGCAGGGCTATTCCTCCAGAAGACATCATCGGAAAGCCAAAGTAGTATAGATAACTACTACTTGGTGTGGAAATAGCCATCAGCATCGCACCAGTTGTAAGTAAAAGGCAGGATAGGAAGCGCGAGATCCAAGTTCCGTACTGAAAATTCAATCGAATAGGGCATACTTTTATTTAGGCCACATATAATTACTCGCCTAATTATCGTGAGTTTTCGTGAGCTTCGAACGTAATTACTAATTAGGTATGATTTCTTATGAAAAACTTCGAAAACGCCAAAACAAAGCTTTCTTTACACTGCCTTTAATAAATTTAATCAACGTTATTTTGGCGAAAGCGGGCATCTATTATGTTACAAATATATTTAAAGAAGGAGTCGACAATAACAAAATTAGCAAGAAAGATGACTAAAGAGCGTAAATTGCTGAACAATTAATCAAAGTTGAGTCTATGAGATGCCAATGCTAATTTTCCAAACAATCTTTTTGGGGCCACGTTTTTCTTATCGAGGCATTTCTGTTTGGAAAATAGTCAAATCAAGCGTTCACACAGCCGAATCCGCCGTGGAGAGGCAAAACTGAAACAGAAAAGAACTGTATTCGGGCTGCCACGTTGTTTGAACCTTTCTCGGTAACTGAAGCCGATTCGGCTTAGCTCTCATCCATCAATGTTATCGAATATTGTTAAAACTGGATTAGCGGGCACGCGCTTATTACGATTGCTTTTGAACTTAACATTTCAGAGTTCAAAAGTAGCTCCTTTCTGTATTTCTTAAATGACAGTAGTTGCAACAAAGCAACCCCTAGATTTGTTGATATTAAATGCTAAACAGGAAGCTGCAGATACCGAAATAGGTAACTTGGCAAAGCTTCTAAGCCGTAAAAGTAGACGTTGCGGAGTTAGGAGCCATTTCGGAATGGGATTTACTTCGATCTCAAAGAGGATTCGGCTGCGGCGGACATCACGTGAAAGCTCGCCTTGGCGCTTGTTTTGGTTTATATTAATGTTGTGAAGGCCTCTCACCAAGAGTGTTACAGAAACCGCCTTACTCGAGCAATGCGACCCGTTCAAAACAAAAGCAAACTCTCTTACCTTGTCAAGCAGATAGCCAGAAGCGAGGCAATATATGTTGCAAATGATGGCTGCGTATGTATACAGGTCGTTGATGGTTTTCGTTTGGTCTGAATACTTTTGAATCGCTGTTACCGACGAGTATTAATTTGCACCTGCGCAGATGGTGTCATTCTCGACTGAACAATGCTCGGAGGAGTTGATTAAAAGAGACGTCGTCTCTAGCTCCGAGCTCTCGGAGGCAGAAACATGGACGCTCTCAACAGGCTGGCTACAGGTATCGAAGTAGCCTTCGCTTTTCAGACAGAATGCAAGCGATGACCAGCCCAAAAGCGGCCCAGTAAACACTAGCGACTCGATGAAGGTGCTTGTTACACAGGCAGCTTTCTGAAAAAAATAAATAATTTTTCACCTGAATCGTCGCTAGAAATAAGGCGGATATGGTAGAAGCGGATACTTACTTTCAGCGAACTCATTGTCGTTATCGTATTCTCATTCGGCGGGAGTTCAATTCTAAATTAAACTTCGTCACTTTCCGCAATCAAAAATCCCGATTAAAATGTTCTGATATTGAGCCCTTGAGTGAATTCTTCTTTAGTTAAATTTTCTCTTTCGAATCTCAAATAAAAGGTCAAAAAATCTCACCAAATTCGGACATCGTTAAATCATCGTAAAATTTACGTCTCAGCATAAAGTACGACATGACATTATTTTGCTCCCTTTTCTTTCGGTGTCGGGGATTTATTACAATTCTAGTGCCGTTGTAGGAGTTACTTGATCAGCTCTTGAATTTGGATTCGCGTTCAAATCACGAAAATCACCAAAGCCGAAAAATATTTTTCTCGAACGCACTTGATAGACAATATTGCACGTAAAGTCATTTCTTTTATTACTTGGAAGCACGAAATTAAAATCTCGCGGAAAACGTTTCAAGTCATTTTAGCACCTGTTGCGATTCATCTCTGCTTAAAATTAGAGCGCAAATATTTATTCAGAAACCTTCTTTGCCTTATTTTGCCAGTCTATACCCATCTGTCTAAGAGAGTGGGCCATAAACGCGAAGGAAAACCCGAGACTTGTCTTGCAATTCCTTCGATTTAAAAATATAAGAATTCCTGTGTTTGGGCTAAAAATAGAGGTTCGGAGTAGTAAGGATCAGTAGAGGAATCAGAAAAAAATAATTACTCGACTTTGCGCGCTTTATGGAGCCGGAAAGGAGTTGCGGACAAGTGTCTATCACAAATATTTTGGAAAAAAGCTTGTGATACACGATCGGGCGACTCCCGACGAAATCATTTTACTAAATCGACTTAAATTCTCAAACAATCATTAAAATCCCAAAAACGCTCTTTTTTTACGCCAAGCCATTTCTTCTTTAATCTCTCTCTCGCTTCTTAGTACAGTATCTAAATAACTATACTTTCGTATAAACTGTAGGGTCAACTCATGGGGCGAACTGCGCCGAAAATTCTAGTATTTCAGAACGCGAGAACTTTCCATATTTAGAAAGTCTGACAATAATGTCGAAATGTTTGCATTAGATTTCGCGCTTATTTACGGACTTCATCCGAAATTCGGTCACGATGATCTGCCTCGCGTTGACCACGTCAACCAGAAGAATAACTACTTTATTTATTTTCAGTTCTCTTCACTTCCGTTTTTTTCTCTCCCAGATATACTTGAGTAAACATACCATGATTTGACAATTTTATAATTCTAGCTATCTCTCTTTTCCCTCACCGGCAGACTAAATTAAATAAATTGGCTTTGGCAAAAGAGTTGATTATATCATCCGGTCAGTGCGTGATTATGGTCCGATAATTATATTTACCAGTTTCAGCAAGACGAGGCCAAACCAACAAGACGAGGTCTAACCAGCTCTAGTCTGACAAGCTACTTCGAACAAATCGTAAAAAAAACGGTTTCTTGATATTCCTACTGAAATCGATCGTTTCGAAATAAAAAAAAATTCTCTCTGGTGGTGTACTGATGGTCGTCTGATAGAGAGCGGCTTCCCGCTGGCAGCTCGCCAAGGAAAAGACGTTATAATTTCCGAAATATTATTCGAATTAGATAGATTTTGAATCAATTAAATTTTCGGTTCCTACATTATGCTAGTTGCGTCCACTAAACAGCGTAATGACGAAACAAGCAGAATACTTTTCATGCTCACTCAATTTACAAAACCTTGTCGCCCCTTCACTGCCCAAATCCTATCAAGAATATGACTCTTCTGCTTGTTACAGTCAAAAGAGCGCAAATAGAGTGTGATCATCGTATAAGTGCGATTGAGCCAAGCTCTTGACTTCAAAAGTCCTTGAAGGATTCTGACGAGTTATCTTAATTATTGCCAAAATTGTAAAAAAAAAACAATTTTTGCAAGCTTAAGTTCTCCAAACGCGCTCACCAGAGCAGTCCTCTCCCTAAAATAATACCGATATAATCCTGGTAAAGCTACTTCGCGGCTTTGCTTTAAAAAAAGCCGCTCTTCATTCAATTTCTTAATAAAAGAGACCAAGTTCTTCAAAAATTCAGGTTTTGAAGAAAAATTAAACTGTGACTTGGATCAAAGATGCAAAGGGGATTTTTGGATTGTTTTTTCGTGGAACTGGATGCAGAAGTGTGTACTAGAGAATTCGTGTGATTATTTTGCCTTGCTAAATAATGATCTTAATGACTGAAGTGAGGCAATTAAGTTTATTTGCGGTTCGCATCCCCTACGAGATTAATTGAATTACCTTCTAGTTTTGGCTCACAACGGTGCAGCGGAAGAATAAAAAACTGATCCCTCGAAGAAAAGATAGGAAACGAAGGCAGTTTGCATTCCTAACAAGCTGGCGATGTGCGGCAAACATGACAACAATAAGGTGCAGCTACTTTTTACGGAAATATCGCGTTGATTTGTGCAAATTCATGAAGCGCACGTGATAACAATATACAAGTAGCAGGACAATTTGGAGGAAGGAATGAGGGAGAAGTTGAACTTGTGGCTGTTTGGGTTAGATAGCGAGGGGCCCTTTTATTTTGTGCTTTTAGAGCGGCGAGCAAGGAAATGTGCACCTGCTTTGATGGGCTGAAACAACACTGGGTTCCGCTGCGCTCTGCGCGGAAAATGACTTTCTCGACGCTCGAATGCATCGCCTACTCCACTTTGAACGTCTTGAGCCATAGAATGGCAAATTTCGTAGTCAGATTGGATTTAGCGAATCGCCAAAATTATGCAAATTTGTGGTCGCAAAGATTCAACGGTCGACCATCGCTACAAATTATGACGAGACTGATTTTACACGAAACCAGATTCCCAAAAAAAAACGATAGAACACCAACAGACGCAGATAACCTTCTCCAAAGGTTTTTATCCAAGTCAGTAGAAAATAAAGATCTTTAGCAGCATTAAATAAGGGGCAGAGATTCTTATAGTTTATGTGAGAATATAGAGCTTCTCATATCCAAATAATCGATGTTTTTGGTATTTGATTTTAAAATTAACTTATCAAAGTTGATTCTTGAAAACCAATAAAACACTAAGAAACATTACCTGACCCTCTTCTTCGTGAAAGGCTGCTGATATGGACCCATTTCTGCTTCTTTCTCTGTGACCCGAAGCTATTCTCTTTTCTTTTTATAATAAATTCCAACAAGAGAATGTCTCAGTTTGTTTTCTTTGATTTTGCGGCTTGTCTTCTTGCAGCTCCTCTTTTTCATCGATTACTTGACAGTTCCAGTAAACCTAATTTTATTTCTTTTTTTTCTGACACTTATCCCTGAAAAACGCTATTCGAATTTCGAACAACTCAAAAAAAAAAAATAATAAAACTTAGTACACTACTCTTATTTTTATTATTTCAAAATAGTAGTAAAGAGTATTCAAGAAAAATAAAATCCTTCTCTTAACGGATACTACATCAGCTAACACAAAGAGAAAAAAAAAAGAACAAATGCAAAAAAACATGCACACTTCATTTCAGTAGGCTGCTGACTAGGCGCATGAGAATATTTTGATAACGCAGACAGTCGTCGCTATAGATCATATATTCGAGTTTCTATCTTTTGAATTTTAGTTGACATTCATTTAAATAGACATGTGATGATTATTTTGTTCAATAAAATTCGATTATGCGTTAAAATGATTAGGCAGTCTCTTCTGATATCCTATTTGTTGATTTACTGTCATTATTTTCTTCAATAAATTTAGGCTTTTTGTATTTGAATATGAATTGCCGATTTTGATTTCTGTGAATGTTTAAGGGATCCCCCCTGTTTTTTCAACTCTTTATCAGGGGGCCCCTTTATAGCATATTTAGATTTCCCATGTTCTGAGGATCATTTTGATGTATCATACTTCCCCTTTACGAACATCTTTACCCGGAATTCTGGCCCTCGAAAGTCGTAAAAATGCATATAAATTGTACTTATCGTGAAAATTGAAATTTTTTTCCACTTTTCAATGTCAACAAAAACAGACGAATAAGGGGTCTATCGATAGCTAAGAATGCAAGGAGAAAGAATATGATGACCGCACTAGAATTTTTGGCCATATATTGGCGCTAGAGAGCTAATTAAAGCCAGAAAAGGGCTAAAGTAGCATCAAAAAGTTCTTCTTAAGAGTTTTTTTTTCTTACTTGGCCAAAAAAGTTCTCTGTACTAGAGATTGTAGATAAGGCTCTATTCTTTCAGAATCGTGTTTCAGATTGCGTCTATCTAAGCCCAATTTGGCTAAATTTCGATTCAAAAATGGCCTAAAATGGGGTTTTTTCGAAAATGTCGAGCTTTGGCCCCTCCTAGTGGTAGGTTTGCCTTGAGCAAAAAACTTCTCTGTACTAGAGAATAGCGGATAGCACCTGGGCTATCCGTAGAGATATTATACGCCCCAATTCATCAGCTCAAATCGGCTGAATTTCCAGTTGAAAATGGCCAAAACGGGGGATCCCTTAAATGGAGCTTCGCAAGTTGCGTGTTGAGTTTGGCCCGCGTCGATTGCGATTTAGAATGTTGCAAAAGTGCACCTGCTGTATGAGACAATTTCAAAAGACAAAAGAAAAAGAAAAAGTGTCAAATGTACTTGGAGTTTATTAAAAAAGGATTTTCGGTTCAAGTGAAGTCAACAACGTCTCTTGTGCCTTGATTTTCAATTTGAAAGTGTCGAGTTTGAATGTTTGGCAAAAGAAGAAGATTGTTAATTATTGCTGGGGCGGGACATCAATTAGGAACATCAATAAATTCTCCGACTGATCGCAGCGTTGACATTTCGGGGGTACTGGCGTCTGACTAGCTTCGTGCGGGTGCGGAACTCCGGCTCGCGCGAAACCAGCCAGACGCAAGGAAAAGCATTTAACATTATTATTTTACAGTGTCGGGCAGTGTCACGTGCCTAAGTGGACGCTCTCTGGCGAAATGTCAAAAACTGCTGATAAGTGGAGCTGGCTGAACCTTAAAAGTTCTAATCATATGGTCTCTAGCGTTACGATCACGTTTAACTGGAAAACGTGCCCCTTACCCAAAAGTACCAGTACGCGCTCCCCGACGCGGCTGGATTCCCAAAACTCCAAAGAATTCTGTAACATGGGCTTTCAGCTAAAATCGAGGCCGTCTGGCATACAGCATCTGGGATTAGGGGCAAGTGCAAAACTGAACTCATTTGGTGGCTCTATGAGATGTCGTATCTAGTCGTGATTTTCGGGTGGGTGCTTGTATAAAAAGACAAAAGGTGAACAGAAAACAAATGGGAAATTTTTGAAACAAGAATTTTACAAAAGGAAGAATTCACTCGAGAGGGTCGTGTGTTTGTTGTTGTTGTTGTGTTTCGGGAATCGACTATCATTACTGTAACGTAAGGGTAGAAGACGCGGCGGTGGATGACACTGGGTCTACTCGTTCTGACTCTTGGTCATCATTGTGTTGAGGATGCACTGCTTGACACCCTTGGGCGTCTTGGGGTCGTTAAACAAGGACCAGCACTCTTCGCGGATCTTCTGTTTTACCGTCTCAGGTACGGTCTTATTCGCCAAGATCTCTTCCACGAACGGGTCTAAATTGCAGTTGAAAAAGTATTTCTGAGGATGAAAGTGGTGAGCGTATTTATTTCGTTAGACAAGCGCTCACTTAAAATTTTGGCTTGGGCGATTTGATTCTAGCTGAAAATTATTTTAGTTTAAGATGTGGTAAAACCGCTCCAAAGCTGAGTTCATCTCATTAGAACTGACCAGATTTCACACGTCTGTGGGCGATTACCATTTCACTCGAAAGTCCGGAATAACCTTGTTAAAGTTTTTGCATGTTTCGAAACAAATACATTAAGCGAACTCGAGCGCAAAACTGAATACCTATTTTAGGGTCATTTTCTAACCTGGTTAATTCTACACCACTCACTTTGCCTCCCCGGGTCAAATAGGACCACTTACCTAGCTCAGCAGTCGCATTGAAAGGCTGGAAGGCCTTCTGGTTGGAGGAAGAGTTGAGCCCGACAGAGTGAGCCCTCGTTTTTGAAGTCGGTTTGGACAGTTTTTCAGTCTCGACAACGTCTGCGGAGGTCATAGTTTTGCGGCGGATTATCTTTGTCGACGCCATGGAGATTTGACTTTTGAAGTCGTTTATCTGAATTGCCATTAAAAATGGGCTACTGTGATCAATTCGCTCACCTCCTTCGACTTCTGACCCAATGGACTCGTTCCAGAGTCAGTCTTGGCCATTTCGAGCAGCTCGCGGATGAATGAGTCCTGACTCTGTCGCCGAGCCTGCATGGGCGGGCTCAACAGCTTCATCGTCTGACTACGCGAGACCTGACTCTTGCTGGCGGCCTTCTTCTCCACGATGGGTGACTTCTTCTCGCCTGTCTGGATTTCGTCTCCCGGCTGGAACAGACTTGCCGCCAGGTCCAAGATCTTTGTGCTCTGAGTACGTCGAAGAGCTTGTGGCTTTTCTAATTGCGGAGTCTCTTTGTCTGAACTTTGCGAGCTCTGCTCTAGATCCAGATTCGGCGCAAACTTCTCCAAGACGCGATTCTTACGCATAATTGGTGTTGCAAGAATAGGTGCAACGGACTTTTTGGAATTTTTAATAAGTACTTATTTAGATTTAGCTAGTCAGTTAATTTGGTGTAATGATTACGTCAGTGATTATGTTTCTAACGCGGACGCTGTTGATGTGGAAGCTGCTCCTGTCAAAACGGGGAACGCTTCTTTAGAATACGAATCCCGTCAAGATTCCGTAAAACTGATCGCATATTTATTTGAAAAGTCAATCGATTCCTCCGCACCCGCTGAAATTGATTTCGCTTTGAAATTAAATCTATTAAAGATGTGGGCGCATAAAAATCCTATTTAGCGGGGGTTGATTTTACGAAATTAAACTCTAAAGACTCAGAGATACTGCTTTTTAGGAAATTAAATTCCGTGCCTTTGATCTGCCGAGAAACTCTAGTCGATCTTCATTGGACTGACTTTCCTCGAATGTGAACTTTGCGGCGATGTTTTTGACGGCACCGTTTTTAGGCGAGCCGGTGATCTTCTCGCTCAGTTTCGGGGAAACTGGTTCTTTTGAGTTGACTGACTCCGCATCTGTTGGGATAGTGTCGCCGAGTTCTAGCTGGAGGATTCGCGCCCTCAACGCTGGACTTGGTGCACTTGGAGTCCAGTTCGTCTCGCTTGGCGTCTGTTCACTCGTTTTCTGCTCGACTTGTCCGTTCTTTCTGGAAGCGTGTCGAGCGAACAAATGATGATGTCGTGCGCTCAATGGTGGGCAGCGCGGACCGCGACCTGCGCGGACGCACACTACGGGCCATTCCTCGCCGCCCGCGCTGCGAGGGCTCAGAGTCGGATGACGAGTCCGTCGAGTAGAAGGAATCTGAGGACGACGAGTCGGACTCGGTGTAGACTGACGAGTCGCGTTCTTCGTCCGTGTTAAGGTCCGTCTCGTCTCTGTCCAAGTCCGTGTCTGACGATCGTAACGTAAAAACGTGCATGTTTCGCGTGCGAACACGCCCGTGCTCCCTTATCATTCCCAGTTAATTGCTGCACAGAGGTGCACGCTTGCATACCTGTTACGTAGGAAGTTGTTGCCATTGCTTGTTTCGGAGTCGTCTGACCTAAAGCGTGCGTGTGCCCGTCGCGCCAGTTTGTTTTCCTTCTCCAAATCGACAGAGAGACGGGCCGCAGCACAATTACCTGCTCGTCTCGATGAACCTGTTTGAAAATATTAGTGATTTGATAAGAAAAATGAGGCTTGAACGGGCGACTAATATTTAGACAGATCAGTTAGCGCTGTCGAGGAACTCAATGAGAGTTAGAACGTGCAAACGTGATTCAATCAAACATTTTAAATGATGCAAAAAATGAATATTTTTACCTTCAGAGACGTAGCCTGTCGATGCCGAGTCTGAGCCTGGCGTCTGATCATTTCGGCCCGCGTTTTCTAGGCATTGGCTTGCCTGGGCAATGCCGACGATGCCGCTTTCGGACTGAGCGACGAGCTGCTCTTCATTTAGTTGCTGTTGAGATTGGAATTGTTTCCGTTTGCCAAGCTTTGAAAATGAGCGGAAAAGCTTCCCCAGGATACTCTTCTTTCTTTTGCCATTAACAGACTTGGAAGAGGACGAAGCTAGCTCGTCACACTCGGGTCGAACATCACAAACTGTTCGACTGCGTCTTAGAATCGCAGACATAACCTAGCCCGAACGTTACAAAAGAGAGACGCGACTTGAGTACCTTCTAAGAACCCAGATTGAAAGTTTTTATATTCTGTACTTCTCTTCTGGCTGGTTCAGGGTCTTCATAGTGCCGGTGGGCTCAGGACATCCCGAACTAATGTACGACTTTTTAAAATTTACCTTCGCGATGTCCTTCACGCCGGTTGCAGTTTCAGACTGTAAGAGTTAAAAACCTCTGAATGTTAGTTTAGTCAACAAAATCTTCCGCGAGAGAAGAAAAAATTATCCAAGTGTTCAATTATGGGCCATAATTTATGGCTTCGCCACTTGGCGGCGCTTCACTGATGAGTGCGCGGCAAGCGGACTGCCTTTTTTAATAATCAAAAGAAATCGCTTACTGTAGTTGAGTCTCTTTCGAGGTTTTCGTTGATATTTTCGTGGCACTCGCCAACAATCGAATTTCGTCAGATTGATAATGCTCGATGTTAATTTACGAAACCTTCCTTAGTTCAAAACGCTCTTGTTTAAGATATAGACTCCAGCAAAACTAAACTCTTATTCTAGCTCCTTAAATTATAATTATTTAATTCGTTTTCGTTATTTTCTAATAAAGAAGTATTTAAAACTTCGATTTAAAACTCGTCTTTAACGTTTTTAAACGTGCCGCGGAAATAAATAAAAAAAAACGAACTTTTATAGAAACGCTCAAAAGCTTATACAAAACGATATATATCTATTCAGCAGTATTTACAAGCGACTGGATACAAGAATGTATGTTTGCTTTGTCCAGTAGATTTAAGTTAATAGAGTTAGCGTTAGAAAAATAAAGAGTCTATGACGAGCCGAGTCGATTTGTCAATCTAGAATGGGATTTGGTTAGTCGAGAGCATTTCACAAGAAGGGGCAATTAACAGAAAAGGAGTGTAAGTCAGCGTTTCTGGCAGTAAATTGCCATAAGCTGGGCATTAAGTCGACCGCTTCTCAGCGGTGGAACACGCTTAAAATGAAAAAAACTTTACAAAAGCGTTTCACGCTCGCAGAGTACTTTGCGGAAAGCGAAAAGGGAAAGTCAAAGAGGATCAAAAAAGGCCGCCAGAGCGGATTAGAAATGGAAGTGGCGCCCGAATCCGACACACTAGCAGAAGTAGAAAAATCCCTTCTGTACGTTTAGTAATTGTCTTTCGAAATTCAATAAGAAAAGATTTAGAAATGATGAATAAGCACTCAATCTTCAAAATTAAAATTGCTAGAGAAAGTGAGTTTAATAACAATAAGTTAGAAAGTAGATCTTACAAACGAGACAGATAAGATTCATCAAAATTTAAGAACAAAATCTATGGGGTGAATTTTTGAGACTATCGGAAACTTTATCACACGTCATGAGTTAAACGAAACGCTTGTTTTTGGCTTGAACGAGGCTGGCAAATACGCGAGACCCGCACTACTCGCCGAGTTCTGGGCTTGACAGAGTTGTCTTTGCCTTTTAAGGGTATAACAGTCACTTTGGACATCAATCTCTGCCCCTATTTCCCACGCGATGACAAGGCTGACAGGCTCAACAAAACTTTCTTCTTCTTTACTTGCCCCCTTTTTAGCTTGTTTCCATTTCGACCCTTTTGAAAAAGTGCTTCTGGCTTACTGGAACATGCGTCCAAAAAAGTTCACTGTAGCTTGCCACATCTGTGCGAATATGGAATTCGCGCAACGCTCGTCACATTTCATTTGATTCTCAAAGAATTTTCGAAAATTTAAATTTCCCAAAAGTAGAATAACTTTCACAAAACGAGGACTCATAATTCAAGAGGGAAGATTAGGAAATGCCTATCATTGGATTACGGGTACATTTGATTGCGCATGAAAGCTCCATTGGCTCTAATTTCCACTCGAGTGTGATTCGAGGATTATTGACAAGACTTTCACCGCCTTTCGTGAAATATGTAAATCAGAAACGAGGAGAAGCGTCACCGAGCCGAGCCTAAATTTGAGTAAGTGGTACTCTGGAGCAAGTAATTTCTTCCTAATTCGCTACCCTAATTGGCTTCTTCTCTTGCTCCCTATTTCGCCTCTCGCTGTATCACACAAGTCGATCATCTGAAGCAAATAACGTGTATGCTAGTATCTTTGACTGTTTTCATCAGTTCTTAGCGGATCGCTCGATACTATTCGATCATTTTAGAATATTTTAAGTATTCTTATTTTTGAAGTTCTTTTGATAATATCTTAGCAAGAGAAGAGGAATCTGAGGGGAGATTTCGCCTTGTGGATAGCATTATTTGGAAGTGAAGGGGATCGGCGAAAATGGTACGGTGATGATCACCTCGTGAGGTAGCCGCTGTGCATAAATTGCCTCTTGGTGTGACGGCCAAACACGAATATTATAGGATTCCGCAGGCCAAAGACACTGCTACTCACTGACGGAACATCACTCTCGCTAAGCTCCATTTTCAGACTAAACTAACGTGCCTCACTGAACACGTATTTTTAAAAACTAATCGCGACAAGGATCGACAATTTTTAAACCATAGACTGTACCATTTGCCTTTCTTAGTTTTTAAAAAATAGATCAATTCAAAGACTGTTTAGAAATGAGATTTTGTCTTCGTTTATCTAACTTATTAGTAGAATATTTGATGAGTGTTTGCAATGGTGGAGTTTCTGGGGTGGGCAGGGTGGTCGAGGCCAATCAATATATTTTATATTTTCAGTAAAAACTTGGCGACAAGAAGTCAGCGCTCCCCACACAACAAACGCTTTTCTCACTACCCTTTATTTGACCTCAAACTGGTACTGCTAGGTCAGGCCCTCCACTTGCGCGCCAACTTACGCAACAAGAAATCATCAAAGCCAAATTCTAGATAAATTTTAAATTATATCTAATCAATCCCAAAGCAATTTATTTTCCCAGATGTGAAGAAAAAAAATAAAATTTAAGCTATCATACTTGAGTGATTATTTTCGGGCGAGCTTGAAAATTTTTATCTCTAGAAGCAAATACTTGACTGATCCTTTTTTTGTGATTTTTCCATCTTTTCATTTTTATTTTTCTCGCTTTCTTTTTGACGCACTCTTCGTTGTGAAGCTCTGTTTAATTCGCGCTCTCTCTCTAGAATGAAATCTGTATCTTCTGAAAGTCTCTAGTGGGGTTAGTAAAAGTTACACCAACGGGGGAAATATGAAAACGACTAAAGCGCAGGTCGAGTTGTAAGAGGGCAGGAGTGGTGGTGGTGGTGCCAGTCATCACGGGAAAATTTTTGGTGCTGAAGGGCGGGTCCGCCGCCATACCGTGCGCCGGAGCGACCCCGCTGCCACCAGCACCCAAGCTGAGAGCATGGGAGCACTTTGTGAAGCTCGCCAGCGCCTTCCAGCGTCACTCTCCTCGAAAGCTTCAACCTTACGAGCTGAGTAAGACCACTGTAAAGCGGAGCGTTTGTTTGTTAGCGCGATTAGCACCACAGGGGCGACAAACAACGTGTTCATCGCCGAAATATGAATTCAAGCTCAGCTTGCGTCAGCCTTCTATCGGCTCATAAATGTTCCAATAATATTTGAATCGCAGGAGGCTTATGCTGCTGCTAATCCTAACGATGTCGAAAGGACACTGTCCGCGCGCCATCTAAGGCGTTACCCTTGTAAGCTTATCAATTAGATTAAAGACAACAACTTGTATTCAAAACGGGCGGCAGTGCTCGCACTCGAATATTGATCACCAGAACAGCGTTGTTTTCCGGCGACGTGTTCCTTGTTACTAATCAATCAAATAATTTCACCCCAAATAGACAAAGCAAAGTTCAAAGTAAAGCCTCTAAGTTGAGAAAAACACTTTCTATTTTTGATTGTCAGAATGTTAATTAATTTCATTGATCTTGGCACTCAGGCAAAGCTAAAAATAACGGCTCTAGAATGGAGTCAAATCGAGAGTAATTTCCATTTGAAAATTTGCGTAAGAAGGACTCAATGTTGGTTTGAATTTTTGAGAAGGAATGTTTATATTACGCGAATCTTGTGAATCTAGCAAGAAACCGACTGGATCATTTTTAAAGCGAAAATTAAGGATTACGAGTAACAGGTACATGAGTGTAAAACATTGAGCGAAGGAGATTAAGACCACATAAACTTGTTGCGGCAGAGAGGAATATATCCGCTGGCTGATAGTTTAGCGGCGCCTTGTTGCAAAAGCACTTTGAAATAATAGTTTTTCCTGTATTTTGAGCATCTCTATTAGTGCCAATTGCGAGTTTGATATCTTTTCCACGTTAGAAGGTCGTCGTCCTAAACGTACAAAATGACGCGGGTTATCCTCAACTGGCAGCGTGAAAACACAAGACTACGCACCTGTCGCAACGTCATCCTCAAAGCCGGAAACGGGCAACAAATGAAACAAAATACCTTTTTCTTCACAAGTTCTAATTCGAACTCAAGTGACAGCGCGCAATTTCCTTCCTCGAGAAAAAATAACTTTCTTCCGTGAAAGTCGAAGAAAAGGATGAGTGAAGTGATAAAGGCGTTGTTATGTAAGTTTAGGCGCGGAGCGAACGTTCTAATTTTGACGAGGCACGTCGCCAATTCCTTCACCAATTGCGCCCAGAAGAGGGACACTTCGAAGATCATCCCAGGAATTCCAGATAACCTCGCTCGGCCAACTGAGCTCACTTTCATTTTGCAACACAAGAATAGCGATGACGTACTTCCTAAAACCGTAAAAATCACTCTTTTTCGGCGAACACGTGAATTTAGAATGAGACAGTATAGATACTAGCCGAATATACAGCTGAAATAGGCACGCAAGAAAAGATGCCAAACGGCATTTGGCTCGCACCTTTAGTAACTACCGCTGTAGACGTTTTTCGGTCATATACAGGCTCATAATTAAAATATTTCTATTTTCTGATCGACGAATTGATGAAATAGTTTTAGAATCTGTTCTTTTGCTATTCGCGGTTCCAGGAACAGGTTAAAGACTGAAGACGGAACACAGATACTGTGGCTGATGAGTCAGTATTAATGATGCGAAATCG